CTTTGTGAAGACGCAATAGTCTGTAGGGTAAGTTTATATCAACAGTTCAAGCTCCAGGAGAAAAGGGAGGAGGAAACTATTGTGATGTCATATTTTAGTTAGTAGTCCTAATGTCAGATCCAGACCCAAACTTGTATTGGGCGACGGCTGGTGACGAAGGTAGACGTGCACTTCATATGGGGTATCCTGGGGTGTCTCAGTAAGTAGGACGAGGGAACAACAACGGTACATGTATCTGTACCCTCCTGTCGCACGTTCGTATGTAAAATAGCATTGCGCGCCAGGATCCTGGATGGCGAAACCGTGAAACAGCCACAGTTCTAAGAATTTGATACCATACCGGGATAGCAGGGGGAGACACATGCTGAAATTCGAGAGATCCCAAAAACCGTTGGGGTTTGTTTGGCATTACCTTCTCGTGCCGCACAGCCGCACAGCCGAGACATGCCGTAGCATGCTAGTTATCTGATCTATCGTGTCCTCACCAGGTTCTCACTGCATCCGATTTCGATACGGCCTTGATGCATGTATAGCATAGATATGCGATGATGCTTCGTGGCTTCCATCTGCTCTTACTCTTGATGCTCTGTATCTTTCTGTTTTTGCAACTATGCCCCCCTCCAGATATAGAGCTCGGAGATCATTTCGTCCAAAGTTCATTTACATATTTGAAATAGGAAACCTGCAATTTACTGCAATAACTGTGGCACTCCAATGAGAGTATCAGACATTCTGCACAAATTCGCAATAGTGAATCAAGCACCATAATAGGATCCGGCATTGTTCGGCTAAGCGGCTGTACGGCACTAGAAGGCAATGCCAAACAAACCCCAACGGTTTTTGGGATCTCTCGAATTTCAGCATGTGTCTCCCCCTGCGGGATAGTACTAGCGGGCAAACGAAGTACGCGAGCCTACGCGAGCAGGCCATAACAGGTTATTGCAACGCAATACTGTCTGTATCGACCTGGACCTGCAGCACAATTTCCTCTTTTCTCTTGTATAAATTCCGTCGATTTCTCTCTCTGTTCAGAGGTAGGAACAACGATTGAAAGGGGCAAGGATTCAAAACAGCAACCATCTCTTAAGCAATAGAGGCGGTCGGCATCTTGCTGTGGTTCATGCTGGGTTCATGAGTGGGGTCCTCCGTAAGGGTCAAGATCGGCAAGCGCGAATCCGAGCAGGGACATTATTGGAAAAACAACTTTTGACCAGGGTAGGTCAAAACCGAAAAGACTAATTCTACATGGACATGGTACATACCTAGTGAGCTGCCTAAATCAACAACTTTAATATCTCTCAAGCATTGCACTGCATGGGGCAGCCTACTTACATAGAGGCGGATTCGGCTTCTCCACACGATAAAGAAAGCAGATAAGATGCAGACGAAATAGTGAATCTGAGAGAGCGCGAGAAATGCGCCACAGCTCCAAGAGGAAATTTCTTGTCTTTTGATTCCGTAAATCGATAGGAGTCGCGCCACTCAGGATCAATGGTTAAAAAGGTTTTTGTGGCAATAACACGAGCAGTTCGTAAACATTCGGTGGATAATCATCACAAATACAGAGAGCAAGCAAAACCATCGAGTGTTGGTTCTGGAGAAAGTCGACTGACTGCATAAGTCACTTACATTTTCCTTTGTTTTTCCGGTCGGTCGATCGCGACGTCGTCTGGCGGTCAGATGCCAAAAGCGATCGGGAGACTGTGGAGGTGGGAGGACTCCGAAGGTCAATTAGTTCTAGTCCGGAGAATTCCCGACGCTGGCCTCCTCATTTCGTATCCTCCGTTTCGCGATCGAAATTTAATTGAGAGCCCGACGGACGAAAATTCGGAGGGGAATTCGCAAGAATATATCCTCGTTGACGATGGCTGTGAGAATGGGAGGGAGATTGAAGGTCAAGCCAGGGTCAAACCATCTACGACAGAGACTACGCCTATTGCTATTAGCGTGAAACGATTCCAAACAAGATGCCGGAGTCTTGCTTGGTCCAGAGCAGGTCTGTTACAGGAGACTCCCAAGCATGTCCCGAATCCGAAAGTCTTCTGACCAGGTCTGACCACTGCAAACAACTGGTCTGACCTCTGAAAGGCTTCAAAGCGCGGTTTTCAGGCCCCCCGCGGGGCCCCAAGGTATTGTGACCTCGTTTAAGGCAGTACGAGTTCATTACGACGCAGACGCTAGTAGGCGATCGTTAGGCGCGACGATAAGAAATTGCGCGAGAATGGCTGGTTTGACGAGTCTAATCAGCCCATATGACGCCCTACATACTAGGCTGGAGGCTCCGATAAGGAAATAAGGAAACGGAGGAACAGATAGATAGTTCATCCGTCGCCGTCGCTGACTCCGATGTACTACTCTATGTATCGCGATCCAGGATCCTCCTAAGCTAATTAAGCCTCCTTGCAAATGAATAAATGACGATACGATGAAAATGGAAAAATGGAACCAAAAGAAATATTTGAGATGTTGACTGGTGGAGGTCTGCAATCGAATCGAAGGAAGGCTGGGATTTTTAGGCGCCTTGGAAAATCGAGAGAGTCGATATTGGTAAGTGGCGGCGAGGGTATAATATTGACTACACCGATATACCCGATTTCGACTTGAGTGAAGTGCACTGCAAAGTACACATATCAATAACCAATCGATGTATCCACAAACCAAAGTCTAGCGATGATATCAATACATGTTGAACGATGTTATAAACACCGTTCCAACGCCGATGACACAAGCATAGCTTGAGCAGAGTTAGAAGCTAAAGCCATAGCCATGCGAGTGTAGTCATAGCTTGCATCAAGACGGCAGAAAGGCAGAGCTTGACTTCTTCTTCAAGGTTGGATCTTCGAATCTTTGGAATTGCCAGGTCATCCCAGCACTAGAATCAAGACGGAAACAAGTAACGTTAGAAATGGATTGGAAGGTCTGTGTCAAAGGAACTCGCGAGTTTTTCGGTACTCAATGCTTGAGAAATTGCAAGCGATGTCTACGTACACCAGGTGGTAAGCTACATAGTCTTCGGTGCTCATTAACGTGTCTGTCGATAAATGAAATCGAATCGTTCAATCGCATTCGCTCATCGTTCTTCCTTTGGTGGGGTGAATGTTTCGGTGAATTACTTAGTATTCGGTGCTCGGTTGTCGGTGCTCGGAAGTTTTCTGTGAGAGTCCCGGCATCGAATTGAGAACGAATGAAAGGTTCCCTGTGAGAGAGTTTTGTAAATTTCTAAATGCCAACGACGATAAGACACCTACGAACTTACTCAGTGGGTCCTGGGCAGGTCGTTGAAGGGTGTCTAAACACAGGACACGGAGAGAATATCGTCAGAAATCAGAAAGATACTATACAATCTAAAAGAAGACAACACGCAGAAAAGAAAGGCAGAGATGGAGACCGAGACTTGAAACTGGATAGAGGAGAGCGATGGTTGATCTATGTGGATTGATGTATCATTGCTGAATCGTCGATCCAACCAAATTGCAGTAGCACATCAAAGTCCGTAGTAGACTAGTGAACGACATTTACTTTGGTTGATGCGTTTGCAAAAGGCTATAGCTGGATTCTCGTTAAGTTACCGGACCCGTGTTCAAACGTTCGAACGGTTCAAGAGGATTTCCTGGAGAATCCGGCGTAAGTAATCCCGTTCTCATTAGCAGAGCATTCCAGAACTCGGACGCGTTAATCGACCTACCAGTAATAATATACTAACGATAGTTCAAATGCAAGACGTATGAAGGATTCGAAGCTTTCTCATTCCGAGGCTAAACTTGAAGCTGAATGACCAACGATGAAGACGCGGGTAGCAAACAGTTTCAGAGGCGACGTACCAGGAAATCGAAGCTTTGTATCTGGCGCCACACAGAGTGATCTATAATAGAGGAACGATCTGGGAGCGTAGGAGAGGATTCATTCCGGCCGAGATAAACTTGATGTTGCCTGCCTAGCTAGGTATGAGGATGGACGGATCGTTCAGTAGAGTCACTGGATGGCTAAAGATGGAAAGGAAATCAATATGGCTGTAGCTGTACTAGCACACAGCCCGGTTTTATTAAAAGAGTTGAATACAAGTAGCATTGAAGTGGTGCAGATAGCGAAAACTGAAAGGTCGATATAGAAAAAGTGTCATGTATGTAGAGAAGGGACAGGTTTCTGAGGAAACGATGCGAGTAGAGGCAAACGGTGTAGCAATGGAGCTGTACCGGTACTGTTAATTGTACAGGCCCATAATGTGTACACACACACACAGCCCGAGTGCCATCGAACGTTGCATGGCTGGTACAGTAACTGAGTAGAGGTTGTAGGTCATTGGTGGTATTCACCAGCCTCGTTCCACCGCCGAACCAAAGGAATGGTGTGTGGGAGAACCAGTTCAGTCTGGGGTCACCTGAAAGACCCCGAGAACTCACTGTCCCTGAATAAGGTTTTGGTCTCCGCATGAACGGTCACGTATATACGTAAATAAACAAAAAAAATAATGTGAAACGGGCACAAACAAACCATTTCCAATTGGAAAGCGTCCTTATCGCATCTGAGATCCTGGACCTTTGTGTGGTCGTGGAGTGGCAGATCTCGATTACATTCTGTATTTTTTTGGCTGTACGTACAGAAAAACAACTCCCACTGACCCCGGAGACCAGAGCTTGCTTTGAGTTTTGTCCGTGGACGTATCACCTTTGTATCACCTTTTGAGTTGCTGGGAGAGCAGAGAGCTGTCTGTAGCACCGCCATGCGCACGGAAAAGAGCGGTAGGGGAAAAAGAAATACGGAAAGGGCGCAAAGGAAGAAGGAATAACCAATTTCTTAATTCAACTGTTTGTCCCACCCCAGAAAAGGAAACAGGTCCCAAAGCCAGGGCTCACACGGCAAAATGCAAAAGGGTTCAAAAGGTCGCGGGTCTTTATAACCAAAGGGACGAATACCCGAAAGGAAGAAGCGACCTTTTTTTTTCTATCTAACGTTTTCTTCAAGTCAGCCAGCCTTGCGCTTCTACTTCTTTCCATCTACAAATGCTTTCCGACATGGACGCGCTCTCATTTGACGGTTACACGTCGTACTCTGACTCGTCTGCGCCACGAACGCCGTCCCCGCGGGCTGATCTACCTTACCCTTCACCGACACAAATATACGATGAGGAAGGGAATGTCGGTGTTCCCTCTGGATATCGAGGCAGTCTTCTCCAAGAACTCTATGGCCAAGAAGAGGAATATCATAAACAACAATTGCAGCAACAACACTCGCAGTTGCCACCAACATCTTCACACCCAACCATGCCTCGTCGCGCTACCTTTCCTTATGTTCGTCACGATGCGCCTTCATATCCCCCTACATACGACGTTTACGAAGAGTCGTACACTGTCGTTCCATCTAACGGTCCGTCCGGCCCGACATCATACTACCAAACTCCTCACAATCCGTATCTTCAACAACACCAGCAGTCTTCGCAACACCACCTTTCCTACGGCCCGTCGTCTTCCGGGATGTTGCCGGCTCCGAATATGGGTATGGGTGGAATGCCTGGCATGCCTATGGGCCCATATGGTCACTTGCACCCTGTTCCGCCTGTCCAGCATACCGATGATGCAGCGAGCAAGGAAACTCAGTATCTGCGCCGACGGTGCTTTAATTGTCACACTACTGAGCCTCCTTCCTGGCGTCGGAGTACACTAAATCCAGGCAAAATTGTCTGCAACAAGTGTGGTTTGTACGAGCGCACTCATCTTCGACCAAGGCCACTCCGCTTTGACGAGCTCAGGGCTGGTGGCAAGTCTCGTAAAAACTCTCTTTCGAATGGCTCGGGAGCAAACGGAAAGACGAGTCCTAAAAGCCCGGGAAAGAGTCTGGTAAAGAAGGAGAGTGTTGATGTTGGACTCGGAAGAATTCGGGGCAACAGACGAAGCAGTGTGTCTAGCAGTGCTGGTTCTGGCAGCGATTGGGATGACAATGGTGAGCGTCTCTTCTTGATGCACCTACCCACCATTTTCCATCTTTTTTTTATCGTTTTTGTGTTTTCCTCTTTCTTTTGTTATTTTATACATTTTGCCAACATCTTCCGGTTTCTCCCGCAATCAGCACAACCATCTCGACTATACCCGACTCAACCTGAAATGCAATACTCGTATGACTCGTCCTCGTTCGTCCCAACAAGCGGCTATGTCACTTCTTCGCCTCCTACCGATTCACCGACGTTCGGTCCGCCCGCTGAACTTTACGGTTCTCCTTACACTCATTCCGGCTCTCCTTACCATCAACAATCTGCGTCGCCTTACCATCACTCCCATTCTTCGAACTCTCCGCCCGATACTACCCATCCTGAACTTACCCTTCCTCCGATTATACCCGAAGAAGCGACACCGACAAAACGGGCATCGAATTAGGCCGTGTACATTATCATAGAGAAGAAATAAAGAAGAAATAAAGCGAAATCAGATACGCTTACAGAATACCAAAAATCAATCCTCGATACCTGCATCACCATTCACCCTTCCGCGCTTCGTTCATTTTGTGCTTTCTTCACGTACATATTTATACCTATATTTGTGCTTTTCATTTCCTTTGTTGTCGTTCTCTTTTCTTCATCTATCAAAGACGCTGTATTTTTTTGTATCATTATATCCCTCTATGTCCGCTTGTGTCAAAAATCAAAATGCTGATCATATTCATTCTCTTTTCCCCCTACACGTGTGTGATTCTAGCTTCAATCTACAATTCTGCAAACAACTCTGCATTCAACTCTCCAGCAGGAATGCTTGGTCACCAGCAGTTGCCTTCCTTATCTCCTCAGCCACCGCATTTGGGTTTAGGTTTGAATTCAGGATATAACAGCAACAGTAATGACTTTACTCCCTCAAATTCACCTTCACCGCCATTAAGCTCAGCGGGTATCAGGTTACCCAATGCACCGCTTTCCGATATCGCAGAGTATCGCAGTAACAGTGGCAATATGAACGGTGAATATAACAGCGGCGAGTATATTGAGTACAATGAGTACGATCGTAACAGCAATGAACCAGAACTGGGGTATTCAGAGTCATACGACTCTCCATACCTGAACAACTATAATCGTCTTCCCACCTCGGTATCTCCCTCACCTCACCCTCGTACTCCACATTCCCTTCCACTCCCACTCAGCTCCACCAATTCGCCCTATTTAGGCTCGTCTCACCTTGGCTCTCCACATTTAGGTTCCCCACATCTCGGTTCGCCGGGGAACATGGTTCCTAGTCCACTTGCAGAGGCTCAACTCCTTCAATCCCAGGCGTCAGCGGGGAGCTCTAATGGAAGCACGAGCACATTGATGGATATATCCTCTTCGCCTGAAACTTTGGTCAACCCAGACTCCGCTGGTACAAAAATTTCTCCGATGTTAATGCCACCTTCTTTGAGCCGAGAATTCACTGCTCCTGTTGGCAGCGGCCAACGCAATAAATCACACACTATAAGTACCAGTACCCCGTATGAAGCGTATCTGAATGCTTCCAGGGAGGCGAGAGGTCAAGAGAGGATGATGTATGGCACTCCTCGTGAACGAAGTGGGTCCGTGTCGTCTGCTTATTCGACGCACTCCGCGAGCTCTGCAAGTTCGGCCCATTCTTCGCGCGCATCTTCCATCCTTCTCTCTGCTCGTTCAGTGCATGCGTCATTGCCTGAAATCGAAGGCGAGGATACTGTGCTGGTCAGCGTGAGTGGGTCGATGGATGAGCTGCATATGGGCCTGGGTGGTTTGCATGAGATGCACGAAACCTTGGATCCATCTGTCTTGCATGGAGAGAGGGTTTGAGCCATGCGATATTCGTTATGTCAATCAATTGGCCTTCCTCAGCCACTCCAAGTATAGGGACGTTCTGAATCCGGATTTTGAACTTTCTATGCCCTGGAATTTATCTTTTTTCGCAATCGTTTCGTTGCGCGTATCTTTATTGTTCCTTCGTTCTTCTACTTCGCTCCCAAAAAAATGCGCGACACCTTTTCGTAAAACTCGACAATTTTGTCTGGAATTATTTATTTGTCTTCTCTACTCCGCCGTTTCCCCACTTCATCCCTCTATTTTCATCCCTCGTCCCATCCAGAACCAACCGATCTGTTATTTCATCTCACTTCCCATCTCGCCTCATATCTATTGATTATCTATTACTATTGTCATTATTTCCTTTTTGCTTCCTTTATTTGCTCCGTGTTCGCCGTTTGCCTTTGTCTGCCCTCATCGTTTTTGCGAAGTCCTACCGCAACGGCTTCCCTTAGCCTTCCCTTTCCTCGTTTGTTGGTTGTTTCTAGTTTCTCGTTCCCTTATCAACCCGCGCCACATTGCTTTCGCTTTCTCCCATTGTTTTTCCTTGTTCTCAGCACATAGGCTTGCATATATTCATTCATTTAAGCGTCTTTTGCTCTTTCTTTATGTGCTTCTACGGCGTCCTGTCGCTTTTCTTCTTCCTTTTTTATGTTTGGTTCTTTGATTATTGTATCATACTTTATGAGTGAGTGCCGGTTTACTCGTTTTTGGTTCTTCATTCACATCGTTGTTACTTTACCTTTGTTTTCTCTGCTTTTTGAATGTATCCGTCTGCCCCACCGCTTCTTCAACATAACGCGTGTGTTTCCTTCCCTTACGTGCTCCTTATTCTTCTTTCTCTTTTCATATCTCTGTCGGAATTGTTCTCGTTTTCCCATCGCGATTCTCCTCATGTTGTTGTATGTAATGTGTGTATTGTGTGTTCAATTACCTATGTACGAAGTAGTGTTAGGTATACTGTATGTGTTTATCTCGTGTTTTACGACTTGAATTTCCGTATGAGTAGATGTGTGCACCTTCTACAACAGAGATAAGTAACACAATCCGCAGGTTCCGAACTCCCTAGGCTTTGCTGTAATTTATTCAGCTTTGTGTATGGTAAAGCGTCCTTCCAGAAGCAGTATTACATTGGTTTTAAGTTCCGAGTGTATTTACTGACCCATATAATACTCCCATAAAGCATGTACCGCCATTCACTCTAGGTACCGCGTTTCTGTACGCACTACTACCGACCTGTGCCCGACTTCGATGACCATATACTCCGAGCGCTCCAACGCATGTCGGGAATGCCCAATATCATTTCTGACACCGTTTTTCCAGAAGAAAAGAAAAATCCCTTCAGGTGCCTTCTGAGTTTGAAATATCCCGAGAGGTAACTCAATATGATAATTGTGCCATTGAATATTCAATGAGCTTGTCTGATAAGACGGTTTTATACTATATGCACCAGTCAAACAACCTCACTCAGCGTCCAGTACATAACAGCAACGTAGCACTTGACGTTGTTCCTGTAAACTGACCTGAAGTGAGAAGTCTGAGGGCAAGCTGCGTCGTATGCGTCCCCGTGCGGCATGATGTTACATTCAATTTCGTGATGAAAAATGACATAGTAGCTCGAAATACTACGAGGTCATGTAACTTTCTGAGTGGGAATTGAAAGGGGGGGACTTTGGAGTTCGACCGGAATCCGCAAATCTTAGTCGCGGAGTTAGTACGTCCCGGAATTCATGTTTATTTTCTGACAAGAATCTGCAGTCAAAAGGACACTTATCACTAGCAGTAGTCAGGAGTAGTCAGGTCTCCTCTGCTCTATGCAAGTGAGTGGTGCAGGTGGTATTCGAACGGCACTCGGGTGTAAGTATATACTACAAGCTACCAGTGGTACGTCTACCCCTCCAACCGAACTGTCTTATGATTCCGAATGGTCATATACTTAGATTTCTTGTGCCTAGTCAACGACAAGCTCCTACAGGCTCCTCCCCCCTAGTACCGATTCCGTGTAAATTTTCACCTTGCTTCCAAGTCTTATGATATTTGCCGTACAGATGAAATATCTTTCAGATTCTTTTATAAACCTCTTCTCCTTCTCCGATCCTTCGAGTACCGTAAAACGACACTTCAGATTGGGCTTCTTGACCATCGGACCTCTATGTAACCTCATCGACTACGAGGAATAGTGCCGCAATCTTACAGAGCTTGCTTCTAATGCACCCAACTTGCCCAGAGCACCCGGGGTTACTATATAGAGTCTACGGTATATATTTCTTTCTTCTCTGAGCTATTTGTGCAGAATGCGGGCAAAAGTATCCGGCCGTGGCTTCATAAATAGCGGTGGCGGTTAATCGATAACTCAGCGAAAGCGAATACTTTCCAGATAGCGCTGCCGGATATGACCTTCGCTACCGACGGCTATACAGCCCCAATCTGGCAGGCAACAAATTCAGTACTAAGGTGAAAGTCCGATTGCAGAGGCGCTACTTTTCCCATAGGCACTCCGTTTCCTCTAACTTGAAGGGTCGAATTATAATTATAAGTACATACTGGTCAATATACGCAGGCGAAAGTGCTTATTCCCGAAATTCGTACCCTGTGTACGGCCACGGTTCTCGTGCGAGAAGAGTTAAACTCGAAAAGTCTTAGCTTTACAATTTACAAATGACCCGCCCCGCAGTCTCCAAAGAAAGGCAAATAGGCGCCCATTCAACCTCAATCACGACGTCACTACCTATCCATCCGAAGAATCTGAATTTGAATCATCTATCAACTTAGGCCATGGGCAAGTCCGGGACACACGCACACACTGATAAAATACACAGGGAGTGTTTTCGACTCTGAGCTGGTAAAAGGATTGAATAACATTACGTGCATAAGTTCCACATGAGCCACAAGATATGTGGTCAGATGTGCATTTTCTTTACAGTTCTTACTCAGTCCGTGGCCAGAACAAGCACTGAACAAGCCCACGAAAGTATGGTCTATAGAAATTAGAGGGGCTTATTCATATGACGGCCCGGGTTAAACCACCCAAAGATACCCAAGGATACCCACTGGCAAGGCTATGACTCGGACTGTACAAGACTGTACATGCATGGAGCTTCATTCAGGGGGTTAGCAACTTGGCATTTATCCAACTAGCGCCATATGCTCAGTTACAATATTATCCTAGCTGAGAAATATATACCAATCTCTAATAGGCAACTTCCGAATCCTTCTATGAATTCACGCGATAAAACTTCAATGAGCCAAAATCTGCAAGAGGTTTAAGCAGCCTCGAGGCACAGTCTTCAAACGGTTGTGCATACCGCAAGTCAGTAGTACATGGATAAATCCGATCTAGCATAGACAGTAGCAAACTCCGCAAACCAGCAAGGATGATTACGATGTAATGGCTGACATGCACTGGGAGGGCTAGAACAAATTAGCATTGGGGACATGGTTTTTCTTAGCTACACCAAGATTGAACGCAACCTTGTCAGACCCCGATTGACTTAAGTAATACCAACAAACGTTTCAGGGATCGTAAAAAGGATTTATTTGGCCGACCTTTCTGCGTGCTGGCAAGATTCCATCGCCTGGACTCAAACAGAAAATAGGTCTGATATACTCACAGTTACGACGGACGTTCAGCTTGAATTGTGTTCCTATTCCGTTACTGTTTGCTTTGACAAGCCTGGATAGTCAACATGAGTCAGCGTGAAAGGTTCCATGTCAAGGCAGACAACTAGAACACGGAGGAATTGAGTGTTTATTCAGGTGTCAGGCCTGTACTTAGTTTTGGACTTCTCCTTCTCCTGCCAGTGATAAGACGTAGCTGGTATAGATTCCGAGAATCCGGGTTGTGCAGTCACCCGCGGCCCCGCCCAGGAAGAAGCGAGAAGAAAAGGTGAGCGCCGTGTCATCCGGATTCGACAGTAGCGGTAATTCTTGCAAGTTATAACATAGGAAGAAGAAATACGTAATAGGGAATCCGTCACACGACGGTTGGACGTAGATTGGATGTAGCCTTATTTGATACCATTTCCTTGGAAGATTCTCCTCCCGTATCTCGGGAGGTAGAAACAGTTTGCGCAGGCACGCTCTAGTAGTAGTACGTTCATGTGAGTGTGAACCGAACAGCCTGAGACGCGTCAATAATGTAGTCGTCAAGGTCAAAGGTGTAACACTAGTGTAAAGGGATGATTGACCTATAGAACAGCCTGCATAGGTTCAAACCGGGTTCAAGCTGGTCGCATAAAGAATCATCGATCACGAATACTTGTGAAAGCAAGGATGAAAACCCAGGACGCTGAACATGGATTCCGAACAGGGAGATGATAGCAGTCCCAGTTCGACAGCTTCCATCGAAGGAACCGAGTACACTGAGCGAGACGCCAAGAGTCACGAAGAGGCTGGAGTGACTGACAGTAACAGCATCGAATCGAGTAAAAACCTAAAAGCCCCACTCTTCCTCCTTGCGTTATCCCGGCCCTATCATGGTTAGAATGAAGAAAGATTTTGAGGTACACGTAGCTTCTTGTCCATGGGCGTTAGGTTTTGACACGAAAAATGAAGCAGAACGGTGAACTGACTCGCAATAAGTGGATGCATAATCCGAGACCATCACTCAAAAATCTATAGGCTGCGACGGATGTTTCGGGCTTTGGCAATGATTCAATGATCTGCACAGAGTAAGTGTGTAAGCTAGTAGGCCGATCCAGTCGAGGATGATTGCAGAAGGCTATCCTCCGAGAGAAATCATGGTCACGATATCCAATTTCTTGCGTTTCAGCTATGGAGACGCTCATTTCGGTGGTTCTCAAGATGACATGCTAGCCTGAAAACAGAGGAGGATATCTGTGGCTTCTCTGCCGCAGCGAAAAGTCCGAGATTCGGAGGGCTGTACGTCCTAACGAACAGCCTTGAACAGCTGAGCATTTTCAGGTTTTACTAGTTTCAATCGATAGAACACTCACTCTTAGTCTAAAGAAAGCCTAACTCATCTCCGCAAAGTGAACTTGTGTTTATTGGAGCATAGTCTCCCGTTGCCCATCAGGTTTCATTGGGATAGATTACTTACTGAAGATTCGATCTTCGGTATACCGATAATAGATGAAGACAACGCTGATTGTAGAAGACATGAGGCAAAGACACGACCAGGTACCACTGACACTCCAGAATTTGAAACTTTCAGTCAATTTTGGGGACTGTACTGTATGTACAAGTACATGGTGGATGAAAATTGAACGGTTGAACATTTAATTATATGACATTGAATAAGCTGAATCACGTTTCTCTGTGACAGTGACGCAAGGTCGGACCTTGAGACCTGTTCATTCAAGTTGTTGCAATACTATGGACATCGACGAAAGCAGGAATCGGTACAAACGTCTTTCTTTGGCGGGAGAATCTACTTTATCTGTGGTCTCTCTTCATTCAACATCTTTGGAAATCTGCGAAATGGTCTATGGAGAGCATTCTACCTCCTACGATGCTGTCGAACGATTCTATGAAGCCAGTGCGAGTGAGCTATGATTGTCTCGTTGTAGAGTAAGCACTGATCGTTATGCTCACAGTGTAAGCTCCCGAAACTATAAACTTAGGGCATCATGGATTTATAATTCATTCAGATATGAGAATCCACTGGTAACTACTACCTCGCGAACAATGCTCACTGATATCCTACGGATTTCTCGCCAGCTGAGCGTAATAAATGTACCTCGTCCACTGGCGGTAGTTTACTCTTTCTTTCGTCTGCAAGTTCCAGACTACCTAAGCAGCCCATGGATTCATGCGTTGCGAGCTTGGACGGAAATTGATGACATTTGTGAGACCGAAAGCTTTGGTAATTGTCATCTCTTTGCTTCACATACTACAACTCGTTGACAACACTGAATATCAGACGGGCATCGCAAAACCATCGTTGAACACACACTCAATGTCCTTGTCTTTCCTAGTATACACTCCGATTCCGGGACTCCAGCAGCTCGGTTCAGTCATTCTACCGAATCTGCTCCGCCGACACCAGGCTCTCAGATACCTTCGTCCCATCCCATTCATCCGTCTTTACCAATTCCCGGTACATCCTTAACCGTTCCTTCCCCATTCCATCTCAAACTCCGCATTATCACACGTTTTTCCTTCAACGAACAGGGCCGCATAACCCACCACAGAGATTTCTGGGATGTTAAAGACGTCATGGGTCTTGTTCCCGGTGTCTCATTAGCTCAGTGGATTGGGACTAGATTAACTGCGAGAGGATTGTCTTATGCTTCTCGAGCATGGTTCAAAACATCGGGCGTACAAGCGTCTTCCACGGAAAATGATGCAGAAATAAGAGAATTGGAAAACGGCTATGGACCTTCATCCTCTCCCGCGGCCGACTATGCTAAATCTACCCAAAAAGCCTTTGCGGATTCTGTCGTGAGAAACGAGTAGTTTGCCTGCTAAGGAGCCAACTGGAACCAAAATTTAAGGCTTGGTATCCGAAAGTCAGTATCACTATCACAACTGTCTAGTCCTGTACTCAGTCATATTTTGTATGTGCTTTAGGATGATGCCATAACTCGCTGTGTACTGTTGCGTCCATTCTGACCCAAAGTCGTCGTTCAACCACATTGTGTTCAACTCTTGCTCAAATTCACCCATGACCCTGGCCACTGTCCAACCAAGATCTGTAAAGTCCACTTTTGAAGATAGATGGCGGTTCTTTTACCTTATAGGTCATAAACTACATCACCATCAAAGATCTAGAGGAGAGACCCCGGCCATCGTGATGATACAAGCTCTTTCCCTTCACGCCACTTAACACTCAACAGATCATGGGAGAGTGTAGTAGATGGTTGGATGTGCGGTCGACGTTGCAGAAGCTTTTCAAGGAATGGCTGTGTAGAGAAAGGTTATACTTGATATTTTCCTTTCTGAGCTCGTTCAAACAGATCGGTGGTACTTGTCAAATATCAGCAATGATTATACCTTTCTCAAAGATTCTTCCACATTCACATTTGCAAATTGGACCTGTGCAGCGAGCCCGCGTGGATGCGGATTTTGTCGATAACCATTCTCCGAAGCCGGCTGTCACTGTCGACATCCCAAACACAAGGAAAGAATTGAGTATGAAACACCGAGTTGCACACATCGATTCTTGCTTATCTTGAATGTATGTACCTGTTAGCTATGATAGATCACTAGATTTGGTCTATGCAGTATGGTATGTATTTATTTTTTCTATGCAGGAAGCCTCTAACTTTCACGGAGAAGAGCCTTCAACACTGGTCGATACGGAGTCTCACACAAATGCTCCTTGACGGCGTGGGTGCAGTGTCGTGCATTTCCTCTGGGAGAACGGTGATAAAGCTTGGCTAGACCTTGCGCAAGAAGGGAGGCGACGATGTACGTCTGCCCCAAGGTACTAATGCTCCAAAAAAAAGACACTACTGCAGAAAGCAGTACTTGATTATTGATGACATTGCCCTAGAAGATTACTTGAACTGATGATAGCAAGATGATGGACCCAAAGTTGAACGTCTTCCGTGTGCATACTTTATCACTACCTACTATCATTAACTACTAGCTAGTACTGTACATAGGTGCGCGCTTCGAATGGAATTGCGATTATAAGTATAGTCGGGCGAGACCCGACGCGCCGCCAGATCACATGATACGATATAAATTGCAGTGTGTGTGATATTTTTCAACCGTTCCCCACCATGAGCTTAGCAAGTCGGTTGCTACGGGTGGCGGCACGAACAAATAGAGGCTCTACTGGACTCACCTCACCACGTCGACTTCTGGTCCCCATCCATACTCAGAGAAATGCTGGCTATGCCACGGAGACGCCAGCTGATGCTGTGAAAAAGGAAGAATTCAAAGTAGCTTCGGAAATACCTCCACCAAGTGGTATTGCTGATCAAATAAATGACGGGAAGACAGATTGGTCCAAGAGCTACCATGGACTTTCTGAGCAAGCATTTGCTAAGGAAGTTGCAGAAGTGCTTATGGCTCCTGTGGAGCCTTTAGACGTTGAAATTAAGCCTGGTACGCGTAATTTTTTTTGTTAGCTGTCGGCAATATTCTAAGATTGAAAGCTAGACGGTTTAATCTACCTGCCTGAAATAAAATATCGCCGCATCCTAAACAAGGCTTTCGGTCCAGGAGGTTGGGGTCTCGCTCCCCGTACGGAGACAAATGTTGGACCGAAGGTCGTCAGCAGAGAGTACGCACTTGTGTGTCAGGGACGGTATGTACCTTGAACCAGAAGGCACCACCGTCGTTTACTCTGTTCGTTAGCTTGGTGGCTATAGCTCGAGGAGAGCAAGAATACTTTGACCCTTCCGGAATACCAACCGCTACAGAATCGTGCAAAAGTAATGCTCTTATGAGGTGTTGCAAGGATCTTGGTGTTGCGAGCGAGTTATGGTGTGTAGCAAACAATTACTATTAAATTCCCTTATACTTACAGATTTTCGCAATCAGGGATCCTCGTTTCATTCGTGAATTTAAAGCAAAGTATTGTGTAGAAGTCTTTGCGGAGCATGTACCCACCAAGAAAAAGTGCGTGCTTCAGTCCAGTCTTATTTGAACTATCTCATTTTTTGAAACAGGAAGAAGCTATGGCGTCGCAAAGACCAACCGAAATTAGGCTATCCTTACCAGGAGTCATGATTTCGATTCACTTTGCCTGCTACTTCTCTAGCCTCATGGATCCACTGCTGTCTTAGCACACATCAGTATGTCTGAACAGCTATAGAAAGGAAATTAATCATGGGTTGGAACAAGAACAACAGATGTAATTACAGTAGGCACATTGTGTGGATCCTGGCGTATCTGTACTTGATCCTAGACCGGTAACCGTCCCTCTATGAGGGAAAATCTAGCGAGGTTTTGCCACGCAAAATTTGATCTTTAATCATTCCTCCTAGAGGGCTTGGCCAAGCTAACTTGATCCCCACTCCGATAAACTCTCCTTACCATGAAATTCTTATACTCGGCACATATAATTCAGAAAGCATTGAGCAACAATAAAATTGGTTTGTTAGGTTATCTGAATATGATACAGGTATTCGTTGGGAAGATATACAATGATCAGTCGAATTCGCTATTATATGAGTAAGGAAAGAGGATGTAAAGGTGAAAACGAGGGGAAGAAGGCAAGAAGGCAAATCAATAACTTTACTGTAAGTATCCTCGTTCAAAGCCTATAGACCATGGCCTGTAAGTTAATACACCGTATGATTCCTGTAAAATGAACAGCATGAATGAACCATTTACCACGATGAAGGTTTTTACAAATGCTTTTGAGTTGTAGTTCATAGATCCGGAGTCTGTCTTGTTTCATTCTACTGGGCACCTGTGGCAACGGCGACATTTTCACCAAAAGGTAATTGAGGAGTCTTGATACCTGATGAGTCCTTTGGAGCGAACGCGCCTGCGGTCTCAATGACTGGAGTTAGCGTGATGGGAGGTACGGCCCCATTCTCGTTCGCCTTGGCGGGGACATCCTTCGTAGGAGGATTGCTGGACCTATAAGACGTATAGCGAATTACAAGATGACGGAGGGCTGAATGGAAGGAAATATTAAACCAACGTTCGCGGACGCTTGCTGCTCGGCATATCTGGGGAAGTATTACTTGACTTCCCACCCTTTAGGAAGATCTATCAGTCATAGGAGCTTGGGTGCATGATAACCAATTTGCACCTTTGTTCGTTTTACCGCTGGCTTGGGCTGACGCTCACCAGGATCGAATACGTTGTCGGGTAATAGAGAGCTATAAAAGACGTGAATTTTGAGTTGCGGGCACCAATCACAACCAATGGGAACCTTTTGGTATTTCGCACTACAATTCCCATTGTCGCTTCATCAAATTTCTCCCACATTTTTACAAGCTTAGTAAATTCGGTAGTCGGATATGATATATCAAGTCGCCGTGGTCCAACAGCACCAGCTATACATACATCATCAGCACCCAACAAGCTTGAAATAGGCAGACATTACGTTGTTTGGGTTCAATTGCTAATCCAACGTAAAATGTTGTAGTGTATACTGGTCCTGCACCATCTTTGCCTTCTATGTCTTCCTTCTTCCGCTTCGCGATGGTCTCCGATATCTCACCCTTAGCAACAGCATGAATCTCCTCCTCCGAAATACAGTAACAGACTTGCTCAAAGCCCTTGATGAAAGGATGAGCGAGAATCAAGGAATCGACATACTCAAGTTTCATGACGAGCTGCCGTATACGTGATTCCACTGTTCCAGACCTGATAAGAAAGAGCGAGCGTCCGCATGCGAAAGTGAAGAAGGGAAAGATATGTTTAGAGCGCACCACTTGATCTGTAAGTCTGCATCACCTGTCGAAGCAATGATTTGCAGATAGTAGCGATATTTATGGAAGAAGTCGTGTTTAAGAAAGAGTTCAGACCATTGGGCAGTGCCAACAATAACTTTGTCGACAATGTCAGCACCTGGACTATGATGAGCACAACGTCGTTTACTATTGGTGGACTATAACTACCCCTCTTGAATTCTTCGGTCGTAATCATTTGCGTTGAAGCTGTTACGTTGTGAGTTGCACACATTGCTGGATATGTCGGTGTGATAATCGGCATTCTATGTGCCCTATCCACCGGATAGAGCTAGAATTTTACGATCAGCATGAAATGTGGGAAGAAGTAGGGGTAAATGTTATACTTTTGGGTTCCAGACTTTGACCTGTAAAGGGCCCTCCTCGATTTGTTTCAATAATACAGGTTGTGGCCACGACCTGAGGTATTTATTAGGTACCGACGCTGGGTTTGAACCGTGATCACGCAAGTTTGCACACACCACTGGTACATGATGATGAAAAACCGGCTGACGATTGCCCCTGCAATCGCATTCGGATACAATTGACATATTCGGGCAACCAGCATCGCCCAGGCCACACCGCCAAAGAAACCGTTAACATTTGAATAGATAGCTCGTCCTTAGAGATGGATGAGAGGTGGATGAGAGGGCAAGAATACTGATGGACATACGTTGCGCCCACAATTTGATACATCGTAACGAATCTCTGAAAACTTGGACATTAGGCACGAGCCGCAGAATTTCATTTGCCACTCGAGAACCTGCAAAGGCAAAAAATTCGAGTGGGCGACTACACAGAAGAAAGAGGTGCGTACCTCCTAAACTCCGTACGCATCGTTCATCTATATTTCGAAGCAAATTATCATCCTGCAGGGAAAGGTCTTCCGGTATTGATGATAATGCCAGCCGAGCCATCAGGAAATCCATCGGTATTCCGGAGATGTTTGCTGTGATGATAGGTACATACGCCTCCGGAACACCCTAAAGAGGTATTTTGAAAAATGAGCAGGGACACAACTCATGACGGTGCTGACAGCCGAAAAGACAAGAATGATACGCACGGCTACCTCGGTTGCCCCGTCAAACTCTCTCAACATAGGCTCAAAAAACTCGAAGAAGTCATCCCGCGAAACATGTTTTGGGACCACACAAAGAGTATCAATATCGGAGCCAGGCCCATGAACACCCAACCGGTACGATCCAGACGTAAAGATTTTGCCACCAGAAGCGACCGCTGCAGATTCTGATAAACCTCGCATTATACCAACTTTTTGAACGAATTTCTTGACCAAAGCGGAGACACGACCTAATACGAGTTCTCTAAACCTGGATCAGTAATCTGACAAATTGAAATTGACGAGCTTCTGGCAGGAAAAAAGACGATAAAGATTTTTTGAAAAATTTGATGTAGTAAAATCCTTGTCCTCTCTCGGCGTTCTGAACCCTGGGAGGAAAAGGTTGTACGAAAAGATAGCATAAAATGCTCACCTTGTCCGCGCCTCTTCATCAGTTTCAAAAGTGCCCTGCCGTCGAAGTTCCTCCATCAGCGTCGATGTCACTTCCTTCTCTCGTTCGGTGGATTCTACTACAGAAATGGGAGGGGTAACTCCCAAGTAACTACCAAGGGTTTGAGCTGGAGCTTGCGCTTTAAATCTTGCGGTGATGCATACCCGCGGTCGTTGGTCATCTTGAAGGTGTTCTTTTGTTTGTTCTTTGAGGACAAGGACCGAGGGGAAACAGGCGAAAGATGGTGATGAGTGTGTTTAGGAAAGGAAGCGAATGAAGCAGCACCCGGCAAGCACCGACGGACGACCCTGTCAGAATAATCATGTGACTTTCATGGTCTGTGCGCAACGCAATATCTGAGTCTCAGCCTCTGCAGTCTGAGAGCAATTTATTATTTAAATTTCTCCAATATCCTCGTAACAGTAGAGTGTATTGTACCGAAATAGCGATGTAGAATTTGAATGAAGAAACGGAGCCCTGTAATCAAGGATAACACCAACTGTAAGAACAATGTACAACAAAAGCTAGAAGAGTATTCTACAAAAGATAATAAGTAGCAAATGGCAGATAGATAATAAAAAACAAGGTTTCTCTCTCTAAGTTTTAATGTACTTCGACCTTCGCGAAGCTTCGTAAAGTCTCTGCGCTTCGGCGCGTTTCAATACCCAACGCCGAATGAAAAATGCTAAAACCGCAACGAACAATAGTCCAACAATGACACCGACTACAATACCAGCAGTCGACGAAGAGGATTTTCCACTAGATGTAGATGAAGGCGTCGTCGCAGAGGGGTTGCCACCGAAAGGCCAGTAATCTCCACCATCTGGTGGTTGTACGCAGGTTAACGAGTTACCATCGCTGATTGAAGTAAAATTGCTTTGTGTCGTTGACTGAGAGACCGTACTCTGGTCAATGACAAATGCCGCAGGAGAAGGTGTGGTATCAGTTGAGCTACAATTGGGTCCTCGCGCGCCTATAAACGAAGTGTTGCCAAAAAGAACGTTATTCTCTACCGTGAAATTCTTCGCAGAAGTCATTCCAATAGCGTAACTGAAAGCACCCGAAAGACGGTTGTTGTAGACGTTGCCAGACAAGCTGACATTGTTACCGTATTCAGAGCCGAACCATGTCCGAGGGCCGATAGCGATCCCAATCCTGTTTGGGAGGGGAACGTGAGTGAAGACTTTATTAAAGCATTGAGAACCTGTATACTTGATAATAACGTCGTCCGAGCTCGTGCCATCAGTTTCATTAGACTCTTCTTTCTCGTCGGAAAATCCGCCAAGGATCGTGTTGTTGTACACGACTGTATTCGTGTAGTTCCCGTTCCAAGGATCATAGTCCACCATGTTAATTCCGCCTAAGAGTGTTTGCTAAAGATTTATCAGTCTCTAACACGATGAAGGTTTTAATGAAAACGAACGTTAACGACCCAGATCGTGTTATTATACACCTGGGTGCCTGGGGAGCCGAAAATAACAATCCCACCATCGGTAGGATTCTCAACCATGTTATTCCGCACGACTGCATTCTGACAGCTGATACTGAGCCCGTCTGCCCATTGCTGGAAGTCGTCCGTACCACAAGGCCCAACATCGTTATTCTGGACTGTAACATTGTTGCAGCTAAGGGCACCTTCCGAGATATGAAGACACGTCCAACCCCTAGGGTTATAAGACTTGACATATTCCACCAGCTGATTGGAATTGGAACCACCCATTTCCACATTTCCCCCACCAGTGACGGGAGCGCCACCATTCCGTGAACCATTGATCTATCAGAATACCGTGTTAGAGCCGCTGACATATACATGTTGGCTGATCGTGCTGTACCTGCACGTTACGCAGCCTGACTCCATCGCACTGAGCGCATGTTCCGTCGATAGCGGTGGTCTGTCCAGTGCCGTTATTCACCGTACCGTTCACGATAATTAGAGCCCTCGAGTCGTCGGTCGGGTAACCTTCTGTACTGATTTCTTGATTAGCAAACGCGAAAAGTATCGGGGCTTGGATAGGATATTGAGTGTTGGGGCATAATGATAAAATGTATCCTTGGCCAGAAGAGTTTAATGCAACGTTCAAACGATCTGTGAGAGTGTTTGTTGGGTCTGCTGCGAAACAATTGGATGCGCGAGGGGTATGCCTGTAACGGATGAGCACATGGCGGAGAGAAAAAAAAGAGTTGGGGCGCACCTGCGACTAGAGTAAGAATCCACAAATTTAGTACCGCCCATCTAAAGCAAAGGTAATGGAAAGGAAGGAGGAAATGAAAAACAGTGATAGTTGTTTATAGGTATCCAAACGGTGATAAAGAGCGTCGGCGGCGTATAGTGGCCGTATTGATATTTGCGAACGGCAAGCCTCACCGTAAGCCTTGCGAATGAAGGCAGATGAAGGAAGGCGACTATCAAAAGTCGAAAGAAAGGACTTAAATAAAACCGCGCGCCAAGGCTCACGTTGAGTTGGTTGTGCATCAATTTCCAGGGCTTTCCCAGGGCTTCCCCTGACCTTCATCTTCGTGTTATCCTATAGGTAGGTCATCCTCAATGCTCATATACATAGTGTAATAGAGCAGCCATTCGAACTTTTGGGCTTGAACCTCTTTAGTAACTCTACCTGCGAGTCTTACATTCGTGAGTTTGTGAAGTGAACGAGAACGATGGTGGTACGGTATTGGTCTTGGTACAGGCCTACAGGGACACATAGGGGTCCGTTGATCACTAAAAAGCACTAAAGGCAATTAGGACAAAGACATCGATTACATATAACGCGTTCCGTTATATATGCCCTCCAAAACCCTCCAAAGCTCTCAAGGATCTTTTCACCGTAATCATTGAAAACTCAACTTTCCTTCATCTCTATCTCGGTGGCCGCATATGGAGTTCCGATTCTGGATGATCCAACAAAAGATGCCTCGGGGTCAAGAAAATCAAGATCAGGAGTAGGAATATTGGCCATCGCATTGTTATTCCCAAAGGGTGTTTGGAAACTGGCAAGGAACTCCGTGGCGCTCATGATAGGAAAAGGGAGAGCAGACAACTCTGGGGACGCCAGTATATTGGTCTCGGATTGAACGGTGGCAGGTACTGATGTGCTGGATGCGTGTGCACATACAACACTCAAGTCTGTCCGAGTCTTGAACAGTCTGTAAAGCTTCGTGTTGCAAGGTTGCACAACTTGTTCACCAACAGCCAGCTTCGTATCATTAAATCTATTCTATCGATCGTATATTCAATAAGTTGCTCTGAACGTTGGTCGTAGATAGTCGTGGATTAAGTCTGCCTTTCTCCGTCTATCTGCCAAGGATTTGTTAGCTTTGTTAGCTGGGTGTTTTCAAATGTTCTCAGTCTGTATCTCTCCAAGATGTTCATGGCATTTCATGGTCTTTGAATAATGCTGGTCTTGTCAAAATGTCAACGACAGATCATCATTACTGAGAGAGACCTAAAATATATTGTTCCCATGATCCTGGTTTTTGTAAGTCGATATGAGGATCTATGTAAATTCTTGAAGGCAGCATCACTACCTTCATGGGAGTACTACATACGTAGTGTCTGGGCAATTCTCCATTTGAATTGAACGTATCGTATCAGATCGTATCATTCGGTATTCAATATCGGGGTTTTGATAAGTTCAAATTCATGGTCAGATTACAGTTCGTCTCAGTTCGTTCGGTCGACTTTAAGCAGGTCCAAGTCAATAATTATCTCTTTTCCCTTAGGTTGAGAATCAAATCTACGATATCAACTTCGAGGAAATGCGATCAATCACAATGAACAATGTAGAGAACAGAAGCAGATGGACAGATATGTGTAAGTTCCTGTAAGTTCACGCTAGTACTGTATTCCGATCTTTATATCAGTTACAGTACGGTAGCAGACGGTATGTACATGGTTCAGTGGTTTCTTAAAATATTATATACGTTTTCGCTATCCAGGGATTTGAAGGCAGCCCCAGACTATTGAATAATATCAAACAGCGTGTCCAAAAAAAAGTTTGACTTCAACTTCTTCGCACCTTCCCGAGCTCTCCAAACATTGCGCTGGCAATAAGTACATACGGTGCCGCTCAAGGGTATTCTGTTATTAGACAAATGGAAGGTTCAAACTGTTCAAAGTCCCATCCGCGGAACAGTAAGAAAGATCGTCATATTATTTCAGAGACCAACAGAATAAAAGATGGAGATTGGCCAAATACAATTTCTGAGCCGGTACAACGGAATCAACAGGAAAACTAATATCAAAAAATCAAGAACGCTCACTTCGTTGAAGTTCGTTTCACGCATTCATTGGGAGAGCACTTACCCGGACATAGGATTCCTATAGTTCGGAAGCTAAGCCGTTTCTTTAGCTCTTCGTCCTCAGCAGTAGGCCAGCATCTCAACTTGAGCACCAATTCCTCAAACCGGCTTCAACCTGCTTCGACCTTAGTATAGCACACATGTTATAGACCGGGAATATCAAACGACGAATAGAGGCAGAGAATCAACTGACGGTTTCCAAGCGCCTTCCGCCTAGTAGTATCTTAAGAAGAGTCAAGCAATGAATTCGGAAGCAGAATGTCCAAGAAAACATTTGTTAGTGAGAAACAGTCACATTTCTAGCTAGAAGGAGATGTCAAAACTCAAGAAAGGTCCCAGTGCGCGATGTCGACAATGTAAATTATATTGTCAGAAAAAAGAGTCATCCATCTTCGTCATTCCCGAAAATTTGAAGAGATAAAAACGGAATGTTAGCGGCGATACGAGGAGCTCCGGTCTCTATCACGATCTCCGTCTAAAGATCGACTACCCCGCCTGTACCTTTGATCATATCGGTCAGCTGAAGGAGACCGGCTATGTGGTTCGGAGGAATCCCGATCATGACGCTGTCGCCCCGTGGGTGAGCGACTATGTGGGCGATACGACCTCCCAGGAGACCGGAACCTTTCCAGGGTTCTTCCTCCATTAATGTCTCTGCCCCTGCCGCCCCCGAAAGATTCCAACAACTTTTCAACACCCAAAACTCCAGCAGATTTTTCGCTTTTCTTCTTTCGCTTCTCCTTCTTTCTTTCTTTCCGAGCGCGGCGTTCCTCGGGTGTTTCGTCTTTGTGTTTGCCTTTTGATTTAGACTTCTTCGCCTTTTTGAGAGCTTTGGCTTCTCGACGTTTTTCCAAAAGATAGTCTCGCATAGGGTCTTCGGGGTCGATCTCTGGACCAGAGTCTTCCGATGATTCAGAACCTGGATCGTCATCTGATTTAAAAATTAAAGTAGTATATCAGACTTCACGACGGGGTACCGAGCATGACAAACGAACCAATAATGATCTCAGGTTTCGCGTTCAAACTCTGTTCTTCGGCCTCGATCCATTCGCCATCCTCTCCTTTCGTCCGGGGCTGCTTGTAGTTCTTGACGTGATCTACACGCAAGGTTCGTTCAAGGACTTTTGCACCATTCAAATTGTCTACTGCCAGCACGGTCGAGCGTTGATCTTCGTACATGATAAATGCGAAACCTTTTGCCTTGCCAGTATCCTTGTCACGAGGCATATTGATATCCATAATCTCTCCATACCTGTAAATTAGTCTAAGTATCGCTCTGCATTGAAGAACACGATGAGAGCTCACTGGGAGAAAATAGTAATCACGTCACCTTCAGTCAGTTCTGTGTTGAGTCCGCCAGCGAAAACATACGCGGAATCCTTGTAGTCGTCGTGCCAGGACGCGCCAGACAAGCCCAATTTCAGCTCAGCATCGTTGATCTTATTAATTTCCTTTACTACACTGGAGATACAGGTTCGTAAGTGCCTTTCTCTGAGGAACTGAAAGACTGACTTCATGATAGTTGAGTTCAAAAGCGTAACTTGTTCCCAGGGTCTATATTTGAGTGAAATTTTTTTCAGAACGTTACGCTCAACGATGTCCTTCTCATTACCACCGATCAATGATAATCCAGATGGAGGCTGGGGCCCTTCCTCGTCCAACTTTCCTGGCCAGTTCAAGTTCAAGGACATTCCCTATGCTCCGTACTCAAAATCAGACAAGCTCGGTCGTTTCGCTGATTGGAACGAAACGACTTCCGATACCCGTCAGAACGCTGTAGGAATGGTCTCTACACAGAATACGCGAACTGGTCCTGGAGGTAGAAGGAGAGAAGGAGCTCAAGCCTTCGGTAGCGGGACTGCGAGTGCTTTCGCCTATTTCCATGTCGAGGACGAATCGTCCTTCTCCTTGGTCGACAACAAAAATGCACCTCCTCGTCGTGGAGGGACCTTTATCCGTGGCAGAGGTACTGCTAGAGGTGGTGTAGGTAATTACAATGCTAGGGGAGGTGCCCAGCGTGGTGGCCGTGGTGGATTTGGAGGTAGAGGCGGGAATGCACAACGTGGCAGACGTGGATGGAGAGACTGGGATAAAGTGAGTCGAACAGAGAAATTAAGAATGCTTTAACATTCAAACTTCTGCTTCCAGGGTGGCCGCGCTCGCGAATCTTCCGTGGTCATATCACCACAGTGGTCTATGCTGGAGGAAATCGAATTTCATAGGCTTGCCAAGCTGCGTCTCGAGGTGGACGAACCAGAAAATATGTGCGTTGCGATCTTGTCAAACATGATAATCTGCTCAATATTGTGAAACACAGCGATTCGTATGGTCGCTTGTTCGCCTACGATAAAACTTTCGATCGTATTACAACCAAAACTGAGAAACCCCTACAACAGCTCGACCGTATCAAGTATAACACAACAACTTCTGACGACCCTGTCATCCAGCAGGTTTGCTTCACTGTTCTCGACTTGATCGACTGTTCTTCTGACTTCTTTCATGGTCCAGCTTGTCAATAAAAACACTGCGACGATATACACCACCGATGTCATTCTTAGCGTGCTCATGTGTGCACCAAGATCCGTATATCCCTGGGACATTGTGATCGTTCGAGAAGGCAACAGTTTATATTTCGATAAAAGAGATGGTGGTCCATTTGACACAGTGACCGTCAACGAAAATGCTGCAGATCCTCCTCAGGACCCGTCCCCTCCTAATCCTAATAACCCCAACGAAAAGGTTCCTGATACACCCTCTATCAACTCAGCCACCTCTCTCTCGCTTGAAGCGACCTATGTCAACCAAAACTTTGCCTTCCAGTCCGTGGTCGAAACCAGTCCTCCACCTGCCGTCGACTTTTCCAACCCGAATCCCTTCTACGGTCCAGACGAGACGGAACCTCTCGCTTCATGTGGATACCGTTACCGTGTATTCGATCTCAGTGTTCAGGAAGACGAGAATTTCAAGATATGTGTTCGAACTGAAGTCGATGCTTATCTTCCCGGTTCTGGGAACCCTCGTGAAGGCCAAGGTTTGGTCACCATCCGAGCTCTGAATGAATTTGATCCTAGAGCTGCTGGGGCTGGTGGTGCCCCCGATTGGAGGACCAAGCTCGATTCTCAACGTGGTGCAGTCGTTGCCACCGAGATGAAGAACAACAGCTGTAAACTCGCCAAATGGGCAGTTCAAAGTATTCTTGCAGGAGCAGACCTGATGAAAATTGGGTACGTATTATATGTATCATCAGTCTTCCTTCCTACTAATTGTCTGGTATTCAGATATGTATCACGGTCTAATCCTCGAGATGCAGCTCGTCATGTTATCTTGAGCACTGCGTCAATGCGTCCTACCGACTTTGCTGCCCAGTTGAATGTATCTCTTAATAATGGTTGGGGTATTGTCAGGACCGTCGCCGATCTTTGCATGAAGATGCCTGAGGGCAAATACGTCCTCGTCAAAGATCCGAACAAGGTACAGGCACAACTACCTTTTTCTTCATGCATGACTGATTCGTAACCTTTATAACAGCCTCTCATTCGCTTGTATGCTATTCCAGCATCTACATTCTCAGGTGAAGACGAGGATGGGGAAGGCTTTGAAGATGACGAAGCGTAATTTCTTCGTTAGTATCATGAGAAACTTGAAATGCTTGATCATTACGAGCTCATTGGAGGTCCTGAGGCGTATGCGTACATGTAATATATATTGGGTGGCTGCTGGTGTAAACCTGATATCAACATTATTGTCTGAGTTCCACATAGAACCGCGTAGGGACCATTAAAAAGATCGGGCAGTGACTGAGCATAATTCCACATGTGACGCACCCGTGGCGTACTGCCTCTAAGTTTCTTTCAATTAAAATTTGATTCCGAAATTCGTAGTCTAAGGCATGTCTTTTGAATATGCATCGGTTTCCAAAGGTACGTTGGAAGAAATAGCTCTTTTGTGCACACTTTTTGATGCTTGACATGCAGCTCTTATGATAAGCCTCGCTATGGCCTCTATTGTCGTTGGGGTCTTCGATGTAAAACACTACTTCCAACTTCAAGTAAGATCACAGTCCAAACGTTACAAGCGACATTCTCAAGCAGCACCCATTTGAAGCTTGTCCCTCATCTATCAAAATACCATCAGGTTTGTTTTAATACACGATGTGCTTCTTGTAATCTCAACGAACCCAGTATTGGCGCTTAGCTTTGCACAATTTTGCATTTGCAAACTCGAGCGACTTATTTCTTGCGGAATTGATCCTATTTCAGGATGGAATACAAGTAGAACGTTGTTTTGGTTCCCTGAAATTCGCGGTACGAGCTCAACCGATGTTGTCCTCTATGTGGTTACACTCATTCGATTAAACTCGTGCAGTCTTTCATCTTGGTATCTACGTTGCTGTCCACCCTCCTGGAATTTATTTCTCTTCTACTATTTCATCGCGTCGGTCTCAATCATCTTTCCTCGGGCCCACTTGCACTGGTCTTCAGTATCCTGTACCAGTATTCCAGAATTGTTCCTCCAATTTATGAATTCAAGGTGTTTGGCATCGCTTTTAGTAACAAGAGCTTCATGTATGCTCTTGCCCTTCAGGTGCGACCATCATTGTTATGATCAACTCTATGAGCTAATTCTTTGCCAGCTCGCAGTCGCACGTCTTCCTGGCTCAGGGGCTGCCGCACTCATTGGAATTCTGGCAGGCCAAATCTACCGCTCAGACTTGATCAATCTCAAAAGCTATCGTTTAGGACCAACTATCATCGGCTTGTCGACGCGTTATCTCAGCCCGCTCTTGGGTTTTAATCGTCCCCCGCGACGCAGCAATCGTGCTTTTCCAGACGCATCCAGAAGAGCGACCGGTTCTCGACAAGTCTCTCCAAACGACGAAGTGGTAACCACAGCCAGGCCTACAACAGGAAGTACAAATTCGAGAATTCGAACTACTGCGGCTGCAGGAGCCGGTGGTAATTCAGTTGTTCGAGATTGGGTCCAGGGTTTGACTGGTCGAGGAGACGGTACTACGGCTGGTGTCAGGATTCCACCTGACAATGAAATCACCGAATTGACAAACATGTTTCCGGACATATCGAGGGAAGCAATCATCGGAGCTTTACAAAGAAGGTACAATATCATTACATCGTATTTCCAAGGCCAGAGACTCATTTCTCGAACAGTAGGAATGTTGAAGGCGCAGTCGAGACACTCTTAAGCTCCCAGATATCATAATCCATATTGAGCGCATGTTATATGAATCCTAACTCTGAGAGCCGACCTACCTAGGCTAAATTACGATTGTTTTTGACATGAAATCTCAGGTTTGGCCAATTTTCTTGATGTTTCACGATGGTCTTATAAGAGGGTTCACTTGCGGTTCTGTACCAGTGAGTGTTGACGGGGACTTATTTGTTAGTAACATATGGAATTTTTACAAGCGACGACGGGTTTCGATTGTTGCTTTAGTATGTATCGCTTTGGGGGTCTCTCCTGACTCTCTACGTCAACAGCTATCTCAACTTTTGCCTCTCCGCTGACGATGTTTTTGGAATAGCAAGCATTTCTCACATTCGGCACCTTCGTCACTGGCTCTTACATAGCTCCCACTAGTCATACGCTCCATTTACTAGTACCTGGCCTGGATCTGGTCATACTTTCTAGAGGATCTATGAAAGTCTCCGAGTTCCCAGGATGACATTGCAAATTGGGGTCAACCTTCAAGTGACAACACCCGATTTAACATGATACAATCAACACTGCTTCGTATGCTCGCTGTCAAAGGTTCAGCCAACTGAGCGAGAGTGCTCAGAAAATGGTAGCATATGGGGCGGCGTTTTTGCATGTGGGCTTCCTCAGCGCAGCAAATTTACGAATGAAAATAATTCCTAGACTCTACCAAGTAAGTACATGCTTCTGTGGTAATGCTTTCTTCACTTATATCTGCCGCTGGCCACCATAATCCGTCATCATGATTTGGCAAACGTCTCCATCGTCCGAGTCATATATATTTGAGGCATCTCATGGTTGAATCTCAAAATCTCAAAGCCTTATTATTGTCGGAGTAGTTTCATTTCATTGTCTGCAGGTACTGAATGAATTTGTGCTTTTCTGTTCTAAAAGTTAGATACAATTTAGATTTCGGGTTTATTTCTAACATTACAACCAATCCTTACAACCGAATACACATACTGATAACACCGCCCCAGTTCGTCAACTTGTGTTGACAGGATTGGCTACTAGATAAGTGAGCAGGTACCCATGGATTCGCAACGGCTTTGTAGCGGGTTTCAAGTACAGCGAAGGGAAGTCCAAGGGGACCTGTCACCGAGTCAGTGTTATTCAGTGTTCTGGGGTTGAAAGAGAGATCTAAAGAATGTTATGTCTGAAAATTTATGAAACGTTAACAGACGTTAAACCTGTCAGGCCTTCAAGATGCATGGGGCCTGAATCTTGCCGCTGGCTCAGATCAACATCGCATGGCAACCGTGAAAAACTTGAATGTGGGAGGTAAAGACACTGCCTGCATACGTATGGGTCTGTGAGCAAGACAGCGAAATATTATTAAATACACGGTAGCGACTAAAAGCCTGGGTTATAGATTAAATTTAATTATGAGAACTCTGAGGACTAGCAGAGCCTACTAGTACATGCAGTAGAAGGAGACAAAGGGTTGGAGCGCTTGAGCGCCTACTGGGTAGTCCGGGCCGGGGAACATCCGACAATGTCAGACGAGGCTGAGCCTATCGTTTACTGTTGGCAATGGACTAGCACTTCATCATCATTATTAATCCTTGCGACCACGCTTCATTCATTATGAGCAAGATGCTCCCTCCACCTCTGCTTGCAGCTCTACCCAGACCGAACGACGCGGACGCTCCTGAACAATTTTTGGTACAGTTACGCTCGATCATTAGAGAAATTTTGCCCCGCGACGAAAACACGCGAATCAGCGCTTCAGACAATGCTACTTGGGTTCTAATTCTAAATCAACTCCACGATGCGTTCTTGGTGACGTTTTCGTTCAACGATGTTTGGAATGCTCAACCAGAAAGAGTGAAGTTGGTGGAGGCGTGTTTGGAGACAATTGAGTCGATTTTGAATCGCGTCGATGGTGCTTTAATAGCTCGAAAGGAAGTTCCTGGGTCGAAAGATATTCCGAGGAAGTTATTCTGTGCTCTCTTCACGCTGTGCCACACATTGGACTTGTACGCCGACACAGACATCACTCCACGCGATGGCGTTTCTATGCCGGATGCTTTGCGCGAATCTGCGTGCCGAACAGCAAAGCTTATATTGAGGTGTATGGGAGGATGTCATTCTCCTACTGGAGACGAACCAATGTGGAAAATCATGCGGAGTATCATAGAAGAGTTGTTGAGTTTATCGCACGGTGAGTTACATGCTATCGTTTTCTTGGCCGTTTCCTGACTTTTTGCACAAGATATAATCAACTCTAATCTTCCTCTGGCCTTTCCCTTTGATGCGTCGCCATTTCGCAGACCTCGCTTGCAACCTATTGACCCGGACGCTTCTCAAGAACGAGTCATGATGATAATATCTTCTCAAGCTGACATTCCACGGTTTTTGAGTCTCATTATTGATATTACAACGAATGCTCTTTATCCAAACACTCTTTGTGGTTGGTTTCTCTTTGATCTGGAACAGAAGGTGATTGAAAATGTTCAGCAAACTTTCGACTACTGCTTGTCTGTCCCTTCGGCTGCACGATTTAAAGGATGTACCATGATTCTCTCTGCTCTTCCATTTGAAGTTTTAAAATGCAAGGATCGCATCTCACCTCTGATGAATCTCCCTTTTCGCCTTCTTCGACGACGTCTGCTGGCTGGACCTTCGACAGCATGGGATGTCGTTGACCAATTCTTTCTGGAAGCAAAAAATCTGCCGATCCTGGTAAAAGCTGAACTAGTAGAAATTCTTGGTTTCGCTCGTGGAGAACGCTTTGAAGGACATCAGGTAAATATATATTTTCATGCACAGTATAACATTGCCGACAACTTTCTGAAGGCCGTGGTCATGGCATATATTGAGGCTTGTTTTTCGCAAATGGACATCGATAGCCTGAATACTCTGTCCAAGGTGATTGCAGGAACAGAATTTCGAGGAGAAGTATGTGCTCGTATCTCCGAGGTTATACGAAAACGATTTGCAGTTCTAGAGGTCGAAACTGTCGTCAAGGGACCTCTGCCAGCCTCTCCGTGGAGAGGAACACTTTCGACTATCGTACAAGATCTGGCACAACCAGAAGAGGTAGACTGGATGGAAGATGACGATGATCAACGCTACGTGCAATATGCATTAGACGACATAGTTTCTTTATACAAAACGTTGGTCCCTATTCACCCATTTGGTTTTGTCAATGACGTGTTGATCTTCCTTTCATTTTTAGACGCCATCCTCCTACTCATGAATCTCGAACATCTGTACTTGAGTCAGCGACGCATCTCTGCGACCTCCTTCGAACAAGAGGTTCTCTCAAGTGGTCGACTACTCCCCTCTGCTTCGTCCTGTCTACGTGGTTACTGCAGGGCCCAAATGTACCGACAGACACTAAACGAAAAGTGTTCGTGATGGTCGCTGGACTGTTGAAGCTCCATACTATGAACGGATCCCCAGATGAGACATTATATCCTCTTGCAAGACTTATATATAGGAATCTCCTTGATTCGAATGCTAGTGTCCGATTGAATGTGGGGTAAGCCGGTAGTGTCCATTCCTTACGATTAACGTTCTGATTTTGTCTAAGCAAAGCTCTCGGGGCCCTGGTTGCGCTTTACGGCGAGCGGAATACTGATGTCTGGGAACGCACTGATGCATGTTTTGCTCAATTTTACGGGATCATGGAGGGCGGAAAGTTGACAGTGAAAGAAACGGCTGTCCTGGTTGTCGGCGGAATGGCCAAGTGAGTATTAAGTAGATTTGTTATGATCGAAGGAAGGAGTTCTGACGTCGGAATTCAGGGATCCCACTTTGCACAGTGATATCATTGGTCAAGCGCTGTGCTTCTTGGTCGCTCAGCTAGGGAGGACTAATCCGGTGCTGAAAGGCTCGGCCTACATGCAGGTACAACTTCCCTAGTTGTAAGCACCAGAAATTGACTGACCCACGTGCTTTAAGATTGTGGCGGCCGCTAAAAGCCAGAAAAAGACATCAGCCTATCCACTGCTCCTGCCATACATGGACAAGATTGCTCCTTTCCTCGTCACTCGGATGTGCTCACAGCCGACGATGATCTCCGAAACTTGTAGGCTTATGTGTATCAGCGTCGCAGATTTCCTCAGAACTACATTGGGAAAAACTCTTCCAACTCTATTCGCCAATCGAGAACAAGCTGTGCTCGATGCCATGGACAAGGAACTATCACAGACCCCCACGTCTATGTTCTTGCATAACAGCCATGGAATACTAGCGCATGTGTATCGACTAGATCAGGGAACACATAGTGCGCTTGACTTTATTACAAGAATGCTTTCGTCTGCAACAGTGGCATCAAACGGCAAAAGGACAACAGTAGATGCCCAGAGTATCACAAAGTCCTGTGTGATACCACTTCTCGCTGAGCTCGTCACCTCGTTGGGTGATCATAATGAATTAGTGGCACAGAACGTGCGTGCTCACGGACTGACATAGAACTTAAGCTAACAGGTTATATCTAGGCCATTGATGCATTGAGGAAGGTCGACAAAGTCCTGAATGGGTCCGATCGGGGAGATCTAGGGGCTTTCCTGAAGAATTATATGTTAGGATTGATATCGCATATCAACGATATGCTGCAGGACGTGCAAGGGAAGAAGTCGGTTGACGCTAAAAAGAAGATTCTGAAGAGTCTAGGAGTTCTCATGACTCAGATTGGGGCTGCAACCGCTAGCATAGCTCCTCAGGTTTGTCATAACAATTTTGTTGGTGTTCCAGTTTTGTTGATTAGCCTGGAAGATCATGGCCACATTTCAAACAATGGTTGGCTTTCCTGAGTTGTGTGAAGAGACCCTCTACAGCTGGCATCAATTTATCACCATGCTCAATGCAGAAGAATTGGCTCCTCACGTTGGCTCAACTAGCGCCGCTTTCGTTACTTCGTGGTCCGCTTTCACCCTTCCTGCACGATCACTAGCAAAAAAGACTCTAAAATATATTATCTTGGATAAGGGCTCGGAGCTCATTGATAATGGCCTTGATGATTTGGTGGATATGTCTACTATTCCTGAATTACGTGACATATATGAACACATACTCAACTTACGGGGAGAGTTAACCCCAGTATCGCGGTTGAGTTCAATTCTGGAGCGTGCTTCGACACACAATCATGCTATGGCCCTCCAATCCCTCCACGAACTCAAGCAATTCATGCTAATTGATCACCGAGATCTCATAAGGGAGTTGGCATCTGGCGACGTCTTCGATCCTTTGGTTGGGCAGGTCCTCGCGGTCCTTCTTACTGCAGCTGGACATGACGTTGACGAGAGCGATCCTCTCCGTTCACTCGCATTCGAATGCCTTGCGATACTTGGCGCAGTCGACCCGGATCGCTGCGAGCTGCGAGTGAAGGAATCATCTATGATAGTCTATCAGAACTTCGAAGACGACGAAGAATCGATTGCTTTCGCTCTCCATTTGATCACAGATCTCCTCGTAGAGGCCTTCCGTTCGACGAGTGATATGCGATATCAAAGTCATCTCGCATTCACGATCCAGGAACTTCTGCGCTTCTGTAACTTCACGCCCGCTTTGATTACCCCTAGCCGTCAGAGTGTTGCTGTTAAGGTTCGTAAGAGGTGGAACAGTCTACCCAAACATATATTGGAGACAGTGACACCTCTGTTGGAAGCGCGATACAACCTGATTCACACGTCGAGCCCATCTGTCCAGAATCCAATCTATCCGGAGCGGTCAACTTATAGAGAGTGGATTCAGCTTTGGACCATGCATCTCATATCTCAAGTTTCAGGTAGGACTGCACAAAAGATTTTCGGGGTTTTTCCTTCTGTCATCCGCAACAAAGATGTTGCGGTGGCTCATAGACTTCTCCCTCATCTTGTTCTTAACGTGTTGTTATCTGGATCGGAGGAGGGTACCACAGAAATTCGATTGGAAATACTCGCGGTTTTGGAGGATCAGGTTAATCTCGGTAGTACTTCGTCTTCTGACAAGAAGATTCTCAGTGCACAGGTTCGTCTAAACACACGATTGACTTTGACGTGGCTCACAACTTGCTAAGGCTGTCTTCATGCTTTTAGATCATCTCAATCGATGGCTACGCAAGATTCGGCAAGAGGTTACGAAAGAGAGTAATCCTCGTCAAGTTTCGGAAGCCCAAGAAAACCTCGTGAAGGTGGACTCCGTTCTGTCAAATATCAATCAGGATTTGTTAGCGAAAGCTGCTCTACAGTGCAAAGCTTACGCTCTATCATTGATGAATTTCGAAAGTCGTATTGTTGAGCTGCAACAACGTAGCTCTAATCACCACGATCTTCCGACGTACTATGAGCACCTTCACGAAATCTACGCCCATCTTGACGAGCCAGACGGAATGGAAGGTGTATCAACAATGATTCTATCTCCATCATTGGAGCATCAGATTCGGCATCATGAAAGCAGTGGCCATTGGACCTCTGCACAGAGCTGCTGGGAAGTGAGACTTCAACAATTTCCGGACAATGTCGATTATCATCTGGGCCTCCTTCGTTGCCTCAGGAACCTTGGGCACTACGGTCCGTTTGTTTTCTGAATTTGCGGTGTCGTTTTCAGTGAATAAATCCCCCTTATAGATACACTGCGCACCCATGTGCGGGGTGTACTGACACGAAATCCTGATTGGCAACCAGCATTGGCAAGCTTTCAAATTGAGAGTGCGTGGATGGTCGGCGCCTGGGAAGATGTTCAGAATATCGTCGACTCTACGGACGTCGCCACTGCTCAGATAGCCATTGCACGTCTCCTGCTGGCCTTGCGATCACGTGACTCTGCAGCTATCACTACCGCGCTAGATGGCGCTCGAATGGTTTTGGGTGGACCTATTGCAGCTGCAGGAGTGAATAACTATAGGCGGTCATACGAAGCAATGTTGGACCTCCATCTTACGCATGAGCTCGAGACCATTTATAACGCTATATCGTCTCTTTCGGAGCAATCCACAAGTGTAAATTCTGCATTGATGAGGCTGTCGGAAATACTGTCCTCTAGGCTAGACAGCACCCTTCCTACTTTCCGTACCCGGGAATCTGTGCTCAGTATGAGACGGACAGCTTTTGCTTTGATGTATGAATGTCATCCGCTTCTGACAGCCCAAAACTAACATTCTTTCTAGCAACATTCCCGGGTCGCAGGTCTTGAGAAAAGAAATCGGACGCTCATGGCTTGCTAGCGCAAAGATTGCTCGTAAAGCTGGCCAATGGCAGACTGCATATAGTGCCATGCTCCAATCTCAGCAGAACAAAACTCGATATTCGTTCATGGAGAGTGCGAAACTAGTAAAGGCCATGGGTGATCCACTGCATGCTCTTCAACAACTGGAAAACTCCATGCAGCTACATAATCTATTAGAAGATGAAGTCAACGTTGTTGATCTTACCAACGATGACAACGAAGAAAACCTCAAGAAAATGAAAGCGAAGGTGATCATTAAATCATAGAACCTTAGAATCTCTCTCTAACTTATAATCACAATCAGGTGCGACTCGTACGTGCGAGATGGATGAATGAGTCTGAACGTTTCGACGCTCGTATGGTACTCAAAACTTTCACCAACGTTGCGATTTTGATGCCAAAGTAATTATCTTGTCGTCTTGAATCGAGTAGCTGTATACACTGTTATTTTCTAGTTGGGAGAGCGGTCAATATTATTTAGGCCAGTTCCAGGACGAATGCTACAAGAATCTGCCCATCGCAGAACGTAGCAGCAGGTGAGTTCAGCTATTTTTTGATGAAAGAGCATGATGCTCATATCCAGTACAGAGGCTTGAAAATGAACCTTTCAACAATCAGGGCATACGCAGAGGCGATCAATCTGGGCACCAAATACATATATCAGACCGTTCCACGCCTGCTCACTCTATGGCTAGATCTTGGAGAAGATGCAAAAGTTGCCGAGACAGATACATTCAGACTGATAAATCAAGCTGTTTCTGGGGCGATCAAGAATTCCCCTATATACAAGGTGAACGAATTTCTATCCACTTTGATAGAATGCTTCCTGTGCTCACTTGTCGCGTAGTGGTTTACCGCATTTCCACAAATTGTGTCACGAATCGGTCACAGCAATCCCGAAGTATATAAGCAATTAGCCAGGCTCATCGCAAAGGTCATCCAGTCTTATCCAAATCAGGCGCTTTGGTTGTTCGCAGCCGTAATCAAATCGAAGAAGCGGGAGCGTTCCCAAAGGGGGAGCCTCATTCTTGAGCGTATTCGGGTTTGTGAAACCTCGACTTTAGACTTTTCTTCGTATTAATGTATAAACACCTCAGAATAATCCTTCTCTGGCGCAATCTTCGGTGCCCAAGCTTGTCAGTCAGAGCCTCGACATGACCAATGAACTGCTCGAATTATGCAACTTCCATACTCCGAATATCGAACGGAAGAAGCTCACTATGACGAGAGATTTCCCGCGACTTGCGAAGCTCGGAAAATCAAATCTGATAATACCTTTACAAGAGTCGCTTACTGCCAGCCTTCCCCCAGTTTCATGTTCCGAATCAGTACATCAGCCTTTTCCTTCAAACGCACCCACTTTTGCAGGTGCGCTAGGTCCTTTTAATCACCAAAACTGACTGATGACGGTGTATATAGGGTTTGCAGAGGAAATTGAGATTATGCATTCCCTTGCCAAGCCACGAAAGATCACTATACACGGGAGTGACGGACAAACATATATGTTCCTAGGAAAACCAAAGGACGATCTCCGAAAAGACGCTCGACTGATGGATTTCAATGCTATCATCAATAAACTACTCAAGGCAAATTCGGAATCTCGACGTCGCCAACTTCGTAATCTATATTCACCTCGTCTTACCACGAGATATTTACTACCAGGTTTTATCTTTAGATATTCGAACCTATGGCGTTGTTACGCTCAATGAGGAATGTGGATTCATCCAGTGGGTTCCTCACACAAGGCCCGTCCGTCCAATTATCGTCAACCTATATAACAACAGACACATTCCCGGTTGGGTATACCTCCGTTCTTTCCGTACTGCTATATTGGTGCTGATTTGTTTGCTTCAACTTTTAGGGTGCAGAGATGGCGGACGTCTTTACCAGGATCAAGGGCACAAATGATGGTAACAAAGCCGCGGACCTCTTTACCAAAAAGATACTAACTCTGTAGGTGTTGTGGGTTTCGTTCGACAAATGTACTGATAACCCGGAACAGATTCCCGCCCGTTTTCCATGAATGGTTCATTGAGACCTTCCCGGAACCCACTGCTTGGTTAGCAAGCAGGCTGACTTATGCTCGAACGACTGCTGTGATGTCCATGGTTGGATTTATCTTAGGGTCAGTCGTGCTTCGTTTCTCTGCATATCATGCGTCCTTCCCTCTGATACTTCGCAGACTCGGTGACCGCCACTGTGAAAATATTCTGCTGGACGAAAACACAGGGGACTTGATACATGTCGATTTCAATTGTCTGTTTGAGAAAGGAAAAACATTTGAGACTCCAGAACGAGTGCCGTTTAGACTTACCCAGAACTTGGTTGATGCGTTGGGCGTGACCGGTGTGGAAGGTGATGTGTCACGTTTTGCAACGTTTTGCATTGAGCTTTCTCGAATATTCATTCGATTAACCAAAGGCGTATTCCGTACGGCTTGCGAAGTGACGATGCAACTACTACGCGATAACAAAGACTCGCTTATGAGCGTCCTAGACGCTTTCGTACACGATCCTTTAGTCGAATGGGAAGAAGAAAAAATGAAGTTGGTACGTCAACGTTCATAGATCCGTATTCGATCCGTCTTCAACCTGGAAAAATCTTTACCACCAGGATCGTAAACAACAACATGCGAATGCTACCGACGCTCAGCGAAAGAACGCTGTCAAGCCAGCCACTGATCTACGGTCCCTGGCGAAGAATTCTCTAAAGGGGATCGAGAAGAAGCTAAGAGGACATTATAGACCTACTCCGGAGAAGCATGCATATGAGAAGGAGGTGTCGACCAGTAACTTAGTGCAGTTGCTTATCCAGGAAGCCACGGATATTTCGAATCTGGTACGTCTCGTTTAGTATCTAGCGTTTCTATTGCGTTGACTGTACCCTGTAAGGCGAGAATGTACCCTGGTTGGGCATCATGGCATTAGGATAAATTGTGGTACATAATACAGTAAATACGATTTGTGTAGTTATCACGGCAATCATCTGTTCCACATTGTTCTAAAGCTCGAGATTTCACCCTTGAAAAACACGAAGGAGTCTTCTGTGCGGGAAGTCTCGAATTTATGGGTTCCAAGAATACTGAAAGAGCGGGAAATTTCACAGAATTTTCCCTCTAAACGTACACAGTTACCAAACGTATTACGGGCATCATGATCTTGACCGATATCTCCTCCATCCAATATGACCACCAAACAACTCCTCCCTTCATTGCAAAGCCGCTCAAGATCTTTTCCATGAAAAAGATACCGAACCTCTTTGCTACATTAAGCAATGTAGTCCAAAGAATAGGGGTATGTTTCGTCAGCAGGTGTCGGAAGGGGACTTGGAAGAGGGGTCTCGGATGGTGACGCAGGGAAAGAGTTAGGGAGAGGAAAGCCTTGGCACTGTACACAGAGACATGTAGGGGCAGCATAGTTGGAACTGTAGTACGGGGGTGGGTAAGAATTGGCCGCATATGTATCTGTGTGTACACGGGCCTTCGGCGCAGAAGTAACTGAGGGCCAGGGAAAATGGCTAAAGCCGGTCACTGGCCCGGGATGTGAGTTATATACATATTGACGAGCCGGAGTTGACGCAGGCGTATGAACGCGCTTATTCTTGGATTCCGGAAGGTCATCGGGAGTAAGGTAGTTCCATATGCTCGAAATGTAATGTGGGATGGATGAGTAGTAGTCGTCATCCTCGTCTGTGGTGCAGTCCGAAATGAGAGATTCCGGACGACAGATATCAGAAACAAAGCTAGAGTCGAATTGTTCGCGAAAAATAATGGGCGATCGTGGATGGGAGTTCAGATCTGCGGGAGGCTCAGACTTTGTTCCACTGGGCCGCGCGATAGCGCCGAATGGGTTCGGGGATTTCGTGTAGGATGTCCTCGGAGGGCTTATGGGAAGAGGAGTATCCAGGTGAGGCAAGAGCTCTGCTGTGAGAGTGAATTGCGCGGAAGACATGCTTTGGAGTGAATACTTTTAACGAGAAAGTGGGTTATTGACTGGAGAAATTGTTTGAATAAAAGTACGAAGAACCCTTTTATACTTCAAGTCGCAAAGCTGCGGGGACCTTGATTGGCCTTTGAGCTCACATTGAGCCCATTCTGGGAAATAGCTTGGACACTATAGGACCATTGTCGAATAGGTCATGGCCCGTCAATGGCCTATCGTCGGCCAAGTGATCGGATCCACTATTCACACAGCGCGCAACAATTCCGACAAAGAAGGGGCCATTTTTGTTTAACGATTACGACGGATGCCTATAAGAGGTAAAAGAGGTGAGATGAGTAAAGGGAAGGAAGGCTTTAACAGAACGATGAGGGCCTGCAGACTTACCCAAATAGTGATATTGTGGATCGTCGTTATTGACTCAGGTTAACACTAGAATCTACTTTGAATTTAAACTGATCAGGAATTTTCTGTTACAAGACTTGTATTAATACACAATGATACAATTCACCTTTGTACTACATAGTAATTTCCTGCTCACTCAGCCGTTCAGCATCTTCTGTAACCGAGCCAATTCTTTCTCCTTTGCGATAAGAAGTGCCCGTGTCTTTTCCTGCTCCGCAATAATCAATTTCTTGGCTTTATCTAGCCTCTCAGCTTCGTCTTTCTCTAGGAGCGACGTGAACTCTGGCACACCGCCTTTCAAAGACTCGAAAGATGCCGGATTTCCGATATGAAACGGTATGGTCCTACCGCTGGTGTTCGTACGGGGTATAGGCGTCGGCGGATTATTTGTGAGGATATTAAGAAAATTCTGGTACGGATCGTTGAAGACAATTTCCTCGTATTGCCAGGAATGAACGGTTCCGGCCTTTTGCGCGACTTCGAGCGGTGGGATCGATTCGGTATCGCCGGATAGAGACCATGGGTGAAGTTTGAGGTGGTGGTAAATTGTTATGACTTTTTCGCCTGATTCTGGGATAAAATGCAGTTTGATATGGACTTCGAATTCTCCCCATCTATGTAACAAAACGTTCGGTATAAACAATATAGAGATGATCTATCGACTACATACCCTGTTTCCGACAATTCAAAAGGTGGTTTGTCGATATCTGGATATAAGAAACTCATGCTAAGTCAATGGAGAAAGTAATATTATTTCACAGTTACGCACTTCGCATCGGATTGGGATACGTCTCATGCAACTTGAACGAGACCCTCTTTATAAAATAACTCAAATCGTCTGCTCCTCCAACGATATCTGAGCCTGGAGCAGACGCCGCACTGCGAAGGGCTACAGTCCATCTATGTGTATGTTCGGGAGGAACATTTTCTCGTTCTTCACTGGTCAGAAGCCTGGCACTATTTCCGTATACTATCGGTCGAGCGATACTAAGTCCCTGTATATCAGTTAGTAGAACTTGCTGAGAAGAAAAATAATTACTTGCTCGAACACGAACGCGGTCAGCGTTGGCCATGGTCCAAGAGTGGTCGTCTGAGTCGCGGTTGAAAATAGGTCTAGACTGGCCGGACTCCAAGGCCGGACCAATTTCGTTGATTCTCCGTAATTTCCCGCTTTACTTCGAACCACCTACATCTACCACCATGCTCGACGGAATTTACAACAGTAGGCTCAATATCTTACTCTCGGAAAAACATTTTTTTAAATCTTGGCTCTGAAGGACCAAACAGAATGATTGAGAGGCAAAAGGCTTTACAAGTGGGTATTACTGCAATCTTCACTCAGACATACACGCACTAATGTCCACTATTTCTGTAGGCTGATCCTCGGCCTGTTCACCTCAAAGGCCCTCGGAGGGTCCTCGCCATACGTACGCTTCAACTTCAATGCTCATTCTCCGCCCGCTGTTAACGAGCACACAAATTTCAAACAGGACTTTTCAGTGTTGGATTCTCCGCCGGAGCGCTTGGTGCTGTTTATGGGATATACCAACTGCTTAGGGTGAGCTTTTGAATCACTCTGTATATCCAGCGACTGAGTAAAGGCTGGTCTGGCTATATAGGGAAAGCAACAATAAATCTAAAGCAGTAGAGTTCTAGATGTACACGGAAGGAATAAAATACAACGTTCTTCACAATGACATGGTTCCTTCACACATTTCCAACATCTTGACCTATATGTAGGGTGTATCTTGGGTGTATCTCTTCCCAGAGTCATTTCAAATCGCAGGCGAAGTCACTTCAACCCTTTCATCGAAAATAATTCCTCATTGAATGAACCCAACACGAGGATGCCATAGTGCCTTTTTACATTGCAGTCATTCAGTCACAGTAATCTCGATCGATACCATTCCACTCATTGACGCTTCCTCGCAGAGAAAGCTTTCGCGTTGGTACCGTTTTACATAGCCACCAACGGTTCTAGAACCTTAGCTCACCTTACAGCTTTCTTAAAGGTGTGAATCAGCACTGCCAAGCAGAGGCCAGCAATAGGTGGCATGCCGATCCATCAGGTGTTGAGCGCGCGCACCTCTTGTTATACACCATTTTGAAAAGTATCTATCTGTATGTCTTCTTCATATTGGTGCCTTGCGATTTGATAGTACGGACCATATTCGCGGTACTAGTTGTATCTTTCGGTATGTATCTTCATGGAAGCACTTCGTTGAACCTTCTTTCCTTGTACTTCCCTTTTTCGCCACATTCCATCACGTCGTGGACCAACTTCCCGGTACGTGCCAATAACAATGCCTTCTGTTGAACGAACGTTGACAATAAATGGTGTTGTTCGTTGTAGAAGGGTGTGCTCATGCGGTAACGACCGCCTTGTTTCTAAATGTCGCACCTACAAACCGCACACAAGGTGGCAGACATCTATACACAGGATCAATCGGTATGCACTGAGACAAACTCTTTTTCGAAGGTGTCACACACTGCCTTTCAATTGCTCACCTGGTAGCATACTCCTACTTAAAGCGAACTAACATCGTCCTTTTCCCCAATTGAAGTCTACCATCATGCCGAATTTCTTCAGCAATATCTTCAACAAATCTCGTACTGGCAGCCGCTCGCCCAGCCGTGACAGTCGGGCAACACCTGCGTCGCGGTTCTTGTATGACCCATCAGCTGATGATTCAAGCAAACACTGCAAGCCAAAGGGGGATCATCATCTCATCGTGCAGAGCCCCTTGCATGGATACTACAAGCGAGCTCGCTCGATCAGTTCTACTAGTTCTCGGAGAAGCGCGATTGAATGGGATCCCGATGTCCCCAATGCGGCCATACCACCACCACCATATCACTCGAGTGGTGATCCTCTCAATGCAAATGTAGCGGTCACTTTATCGCGTTGGTCTTCAAGTCGTAAAAAGTCCAATCCCGATTGTGAGCCTTCTCTAAATATGCTAACTTGGTTTAGTTCCCTAAGGTGATTCCCTGCGATACAGATTATCGAACGCCCCTCAGAAAGGAATCAATGGAAAACACATATGAGATACTTAGAAAGTTCAATACGGTCATACTCGTGGATGACTCGTACTCGATGCATGGTGACCGTTGGAGAGAAGTAAATTAAAATCATTGCTGCCAAATACCATACTTCAATTTGTATTTCCCAGGCGGGCGATGCTCTTTGCAAAATCGCTGATATCGCCAGCGAATTCGATGACGATGGGATAGATATCCATTTTTTGAATAGTCCGGAGTACGGCTGTAATTTGAAGGTAGGTCGTTGGATTTCTCTGGACTTGCATGTCCGCTCAAGTTTTTCCAACACTGATAGAGCAGCGAAGAAGTCTTATCCCTATTCGATCGCGTTCAGCCATCTGGCGCGACCTGGTTAGGACAGAAACTCGATTGTCTTCTCCGAGAATACCTCAATGAACTCAACGAGGCCAAGCCACTAAAGAAGATCAAGCCGATCAATTATATGGTGATAACTGATGGGAGACCAGGTTCGCATTAAATTTCAACACTTGAGCTTCGTGTGCCATTGTATCGTTATTGAATTCTCCTCGATAGATGACCAACTTGATTTGGAAAAATCCATCGTCGATGTGGCTCGACGACTTGACCAAGGAAACTATCCCCTCACTCAGGTCAGTGCTGATCGGGACGCATAAAGATTTTGCAAAAATTTTGGCACTGAATCACCCTCTCAGGTCGGGATCCAACTGGTTCAAATCGGGAGATCGAGGAAAGCTGCTGAGTTTCTACGTGATCTTGATAATGCGTTAGAAATTCGATATCACATTCGAGTAAGCTATTTCTTTCATGCTCTATAGTAGGCACTATCATCGTTTTTGATCGAGTTTTGACTGGGCATCGCGACTGACTCGTCACGCAGGATATTGTGGATACCACCCCGTATTTTGGAAGTTCATTAAGCTCTGACGCTTTGATCAAGATAATGCTAGGTGGAATCAGTAGGAAGATAGATGCAGTGGAAGTTTTCTCAAAGACATCCTAATTTCGGTGAACATATGTGACTTAGAAGGTCGAGGATACTTCAGTGTACTACAAGCTGCCTTTGTCCATGTTACAATACATCCATACTTGATCTGATTTTACGAACAGGAAAGCACGATGTGCTAGACTTTGACTAAACCTTGACTATATATCCATCTTCAATCCTCATTATTCCAAGCTTCATCCCACCCGAGTGCGCTCCGATCCCAATCCTCTCTTTCCGGTTGTCCGTACGAGGTCCACCCCATATAATCCATCAACATCCCGGCAGCCCTCACAAAGATCGATCCATCGACATCCGCAATACCCGGATGGGTCTCTTCCTTGGACACAGTTAAAGAGTGCTCCTTGAATGCCCCAATGACCGAACCAGGCGGAGTATCTCCGTACTCGCGGGCGGCAAGAACCAAAGCTCGCATGGTCTTGAGTAGATGAGAGTCTGTGGAATACAGTGAGGCTTCGATCAAAGAAGACCAAGGGTTGTATTCATCGTCGTTCAGAGGACTTCCAATACTATGTTCACTCCGAGCATAAGGAGAGCCAGAGGCGTAAGGCGGACGGGGCTTGTCCGTCGTTCCCATGAGCAGATGAGGCTTGATGATGGGCCGGCCTCTGGAAAGTGTGACGAGCAGTATATGTGGCAAGAACGCTTTGATGATTGTGGCTTTGTGCGCAGGATTTTCCAGTGCGTGAACATAAGATCTGAGGAACAAGGAAGCTGTGACGAGGTGCATAAGGAAGAAATCAAGGCGAGGCTTTCGGCCTGGTTTTCCGGTCGCGAACATGAGCAAAACTGAGGCCCAGACAAACTCTTCTATCTTGGACATCATTTCGGTATTTCCAAGATTTTCATCGACAAGGAATTTCGAGCACAGATCACGGATCTCTTCTGATTTTCCGTCTTTCAGAGCAGCTTTGATACGAGCGTTTACGAGGGCATTCGGGTCATATGGAAGGGGTGGGGCAAGAGTGGGAGACTTGTAGACGAGCTCGAGAATTTCCAAGACGGATAATCCAGAAAACTCCCGTGGAGTGGTGGAATTAGTGGCTTCGAAATCAGACAACTCAGGCGAAATAGAGGTATGGATGGCAGTCATAGCAAGTCCTAAATGAAAAGTGTCATAACATTATTTGGAAAAGAACAACGCACGGAACATACCGGTGGAAACTAATGCGTCATTCCCGAATTCCAAACCATGCTAAATTCAGTTGTGGACATTAAAAAACCTGGCTACATTGATATTCTCGACTTACTCCGACTTGAATAAAAGGATGAAGACTGGAGGACGAGAAGATAAGAATATATGCGTGATGGACAAATTACTGATGACTGACACTCCGCTCATGAGACGGGCAAGCATCACCTTCCCTCTCTCATTAGCACTCGGAGAAAAGATGAATGTCTCCAGGGTTTTGACTACGCCAACAGAAGCTATTTGGTGCTCGAAAAACGTCACAAAGCCGTTATAGGCGCTGTAGTTCCTGCTGAGATCAAAGAACGGAGAGAATGTAGAACGTCAACGTACTTTTCATTTCCAAGGTACTGCGTCCAATTATCCTCAGTGATGTTCATTTCCTTGTCCTTCTCTTCGAGAATAATCGGACGCTGTATGCGTGCTTCTTCGTCGTAGATTTTTTGCAAAAGTCCGGGAGATGCTCCTAGATCATAAGCCGCAAGAATGCTGTCGGAACTTCATTAGCATGCGGCATACATTGACAATATATAGGATATGTAACTCACTGATGACTCAAATGGTTGTGGAATCCAGCTTGATTGAACTGACAATGATGATCCTGGGCATCCCGTAATAACAAAGCCTCAGCTAAAGGCTTGGAGGCAGGAGAAGCCCTGGGCAGATTAAGGACGCCATTACGAAGCAGACGGTGAGAGACAGAAACATGAGACATGAGTTGTTACTAGTTGTTGGTGTGGGTATGGAGTTGAGCATCTTGGCCATGTTATAAGAAGAAATCGAAGGGAACTGGTGACCAGTCACCAATTGTGTCGTTCGGAAGAATGGAAAAAAGGAGTCGTCGAAATTACGTGATTTGATAGTGTCAATAGCCATTCGAATATGTAGCCACTAAGCTACATAGTTGCTCGGAATGGAGGTGGAGGTATACGCGTACACGGAGAATTGAAGATGTAATTACAGCGTGTTCGGAAAATGATGACAGACGCGATTTTTTTTCTACTCAAGAAATGGAGCACCAGAACAGCTGAACACTATGATCCTTTGGATTGCCTCCCCTCAGCTCTCTTCGGGCCCTTGACCTTGGCTCTCTCCTTCTGCCTCTGTTCATACTTATTGACGGATGCTATGAAGTCTTTGTGGATCTGAGCCGCGGTGGTGTATGGCTTTCCCTGAGAATTAAGAAGCGCCTTTTCTCTCGCTAAGAGCTCTAAAACCTGCCCTAGGAAATTCAACTCTGTATCAGCCTGTAGACTCCATATCTTCAGAGTCGTCGTGCGATCCTTGAAGTTAGCAACGACGTTTAATGGGAACAATGCGCCTTCGAGCAATTCAGGATTGTCGACTTTTGCTGCCTCCACGATACGTTTGTATGAATTCATCTTGGCTTCCAAGGCAAGCGATTCACCAAAGAACATCACCCAAGCATTCTCTGTAAGCATGACATTGATTTCCAGGCGATCTGTAGGCGGTAGTGTGAGCATCCCGAGAGTAGGTACATTTTATGGAGAAAGGTACTTACCTACGGAATCTCCAGCTGGACCCAGCAGCTTCATCTCACTGTAAAGTGCGCTCCACTTTTCCAACTTATCTTTCAGTTGTTCTTTATTCCCGTTGGCATCCTTTTTCCAAACTAGCCCCTTCGCCAAGAGAAAACGTACGGCGGAGTCGAGAGCTTCCAGATTTGTTTCAACATCTCCAATCGAGTCGCTCATTTCCTTCAAAGTCGTTGCTACGCTGTTTTCGTCCGTGAAGTTGACGTGTGCTTCCAAATTACCTTTAAGTCTACGATCGAAAAAGAATGGTTTCGAATCTTCGATCAGGCGGGGTACGAGCTTGACTCCGCCGTCTTTGTAGGAGAGGTATGTATCGAAGATATATTTTGAACCGACCCGGAGCTTCCATACTTCATCTACTTTGAGGGAACCCGGACCCACTCTTTTCTTATTCCTGTACGAACGCTGAATCGATAGTGGTTGGCAGTTGGGCCGGAAGCCTGATTTACGTCGTTCAAGCTGCCCTGTATGAGCTTCGAGCGTCATAGGGATTGCCGTCACTACAGAGAGAATCGATGACAGGAAAAGCATGGACAGCACGCGCGCAAATGAGAATAGAAGCATGATTTGGTTTTCTGGGTACGAATCGTGCGTCGATCCCGTATTTTCGATGTTGAGCTCGAGTACGTCTGCGAAGAAGATTTCAGCTCAAAGTTAACGAACTGATATGATATCCAGATTACTTGGGGACGTACCAGAGACGAACGAGTTGAAGTAATATTCGACCAGCGAATATACCCCGTCAATCTAGGTTCGAGTCTAAAGCTGTTTATTTAAAGCAAAGGGCAAAGGAAAAAAAAAAGCTCAGCTGTGAGGAGATATGGCCATCACGTTGCTATCACGCTTTCCGGACCCGGACATGACTCGCCTTGAACCCAAACCACGACAACGCGTTGAGTCCTATTGAGCCCACCACTACTACCAGGACGCGCTTATTGATAGCATAATGTGAGTTATATGCAACATCTATTGCATGCACAAAACGATATATAGATCGTCACCAAATTCAAGTGCTAATATTCCTTTTGAACGCAGGTTCTACTTTCAGGATTGAATCTTACTCTTAAACCTAGCCATACCCTTCTCGCAGCCATCCCTGCATATCGCAGAACTGCAATTTCCTCCAATCCATGACTTCAATGTCCAAATCTATGCCTGGTCGCCACTCGATTATTCGTATACCCAACATCGCTGACCACTTTCACACAAATGAACCGCCAGACGATGTCGACGTTCAAATCTTCTCAAACACTCTCAGATCCGCTCAAGACCGGGAACCATTCTTGCTGGAGGATATTCGATACCTAAAGACCGCACTTGATCATCACATCGAGGAGTTGTCGCGAGTCCAACAGACTATACGCGAATACAAGTTTGTCCTATCACCCGTTCGTCGGTTGCCTGGTGAACTTCTCATGGAGATATTCTTTCAAGTGCTGGGCAGCGAAGACCCTGAGGACGTTCTGGACTTTGACCGTGGATTATGGCCCCTTACACATGTTTGTGGTAATTGGAGGACCCTTATCCTCAATCGTACCTCTTTTTGGACCACGGTTTCTTTACCCGGGCGGATGCATTACCCACCTTATGCTGTACACATCCTCTCTCTCTTCCTTGAGCGTTCTGGCTCCAGACCAATCTTTGTCGAATTCACCTGTCGAGACGTTGCGAGCTTACCTCAGACGTTGTTCGCCGTCCTTGTTGCTCAATCCAGTCGTTGGGAAACATGTCGACTGAGAATCCCTGTCTTCCTAACTACTCATCTAACATCGCGATCCATCGAACGCGCTCACTTTTTACGCCATCTAGATCTCAATTTAGATTTAGCTTATTCTTCTACTCTCACAACAACATGCAATAAAATCTTTACGGGTGCACCAGCGTTGCGTTCTGTGAAACTCACTGGAATTCCGCTCACAGCAAGTAGTCTGGGGCTTCGTTGGTCGTATTTGACACACTACAACGTGGCTCAGGACTTTCCTGAGAAACATCTCCCGATTTTACGGCTCGCGACCGGGCTGGTAGACTGCACTATAAATTGTTCTCTCCCCTGGCGTCAGGAACCACTGGGTTCTGACATAGTGCCTTTGAGAAAATTGCAGAGATTGCAAATGGAGGGGACGGCCTCTGTTTTATTGCAGTATCTGACTGCGCCGGCTCTTCTATCGTTGAGCGTAGTCCTGCCAGAGACGGGCGATTCGTTGAAAACTTTCTTGAGTCGATCACAATCTCGGCTACAGGAACTCGAAATTGAGGCTATTCCAATGGGAAATAACATTTTGGACGCTTTACCTAGCGCGTCATACTTAAGGAGGCTTGCTCTCAATGTGTCGGTTCATCCGGGGCATCGACAGAGCATTGTGTTTAAAGACCTTCTCGTTGCTCTGAAATATGTTCCCAATGGTGATGGTAGTACTTCGGAGTCTACTTCACAATGTAATATCCTTCCCCATCTGGAGGAACTGGCTCTCAGTGTGTACACTATTTCATCGCGGGAATATCTCTATGCGAACGAACTTGTTGCGATGGTTGCCTCTCGTTCGAAAGTTCCGGGGAAGGTGAAGGAGCAAGCCCCAGTACAGGAGCAGATAAAAGAGCTTGTGCAATTGAAGTCATTTACGTTGGAGACTAATAGTTATTGGCTCCCCCCTTTTGATGCTTTCGTGGAATTGAATCAGGAAGGATTGCAAACAAACATCCATTTGCACTGATTGAGGGATTTGTCTTGCTGATGTTCGAACAAAATTGCTATTTGATCTTGGAATGCAGTCTCAAAATTCATACATATAATATATCAACTACTGTCTTGCGAAAATCCAAAGTACAATCCATGTTTCTGGAGGCCAGTTGTACAATGTTATACCTACACAAATTGACACGTACATACAGTTTTATCTTTGAGTCAAGAAGATACTGAATATATAGAATGCGCGGCGCTGTGATAGTATGTATGCATGTAGCAGGTAAACACTTTATTCAAGGCAATGAACATTTTAGCCAAGCGAAAAAAACAGAAGAAATGTTTTGAATCCTGGACCCCGCGAGTCTTGAGCTTGAAGCTTAGAGCTTCAATTCTTGAGTCACATTTTCCAGTAGCGAAAGCAAAAGTCAAAAACAAGTGTCCCTGCCAGGAGTCGAGCCTGGGTCTCCACGGATGCGCTTAACAAACCACAACGTGATGATCTAACCACTAATCTACGGGGACGTTAAAAAGTGCTTAATTATTAGAATCATGAAATCATTGCGACGGTGCGATTACTAGTCCAGTAGCATCGCCAGCCAGCCGAGCGGCGAGCAAGTCTAAACTGTCTTCAACGAACGAACACATCTTTCCATGAAAACTAATTCTGCACCTACCCCAATCTTATACCCCTCCCTCTTTTGCTATTATTTCTACTAGTTTCTACTGTTCCCTTTTAATCAAGCCTCTTTTACTTGGTACCCCCATAATCAATCATATGCATTCCTTCATAACTACCCTTAGACGAATTCAAACAAGCGAAACTAGCAGATTTCCCGCCCGTTTCTTGCGATTCCCCGAACTAACGCTCGGTACCCCCAACCTACAATTTTGCTTGTTTCATTAACCTTCTGGACCAGAGGCGAATTCTGTACTTCCCCACGTGGGTCAAAGCTGTCGCTCTCGATTTAGTTTCGCTGGTAGATTCACAGCATTACAGTATGTATACTACTGTACATACACAACTAGCCAACTCTGGATCCTTGAAAAGTTTTGACCACAGGCGATTCTCATTTCTTTGACTTGCGCTGCTTCGCTTTACTCTGAGTAGGTGTCGAACCTGACGCAGCTGTAGCCGCAGGTGCACTAGTCCCTGGAGTGTGTACTGTCTCCGTCTTCTGTGTCGCAGATGCCTGGGTTTTGAGTCTGTCCTTCTTCGGCGGTCGATGTAGCAATTGAATGATAAACGAAGCCACGCTTCCGGATAAGATGTACAAAATCCATCTCGGGACTTTGATTGTGATATTGTATATCGTTGTTAAGATTAGACCGAGGTAGTGAAGGAGGTATTCACTGAGAACATAACGTTCGATGTGAGTTGAAGGGATAAGAAGGAAAATGAGTACGCACTTTCTACCACCCGGAGCGAAAGAGCTGTCCCAACGAGGAACTTCGTTATAAGTTCCGTCTGTGAGGAATTCACGTAGAGCGCCTTCGCGGAGTCGTAACCAATGAGGTTTTACAAATCGGAGAGTTTGTCCACGGTTCTGCAGAATGATAAAGGTCGGCGCTCTGTAGCCAAAATGAGGTCAGCTATATCTCGAGGAGATATATAGGCATGATAAAGTACACACTGCCATACGCCCCACTTGGTTGTGAGATAGGTCACATTGAGATAATCTATACGACCCCAGCGTAGGTTAGGCATGTCTTCAGCTATGAGGGTTTCGTTGTATGTCTCGTCAAATATCTTGTCGACAAATTGAGACATTCCTCCCCCTTGGTTAGTTGCACTTGTTGAACTAAAGAATATAACCCAAAATGAGGAGAAATTTACCGGTCAATATATTGTAAAAGACGAGGCACAAGCGACGTACACGACAATCAACCATGTCCTATTCCCTTCCTCCTCCGGAGTGAGTTCCTCATTGACCACTATGTTATCATAGTTCACGTCTGTTATTAGAGGTATTCGTGGATCCCAGGGATATGCGGCCTTTGATGATAGACCAGCAGCTGAGGCAATACTGGAGATATTTACGCCGATTTTGGCGAATATAGAAGAGATCGAGGACGAGTCAAGTAATGAGCCTCGCTGACTTGGTGTATCTTCACCGACGTGTCCTGATGCTCCAGTCGGCGCTGGTGCCGAAGGCTCGTTGGTGAAAGCCTGTCCAGGCTTCCAACCTTCAGAAAAGTATTGGCCGTTTGCGAAGGAAAACAAGCTCAGTAAGAGCCAGAAGATCATGGTGGAATCTCTACATAATCGTAGAGCCGCTTATCATTGACGTTGAGCCTTGCACGTGAGTTTGCTCTTTCTGTACGTTTTTTGGCCATTCCTGTTGCTTTTAAGCTCTCCAGAGCTTCTTTTACTTCATTTGTACCACTAAGGATGCTCGAAGTACGCTATATTGGACAAGGACCAGGCTCCAAGGCCTAAAGTATGCTAATATTGGCCAAGGAAAGTGCCAAAATTGGGTCCCAAAGTACGCTAATTCGGATGGGGTCTATTAGTAGGAGCTTCCGGGGTCCTATCTCATCTCACATAGTTTTTTTTGACGATATAAATCACATATACGCGCGTAATTTCTGTTTACTGTGACTCTGCTACTGTACATATAAGATGGATATCCGAATACGATTTCGTCGATGTTGCTGGGAGATAATTGATTCACCTTCTAGCTGCAAGTGACGCGTTACTCCTCGTTACTCGTGCACCTAGATTTCAAGTGCGGCTAAGGGAGTATTAACGCGGCGGTGTCCCTTGTCTTGTTCAAGATCAAAAAACTTGAGTTTGACATCTTTTCCAAAGATGAGTGCATGGGTCGAGCCACCGAAGCGGAACATTCCAAGCTCATCACCAATGTTAACGTGCTGTCCTTCGCTGACACTGACCTGACAAGTGGATACTTCTACCATCCCAACACCAATGAATACGAGGCATCCTACATCTTTGTTGTCAGCATCTATGTAGATGATGGCACGGGTAGAAGCTTGGGTCAACCATGGCTGGGAGCGGATTATAGCACCTCGAGGATCGCCAAGTTGCAAATCGGAGTCAGACTCTCCGGCCCCTTCATCAGGCAGCGCCGCATAGTATGATCCCTCTATAATCTGGATTTCGCGAATGGTACCGTCCACGGGACTGTGCCAACGGTGATAGTCATACGGAGAAAGGAATGCCTGATAGACAGTCCCACCAATGAAGGAAGCGGCAACTTCGTCGTCGCGACGCGCAAGCATGTCATAGATAGAGTAAGCCTGACCCTTGAGCCAGAATTGGTCGTGTTCTTCGACTCCTGTTGTTTTACGGACCACGGTGGATTCACAAGCGTTATAGATGAAAAAATTGGGGGGCTCTGGCTTCTCAATAGGACGAGCATTAGGTTTGAACTTCCTGGTGAAGAAAGAATCCCAAGAAGTAAAGCCACGGTTGACTGCAGTCTCATCGGGACATTCGTAGATTTCATTGAATATGCCGCGGTCATTTTCGAGAGTCGCTAATCCGACTTCACCGAACCAGCCTTCATCACTATCATTGAGCGTATTGTTGGACTCAGCGCTCTGAAGGTAGTCGCCCCAAGAGTCAAGCAAGGACTTCAAAGAAATATTGAATTTAGGCATGCGCAATAGATCAAAACCCGCAGCAGTATTGCTGAGAAGGTCGAACAGAAGATACAAGGGGACACCGATGGGCTCGCCACCGGTGACTGCGCCCCGTTCGTTTCGGACCACCTGGAATTTAGGCGCAGCGACAACAACTTGATCCAGGCAATAAAGCAGCTGTTCTAAGTTCCGAATCTGGAGCATATATTAGAATGAGAAATAATTACAGCAAAAATTATACGATTACCCTGTTTTCGGGCGCAGTTTGCAGAAAGGTTTGTCCGAGCAAGTCAACCAATTCGGGATCGGAATTGAGAGCATCTTCGAACTCCTGCACAGCGGGAACATGCGCCTTCTTTGTATCGATGGAACGCAGAAGATCATCGAAGAAGGCCTCATAAACCGCAGGGTCAGCAGGAATCCATCCGCCGTAGCGAGTCAAGACTGTGTCCTTGGAGGGAAGAGGGCGTCGATATTGAGGGGACATCGTTCTGGACTATGATCAAAGGAGGTTCGTAGAGTACCAGGATGAGTACCTACAGATCGATAGTGTGCTCTTGAACCTGATATGAGTGGGCTCTGACGGTCGATGCAAAAAATCGACTCTCTTCTATAGAAGAAAGCTGAGCGACAATTGGTCACAGATTCACCTCCTTAACTCCATGAAAAACGTCCTAACCTGGATGGTTAGATGGTGATTATTCGGTTTGTAGGCCGATTGGAACATCGCTCAGAACACTCTGTTCAAGCTCGCAAAGTTATGCTTCTTCATATCGATAATCCACAACAGGATCGATACTCATCCGAATAGCTTAAAGTAGTGAAGATACGCTCTCTGAGGCGAAATCAAGAGCGGTACACATCGGAAACAGTTGACCAACCTACAATCAACTATTCTCCTGAATTTTCGGTGAGCGAACCAGCGATATTTCCTTGATCCATTGAGACAAAAGGTCAGTGTAGAGGAAAATCATCTATGTAAGTGAACCGCACCACTGTGTTCAGTGAATATATTCACCCAAAGGTCGGAATCTTCTGAATGGAACTGGAAGCAAAACTTTCCTGCATTGAGGTCGGACCGAGTCGCTCAAATTTACACTACCCTCTCCAGAAAGGTGGGTGCTGTCAATTAGACATCCGGCTAATCAAATGTATCGTTGCCGGTCATATAGAGTAGAGAGACCTTCAAGTGGATCAAGAGAGGGATTGAAAGGAGCTAAAACCGGCGTAGAGCCACCTCGTTGAATGTAATAGAGGGCATTTATTACCCTACATGACGCGATATGAGCTTGTTGTTACACTATAGGGAAAATTAGAGCTCGACCTATGATCATCGATTCTGCTGAAAATGTAAGTTGCTGTCCCAGATATGAGGCACTGATCCTTGCCCAACATCGTCTGCCAACATCGATCTATGCCGAAAAACATGACATGAAGTTCTAAGTCAGATACCGTATGACCTGACAGTGCTAACGGCGTTATCGAACTCTTTTAATCCCCACACAGGCATGTACACCCCCACAGGACGAAGAATACTGGGAGATCTGATCTGATACGTAAGGCGCGGGCAGTGACTTGGGAGCAGTGACAACTACCTCACCAATGGCAGAAAAGCAGCTTTTCAACTGTACCAATCTAAAGCCCATATCAGGATAATAGGTGTAGAAATCCAACTTACCTTACTCTGCGAGCAAAATCTGCAGGGTGTTGACAATGAAAAAATTTTCTGGTCAACTGTACAATAAGGAATGCTTCATAGAAACTCATAGGCGATGCAGTCAGCTGAAATCCTATTACCGTAGTGGGTTATACTTAGAAGGTAGGGTGATAATCGAGCGGGGCATCATCCTGTACCATGATGAGAGCACACTTTCAAGTACGAATAATGGAATTTTTTGGTCACCTTCAAGCCCAGTGCATACTTGTATGAACCTCCTATCCACATGATTACAGATTCTACGGTGTTGCAGGCCAGCTGGTGATTGGAAAATTCCACCTCACAGTTGAGAACTTCTTCACATCCGATATCAGTGGAACCTACACCAGAGATTAACATTGAAGAACTTTACGCGACAAAGATATGCACCTGAGTCACTTGAGAATCAAGGGATTAGAAATTGGGGGTGGAATACTTAAAGACTGAATAGCTTGTTGAAGTTCCGCGATTTGCAGCAGACCACTTTTCTGGATCGCAGTTCACTATGTGACTGCCCTTGACATTTTCATTGTCAATGACTACCGATATGTTCACTAAGGATTGTCAGGAATAATTCAACTGGAAGGTACTTCCAATGCTAGTAGAGTCAGAAATTAGAACCTTCCGAACGGACTTGGGTATTTTTCTTGCATTGGATCAAAGATGAGATTCAATGAGGCCGTGACTGGTGTGCTCAACGAATACACCACCTTTTCCTCTTTGCACAAAGGGGGGCAATGCAAATTGGAAATTTCACTGGCAAAAAAGATAGATCAATAATACGCAAAAACACAGAGTGGTAGCACTTTCCAAGACAAAGATCAATGAGTAGAACAGCTTACGCTGGTGAAGGACCGGATATCCTGCACGACGCATTATGGTCTGTTTGAAAGGTTACGAGAAACTAGCGCTCTACTAGAACTACTCTAGTAAGTGGATCTTCGAGATTTGATGCTCAAAGAAAGTGCATGCACGAGCCTTTCGAGATGTCATACTAGAAGCACTTTCTCGAAATCAGATACAAACCTGGTGCCAATGGGGTCATAAACCTCTAACCCTTTTGCGGGGAGCAATTCTGGGACGTCTACTCTGATACGTACATATTCCGTTAACTTCATGCCACAAGAACCACTGCTTAAGCGCAGTTACAGCCCTACCCTCCTCCGGTTTTCGATTCATGAGCTGATACAGTTAGAATGCACAATGATCGATTCATTCAGGCCTTTGCGAATAAGGGAAGGAGGTGAAGATTCCGTCGAAATTCAATGACAAAATAGTAGGTTCTGCAGCTGCTCCCGACGTCCCAAAGTGCTCGTTGACAGTGTCAGTAGAAGCCGAGGAAATGAGAAAGGTCATCATCATGATCATGGTGGTTGTAGAGAAGAGTTCATTAGACGCCACGCGCGTCAACTTGAACATGTGCTGGGGTTACCCACCTCACAACCAGCCTTGGCCTCAGACGTCCTTTCAAGATGTGGCTGACCCCATTCTGGCTATAATGCGCCGACCTTTTGTGCAGAACCAAGGTCTTTGATTTGTAGAAGTGTGGCGGTCGTACATGGTGCATTTGTATTCAGGAAATATCTTGCAGAAATCGCTAAGCTCCAACCATTGCTCTGAACTCCATGAATCCACGGAATGAGCATGGCAGCCCTTCACGAATTCTACGCCTCCTTGCCTGTTGTAACGTGTGCGCATAGTCGTTCGAGCTTGTGAACGAGAGAAACCATTACCGGCGGGTCGATCAATTGCAACATAGGTCAGATTCAATCCACCAGACACACAACGCGTACTCACCATAAACCATCGTCGTATACTCTTCCCGACCGCCCTTGCACCCGCCCTTGCCATCCATCCGAGTTCCATCATCCCGTCGAATGTCGGACAACCCGGCCCTCCGTTAATCCAAACCATGGCCCTTTCCTTATCCGCTGTTCTTCAATTCTCAACCAGCACGAAACATGGGGGTGGTGACATCGTTTGGCTCTACCTCGGATGTATGCGTAGATGTGTAGTGGATGGGAAGGGCTTTGGTGGATATCTGGTAGAGCAGGAGCCCAAAAGGACGCTGTCAAGGGGACTAGAAACGTGAAAAGACGAAATTCACCGTGACTCTCAAAAAGATCAAGGCCCATGAAACTCATTGTCTATCGGAGCTGCGTTCAATAGCGACGACCACCGACAAATATTCAACGAAGTGCAATTGAGACCAACACAAAAGACCATTGCGGGTCACATCTCGCATAGTCTATTCTCAGAGAGAAGGATATAACATTCGGTAGCACTTGAAATTCACATTCACTATTGGTACATGGATTCTACGTTGTTCTTCTGAATAAAGGGTAATTCTTTTTCTTCACTATTTTGAAATTTCTGACCGCTTGAAGCATGCGAACACTACTTACGCCTTTGGAACTTGGAGTCCGGCTATGGGTCTGTTAACGTGTAGGTGGTTGTTGATAACAACGTCATCAAAGAACTCGAGGTTGACCCCTCGCTCAAAGATAAGGGCATGGGACGAGCCACCAAAATGAAACATCCCGATCTCGTCACCAGCTTTGACACGATCTCCTTCCTCAACAGTGATCTGACAGGTCGACACCTCTACCATCCCAATGCCAATGAATACAATGCGTCCAATAGCTTTATTGTCAGCCTCAATGTGGATGATGGCACGAGTAGCGGCTTCGGTGAGCCACGCCTGAGAACGGATGATAGCACCCCGAGGGTCACCAGATTGAAAGTCTGGATCAGACTCTCCAGCTCCATCGTCAGGCAGCGCGGCATAATACGTTCCCGGAACGAGCTGTATTTCGCGGATGGTACCATCCACGGGGCTATGCCAGCGATGATAGTCATATGGAGACAGGAATGCTTGATAGACGGTCCCACCAATGAAGGAACGGGAAACTTCATCGTCGCGACGTCCAAGCATGTCATAGATAGAGTAAGGTTGACCTTTGAGCCAGAACTGGTCATGTTCTTTGATATCTGTTGATATGCGATACACGGTGGATTCGCAGGCGTTAAATATGAAGAAAAATGGGGGGTCCGGCCTTTGAATAGGGCGAGCGTCAGGTTTAAACTTCCTGGTAAAAAAAGCATCCCAAGAAGTGAAACCGCGGTTGACTGCAGTATAATCGGGACACTCGTAAATCTCGTTGAATATTCCGCGCTCATTTTCGAGAGTCGCTAGTCCAAGCTGGCCAAACCAGCCCTCATCGCTATCATTGAGCGTATTGTTGGATTGAGAACCTCGGAGGTAACTACCCCAAAAATCCAACAAATTCTTCATGGCAGCATTGAATTCGACCTTGCGAAAGAGATCGTAACCCGCACTCGTGTTACTAAGAAGGTCGAGGAGGAGATACAAGGGGACTCCAATAGGCTCGCCGCCGATAATTTCGCCCTGGTCGTTTCTGTTCACTTGAAACTTGGGAGCGGCAACAACGATCTTATCCATGCAAAGAAGCAACTGTTCGAAGGTTCTAACCTAGAGTATGTATTGGAATAAGAAATGATAGCACAGAAATGGGAACTTACCCTACTTTCGGGCGAAACTTGCAGGAAGACTTGTTCGAACAAGTCGACCAATTCGGGATCAGCGTTGATATTATCTTTAAAGTTCTGGACTGCCGGGACATGAGCCTTCTTTGGGTCGATTTCACGCAGGAGATCATTGAAGAATGCGTCATAGACCGCAGGATTAGCTGGAATCCATCCACCGTAGCGGGTTAACACTGTTTGCTTCGACGGCAGAGGCCGCTGATATGGTGACATCGTCCTGTACCATGATCAGAGTGGATATGTAATGCACTAGGCGAGATCAACGTACAGAGTATGGAATATCTTCTTGGACTTTGGGGTGTAAGTGGATGGAATTCTGGCTTTCGGTGCAAGCACTCGACTCTCCTTTATAAGACCAAGTGACAGTTGGTCACAAAATCACCTTCAAACCCAGGCGAGTACACGAACGAACCCCCTATCGAGGTGAATAATGGATTCCACGATATTGCGTGCCAATTGGAAAGTTTTCAGAATTTTACTTCAGTCAAGTAGTTCTTCGCGTCCGATGTCAGTGGAAACTATGACAGCACAAGTTGTTATTTGGAGAGCTTTATACAATGGAGATACGCACCAAGTTCGAGAAATAAGAGAATAGAAATCGGGGGTGGTGCGCCCCACTAAGACATTGAATGGTTCGACAGGAAATGGCTCATCGAAGTTCTGTGGCTTGCACTGAGCAGTCTACTTTCCGCACCACAATTGACTATGTTCTTCACGGTGACCAATATACTCCCCTGAGTTATCAAAACGACGGTTAGCATTCGAGATAAATCCTTGAGCATTCATATTTACTAGTACACTCAGAATCTTCTGAGGAATTCTCTTGCATGAAATCAAAGTAGAGATTGGTGCACAAGAAATACACCGGCTTATCCCTTATCCTCTCCACAAAGGGAGGGGTAAAGCCAATTAGAAAGTTGACTGGCAGAATGTACAGTCCAAAACGCGGAGTAGAGACGCTCTCAAGTGGATCAAGCTATGGGGTAAAAGCAGTTGGCGTAAAGCTGCATGACACATTATGAGCTTCCATTCGAAATGCTCTATGGTGAGAACTGAGGACTTACCTATTCTCATCGATTTTGCTTGAGATGTAACATACTGAACTGGCTGAGATTTGAGGCGCCTCCTCTTTGACTGAGACCGAATGAAGGGACATGTTAAAAAGCTTATTATAAGTTATAAGGTCTTGAGGTGTCATCCTGAAAACTGGGCAGCTCCTCGAGGCAGATCTGGGGTCATATGTGTCATCTCAACCAGCTCCAATGACAGCACCAAGCAATCTGGTTTACATATCCAACGTAGCTCGATAACTCCGCCGCAAGAACCACTGTGTATACGCAATTCTGACCCCCAGTCCAAGTTTCCAAGTTATAGCGACTGCTTCATTCAGGCTTTTACGAATAAGAGAAGGAGGTGAGGATTCTGTGGTGACATAAGTTTTCTGGAGAAATTCATTGGCGGAATTTAGCGGATTTGCAAGTCCCTGTTAGATTCTAGAATTGACCTGCTCCAGACGTGCAAAAATTCCAACTATTGAAGCATCCTCGGTGCCAGCTAGCCTACCGGGTTATTAGCTTCTATAGCGTTGGTTATTGATAGTAAAGGCTGAGATGGCGACTGAAAAACTGAGAAAGACCATCACGGTGGAGTTGTGGGAAGAGAAGGGTCAAGTAGGCGCTACGCGCGTCAACAAGGATTTCTCGCTTTGACCGGTTCATGGCGTTTATTTATCTTTTTTATCAATTGTCATATCGTTATTATATTTTCGATATCTTTGACCACGATTTTATTATCCTGCTCAACCTGGTCGATCATTGTCAAAGTCCGAGCGTCTTCTCCAAGATGTATAAAAGTTGGATGAATTTCTGGAGGGGATTTTGTCGTTATAACCGCAAGGAAAACAGCAGTCTCCAAGTAAGTGTTGCCCTCGTTACGATACGATGTTAGATTAACTTTCCGTATAACAGCTCAAATGGATCCTCTATGCTCATATATTGAGATGCTAGACATCAAAGCTACTCCGATTCCTGAGAGTAGCATCAAACTCAGAAAACAGAACACGTTATCCCAACTAGAATACTTTGGCATCAATGGTAATCCCAACCACGAAACGCCGGATCTGACCTCAAGCCCCGACTGGAATCTTTCCTCGACCCATTCTTACTTGGGCTCCACTGATTTGCATTCAGTCTTTGATCGCCAACCTACAGAGATACTCATCATGATTTTCTCTTTCCTCGATTTCTCCGAAGCGAACCTTCTTGAAATAAACGAGGGTCCGTGGGCTCTTGCTAGAGTGTGCAGGAGATGGCGGGGGATTGTCTATGATTGTTCTTTATTCTGGCTCCATGCCAACCTCGACTTGTCGTACTGGCATTTCACTCGGAACTGGCCCAGTCGTGCGGACCTTTTGGTTTCTACTTTCCTCGACAAGTCCAAAGGACTTCCTTTGAACGTCCGAATACAATGGCCCGACATTGAAGGTGCTACAAATCACATTCTAGATGCCGTGGAACACATCTTGAAAACCTCCCATCGTTGGAAATCAGCCGTTTTGAATCTGCATTACGCCTTATATTATAAGCTCTCCTCTGTAATCGACGGTAGATTTCCCCAGTTGGAATCGTTGATGCTCAAGTGCAACCTACCTCCCAAGATTTCGAGAAACTCCCTGCCCTTGATTGAAGTCTTTCAGGTTGCTCCCAAGCTGCGCCAAGTCTCGATCGAGGGTATGCCTTATGCTACGAAGAATGTCACGCTTCCTTGGAATCAGCTAACACATTTGAATGTCTACCACGACCACCCCAACCCGAATTACCACTGCCTTCGCCTCTCATCCAACTTGGTCGAGTGTCATATTGGCGCTCACTGCGATTTGCTACAATCTCCAAGAGGACCATATTCTTCTATATCTCTTCCTCATCTCAAGACACTATTCGTGAAAGGAACTGGGGCTCTGGTCCTTCCGTATGTGTCCGCTCCCAACACTGAGGTTTTACATGTCACCGACACACCGTCGGCAGCTTGCTCCGAAGCCTGTATCGAGGCCTTGCAGTACTTCATCCTGGGATGTTCAGAGTCGCTCCAGGATCTTACTCTGCATTCGGACCCTCTTGATTACCGCCTTGCAGAGATCCTCTACTCGGTGCGCAGGTTGGTCAGACTCCACTTGCACCTCACACTGCCGAGAGGAAGCTCCTTATTCAAGGATCTGATAAAGTGGCTTTCATACAGACATGTCCCGGAATCGAGTTCAGCGACCTCATTGACGGTGGACCTATTAGGCCTATTACCTGTCTTGAAGAGTTTATCGATGCGTATTGATCCCTCCTTGGCTGACAGTGAATCTCTGGATGAGATGGACCTTACAGTTTTGATTAAGATGCTGGAATCGCGTCGGACGATGCCTCGGATTAGTGAGGCTCATCGTGATTTCAGGGAGCTTGATTCGTTTGACTTGGAGATCAAAAGCTATTCGCATGGAACAGGATTTAACGGTTTCGATGCGTTGAACGATATTGGTTTGAAGACGAGCGTGAGGTTGATACGGTAACTCGCATATCGAATCATTTTGAGGCGGGCTACCTCTACTAATCTATGACTGACTATACTTATTCCTTATGATATATTATGCATGTTTATTCTATGGATCCCAGTGCAATATACTGGTCAATCTGACTCAACCATAATCTCCCATAACCGTTAACAAGCCTGAGGAAATTGAGACATATGTATGTACGGTCATCAAAAATAATACAAATTCATTCTTGTCTATTTTTGTCCCTCACCCTTCTTCGCCTGGCTGCATCGACACGATTTTTCCGGCAACTCGACTCGAGAAAGACTTTATTCTACACCACGGCTATTGTACATACCGCTTAAAGTCGAATAATCAGTTGTTGTGCAAAACTTCGCTCTCCAACAGCCAGTTGCAGCTGTTCATATATTTTGTGGTTGAACTATGCTACAGCTTTGGAGTAGTCATTTTTGGGCTCTCTTCAATATCCTGATTACCCTCTGCCGGTTGTCATCGCTGTCGAACGCGGCTCCGACAGACGGTGAGTTTTGCTACCCTTTATCTTCTCCGCAGTCGTAATAATTTTGTCCCTTCACGTATCTAGTCCCTTCAGCCGCGTCCTTTTGGGTTCCTTCTCTACCAGACATTCACCAAGACCCTATACATCCATTAAACATCTACGCCGGTCATATTTCTTCTGATCCGCATGCGTCCGAGGCAGAGCCAAACGCTATCACTGCTCACCTGTATTTCGTGCTGGTTCAGAATCGAAGAACGGCGGATAAGGAAAGGGTCATGTTCTGGTTCAATGGAGGGCCGGGGTGTTCATCGTTTGATGGGCTCATGATGGAAGTCGGGCCTTGGAGGATGGATGGCAAGGGCGGCTTCAAGGTTGCTGAAGGCGGTTGGGAAGAATATACGACTATGGTTTATGGTGAGTACGCGTTGTGTGTTTGGTAATTTGTATCTGACCTAGTGTTGCAGTTGATCAGCCCGCTGGTACTGGTTTCTCGTACACAAGCTCAAATGACTTTGTGCACACGTTACAACAGGCAAGTAGGCGCAGAATTGTTTCACTGAAACTCCTTTTTTGAAGGGCTGTCATGCTCATTCTGTGCACTCTTAGGGTGCAGAGCAGTGGTTGGAATTCCTTCGTAATTTCTACAAGGTCTTTCCTCAATACAAACGCATGGATGTACGACCACACTTTCACCTCAAATACTGAAAGACTCATTGTTCCTTCTAGACCTATCTCGGAGGAGAAAGTTATGCTGGACAGTATATCCCTTACTATGGTGGGGTGTCAATCATCGATTTTCTGCTTGAATATGACCGCTGATTTCGTATACAAGCTGACGCTCTCCTGAACTCGGATCTATCGGTACCTCTCAAAGGTGCAGCTATCGGGAACGGCTGGATGGATGCTCGTCGGCAGTACCCCTCATACCTTGAATACTCCACCAAAGTAGGGATATTGGAGGAGAATTCTGATGTCCGTCCTGTTATGATCGTCCATGTCTTTCTTTTCCACTGACACGTAATTCAGGCGTGGAAGGAAGCTAAGCAGAAAACAGACGCTTGCATGACTAGCGTACACGAAATTACTGATCGAGAGCCAATCTCAGTACCCGCATGCGAGAGTCTGTTACTGGATGTAACCAAGGTTCGACAGAGAAAGTAGGTGTGATCAAGTTCGTTTCATTGATATCTCGTGGAGTTGAATGAATAAATTTCGCAGGGTGGAGAACAAGGACATGTGCATCAACATATATGATGTTCGTCTGGACGATTTAGCACCTGCGTGTGGGATGAACTGGCCTCCAGATATTAAGCCTATCACCACATACCTGGACGTACGTCCGTCTGTTTTTGTACATCTTTGCTAATCGAGATTTGACGCGATATGATACAATACATGCCCCATAAACAGCGCAAAGACGTCGTCCGTGCTCTTCACGCCGAATCTCATTCTGAATCCTGGACCGAATGTCGAGGTCGTATTCATAGAGAGTTGCACGAAAACCAGTCGAACTCGTCGATTACTGTGTTGCCTCGAGTGCTCGAAAAAATCCCTGTGTTACTCTTCGCTGGCGACCAGGATTTAATTTGTAATTATATTGGGATGGAGGCGATGATTAATGCGTTGAAGTGGAACGGGGAAACTGGACTTGGGGTGCGCAATCTTCTAGAATCACGCTCAGGGTCGACTGACGTATGGGCTTTAGACGGTCCAAACCCGTTCATGGAATGTCAATGGCGCGCCTGCTGGGACATGGGTCTCGTCGAGGAATTTGACTTATACCAAGGTAGATCAGATATCCGCGCTGTCCATGCCATTTTTCCGATATATCTTTGTCTTATAAGATTTTCAACGCATCACATATGGCACCCTTCGACGTTCCTCATGTCACGCACGACATGATCCTGCGCTTCATGGGTGTGGACTTTGCCAGTATCGTCGAAGGTTCAGCAAAAATTCCGAGTAGTGTTGGCTCTGAGACTAAGCCGATGTATGTGGAGGCTGAAACTGCGACCGCTACTCCTGTGCCTACAGGAAAGACGCCGCAACAAGATAAAGCTATGTGGGAGGGTGTGTATATCCATTCAACGTCGTTTACCTTTCACTAATCGCATATACTAGCATACTATAATGCCGGCTCCACTGCGCTCGTCCTCCTCCTCATCGTCATATTTATCGGTCTTTTCATCTGGTGGCGAAGACGTCAGGCGCGCGCGCAGAGCCTACATTTACCTCTCAACCAATCCGAGGCTGAGGCTGAAGAAAGTATACCTCTAACTCGTCGTGGACAAAATGATTCTGTGCAAGATTTTAGACCGAGGAAAGGGAAAGAGAGGGCGGTGGTTGAGTCGTCTTCGCCAAATGCGCCGATATTCGATGTTGGGAGTGATGATGAGGATGACCAAAAGTATCGGGATAAGTAAGCAGAATGACTTTTGAGATGAAATTGAGATTCGGGTGTTTGGTTTCTTATAAAAAGATGCTGTGGAATAATTATAATGTACAGACTTTTCGTAACTTATCACCATTATTTTGAGAGGCTACCCAGCGCTTATTTACTGTACATAACTTGCTTTCAACTTCAATCGTGTTCGCAACCCTTTGGAATATGTCTCGTTTATCGCGTGCAACGCTCAGTAACCGTGGTCCTAGAGACTCTGTTTTCAACCGAGGAGCAGCCGACTATCGAGCGGACGCGCAAAGTCATAAGTGTCCAGCTGATTTGGAAGAATGTGTGGCTTCATTGGAAGATTGTTGTGAGGAGGTAATATCTCATTGGTTCTTGAAGGTCAAAGCACCAACGCTCGCACCGTACACGTAGGCCCACGAAATTGGAACATTACTGCGGGCAGGAACCCAGGACCTTCCTCGAATGACCAAAATTATCGAAAACCAGATAGTATGCTAATCCTCAACGAATCCGTCAACGACTCATCTGTCTGATACATTCCAAGGTATTTGCACTAGCGCCGTCATCTACTCTACAACATTACAAAAGGGACCTTATAGACGAAGTCGAACCTGCAATTACCGAACTTGTGGAGAAAGCCCAGGCAGGATTACAAGCTCTTGAGAAGAAAGAGAAGGCGTTGGAAACCAAAGTGCGTTTGAAAGCCTGCATCTCGTCTTGGCCCTCATTCGCGCCTTTGCAGCTCAAGGCTGCACAAAATCGACCGATCTTAACTAGCCAGACTACTGCTGCCCAAAAACTCGAACAAAGAAGGCTAGTAGCATTGACAAAACAGAGGGAACGGCTGGAAGATGAACTGAAGGCTTTGGAGAAAGACGTGGTAGCTCTAGTGAGTTTCAAAGAATTTTCCCTGTCGTTGGTGAAAACATCAATCTCATCCACGGCTCTACAAAGGAACGTTCTTCGTTATGTACATAAAGTCGTGACGTTTTTCAAGACTTTTACGACTTGTATAACATCTTATAACATCCAATATTTGCGAGCGCCGGGCCCTCCTTCGCCCACGGTATTTCTTCCATTGGCCCCGGCTGTTCCTCAATATTGGGACCGTGTTGGTTCTTTCCTTTCCTTCCAAAAACCAGTGCCTTCCCGTCGCCATAGGTACAACTGGTTTGACTCCTTCGCATTAGGTACTTATCTCCTTCTTCCGCCCTCCATCTCCCAATACACTTAATGGTAGGTTGTATTGTGGAAATAAGTCTCGGAAAATGTGACCAAGCAAGGTGTAGGTCCCCGCAGGGGTACACTAGTTCAGAGGGTGTCAGAGTCGGGATGCTAATTCTCTGCAACTTGAACCTTCCATCCCATTATCCCATCATTTCACAGCTGAGATCTGGAAAATTACCCCTGGATTCTCCGCATGCTGGTTCAGGGAGGTTCATGGCTTGTATCAAGGAGGTTTAAATACCGTGATATTCTCTATGTATTTTCTTTCCTTTCCTCATTCTTTGTCAATAGTACCTCGGCTGGTCCGATATACAACAACTCATCTGTTTCTATGCGGAATCCGACATGTACATGCCTCAGCCTGCTGCTTATCTTTCTCCTCGAGTGGCCGCTATTCACATCCTCAGCTCCAACGCCTCCTTCGGGAGCAGGCTCAAGCTCCAGCACGTCACATAACGTGGACCTTCGGGTCCATCGATTCTTTGACATTGATCCAACCTGTAATGCTCAGCGTGGAGTTGAGAGAGGGCTTTCAGACATTTTTGAATTAGCAGAGGTAGCCCAACATATATCAGAAGATTCCGTTGCGTGCGTAGACTCTTCAATTCCTACCGATTTCGTGAACCTGAATCCATTGGAAACTTTGACATACAGATACCAACACTACTTCCTAAGTCGCAAACAGGATCCTCATGAGTTGGATATAGTTCGAAATATGGCCAAGTCTATACTAGTTAATGGGAATTCAAATAAGAAGACAACTATCAAGTGTTCTGCCATGGACACCGATCAGGGCGCGTAAGTATCTATCAAACAATCAATAACTCATGAGCCTGACTCTGCATATCATAGGATGGCGCACACTTCCTCAGGGAAAATAAATTCCCCTTGGATACATCTCTATCCGCTTTATTTCGAATTCCCTACATTCGATTCAAAACCATTTATCCAGACAGGATGGTGTACACCTCCTCCCCATAACCTTATCAAATTTCTTTCACAAGGCGAAATTGGCTATCATGAACTCACACATCTTGAACATATTGCAAAATATGCTCTAGAGTCATCCTCAGTGACTGCTTCTGATCATAGACCAAAGATGGAGATGCGGTGAGTCCCGAAAGCTCATATCTGAGCCGATAACTGAGTCTAGCTACAAACAGAGGAACTTTTGATTTTTTTATTCACAAATCTCTCACGTTCTATCAATCTGCTCGGATGTTGAAAGATCATTGGGTTGACTATTTATCCCAACCTAATAGTGCCACACCCAAGCCTCAATACTATCCTGACGAAGTTGCCTCGAGCTTTGAGCTCGCCGCAGTTGGTAAGTTTATATTGCTTCAAAAAATCGCAGTGTCTCATTGATTTCCATTTGTGTATGCAGAGACTTTCTTCGAACAGAAATGTCAGGCACATGGATGGACATCAACGCAAGTTATCCCAGCAACAATACAAGACCTTCAATTGGACTTGAACCCATTATTTGATCATGCACGAAAGCAAGCCAAGACTTTAGGTGTGATCGGGGCTTACCGTTAATAATGACAAGGAGCATCTCAACCTTGTCCCCGATGTTGATAAGTAAGGTCAGCTCGGGCGAGGCTTGTTAGTCAAACACTTCGCTGTCGTGGGCTGTCCAATCGTAACACTTTTTGGTGCACATCTCTGGCACTCGTTTATAAGGCTTGAAATATTATATATTTTGTCGTACTTTGCTGAAATGGGTGAAGGCGAAGAGCTTGTACAATCAATTAAGCAGACCTTTCACTATGGGGTTGCGTAGGGCGTTCGGTGGCTGATCTGGAGAGTCTACCCAGTGATGCTGTTAGTACAAGCCCTCTATTTGCGTCCTCAAAGGACCAAGGCTTGCCATCAAGTAGTGGAAGCTTCCCATCATGGGGTTCAACTTCTAGATACTACTAGATACGAGGGAGTACAATTGCTTTTTTCCTCTTCCACAATAAACTCAACGATTGCCGGTGATCGTTACGCCCGTATTATAATGTAGTACACCTTCAATTCAGAACAAAAATCGTTCTCTTGTATGTAAGTGTTTGAATTTTCCAGACTACCTGTAAGCTGTACATGTTAGTTTAGGTTTGCTCTCGATACTCGATTATCCAGTTGCAGCGGCTCCGAAGGCCTACCCCGAAGGTCGTCAATCGTACCGCCCCTTTTTGTCCGCGAAATCCGGGCGAGCGCTCATTTGAGTAGGTAAGCGCCTGACTCTAACACAGCTGTTGTTCTATCACTGGCACTGTCAGAACTTGAATCTCAGTTAGATTGGCTGTCTTTGGACCGTTCATAAGCTTTGTTTTACTCCCTCGCAGTTGATCTTTCTAGGTGCTGTGAGTATCATAATGATGATAAATTTCACGATAGGTGTGACCGTAATCACCCAGCATGCTATATTGCGAACTGCCATCATTAAACATCGAACATGGCATTGTATGACGCTGGCTTCAACTCTCCTTCTCTTGTGAACGATGATCCTTCACCTGACTACCACGCTCTAGTCCGCAGGTGCGCTTAAATCAAAACCGCACTGATAAAGATGCTGAATGCTTTCCTAGTAACACCACTGCCACTGGTTCTTCGACCACGAGCAGCGTGAGCTGGGGCTCCATTGACGACTCGCAGTCCTTATCCTCCCCCGTGGCCGTCAAGTTAGTGATATTCAATATCTCCAATACCCACTATGATGCATTGTTTTCTCGTATCTTAAAGGCAGCTATATACAACCACTCGACGATCGTCACGCCGCTCAGAACGATATCAGTATACATATAACCTGATAGCGGGTTCTGCCCCACTCCAATTTCTGATTTCGTGCGTTCGCAATTACCCCTATGCATGGTCTTAAGCTAATCGTTTGCGACCTGCAGTGTAGAACCCGTAAGCGGCAAACCAGTAGCGGGGAAATACCTTTTCCGCCTCTCTCTAAAAGTCGACAAAACCGAACGTCCCCTTGCTGAACCCATCTCATTGAACCTTAGCGTGGACCCCCGCAAGCTCGAGTTTATCGTGTTGTGCGTATCAATCTGATTGCGCTGTACTGGGCATGATGTATGATGGCTGATCGTTTTCATCAAATGCATAGCGTCTTTCCCGGAAAAACAACTATCCCAGCAGGCTGCTTGTGGTCTTATCGTGTTTGGTTGCGGGTTAACTTCGTGGATCACCGGATATTCGGCGATGATGAACTTTGGGTTGGGAAAGATCCTGATTTTTCGTCCATAGCAGATGCATCGTTTGCACGTCTCAAAACTGTTAATGCGAATTCTCAGCTGTACGATGGAGTCGTAGGACGGGCGCGTGTGCAGTTCATCGCAAGGTAAGTCTTCAAGCTTCGAGTTTCATGATTGCTGTGTTTGATGTATTGAATGTATCCCAACTCCGCTTTAGGTGGACACACATAGCGGAAGGGCTGTACAAGTGCACCCTTGAATATGAATCAGCAGGGGTTGGGGGCATGCTTTTCGAAGATTTCAGACTCATACTGCAAGGCGACCCACGATCTGTCTCATTTCTGATATAGTGAGCACTCTTTGAATACTGTCTGGATCCACCACGTCACTGAATTCATCATTGCTTGTCAGCACTGTGCCTATGAGCTCAATGCCGGCGGGAGCTTCTCACCGGATACGTGTCTGGCTAAAAACTTTCCTCCCTTTTCCAAACGACCAATCGTCCAACATATCCCTCCCTTTTAACGACTCTTATGTTTACCAACGGATATGGAAGTCCGACTCACTGAAAATCGGTGCTCGTCTGGACTTTTATTCCCTGGGTGCCAAAATGGTCATGGGCTACTCGAACGGGCCTCCTAAAACTTTCACAGTTTCACAAACCAGGGACAAATATGAAGCCAAAGGGAGCATTGAGCTTGGTTGATGCTACTCATGGCTGTTAACAACATCTGTCATTGTCCTGTTCCGATCTTTGCTTCTCTGTTTTTGAATCCAAGTCTGGGTTGAGCGTTGTATCATAAGGTGTCATTTTGTATTATCTTTATTCAGCTGTACAGAATAATCTTCTGTACGTGATACGTACAGACTTTTTCCTCTATATCATTCTATCATGTATGTAAATCATGTAAAGCCATTTTTATGCTTTTCAGATGACACGTTGAGAGTGGAAAAAAATTGGCAGATGGAATCGGTCAAACTTTCTGACCATTGCTATTCTCTTTCTCGTGCTTGATTTTTTCACTTTCCCTCCACTGCTTTCCATACAGCAGCACAGCCCAGAGACACGGGCTGAACACAAACCATACCCCACTAACGAAGACGCCCATAAGACCTATCCCAATCTTTTCAATCATCAAAGGTGCTATGGCGGTACCTCCCGAGCTCATCAAACATCGAAATAAATTGTTGGCCGCTGTAGCCGTAGCTGGAGTATCTGCATGTGTGTCCACAATCAGGGTATTCAATCCCTGCTGCGCGCCCGAGTAAAACAACCCTAGGAAGAAAAGGGAGACCTCGATCCCAGCCAAACTCGCGTTCGTCTGCATTGCCCATGCGTATGCTAGAAGAGTGCCGCAGGAAATATAAATCATAGGGATACAGATTTCCAACCTGATTCGCTCAATTGGGAATATTTCTAGTTGCTGCTGTCGAGATAAATCGAGTGGGACACCCAAAAGGCGTGCGTGCCGCCGAAAGTTCCAATCGAAGAGTAGTCCACTCGTCCAACGGGAGCATAATGATCCGAATCCTAGAGGGAGGTAGCAGAGACCCACTATGGCTGATGAAAAGCCAAAACGTGCTGTCAGCTGCTCCGATAGTGTCGTCATCACCATGAAATAGCCCGCAAAGAAAATCGCGCCGAAACCTAGCGTGATGCCTCCTTCGGGTTCTAGGAGGATACGGAGCGAGGAGATTGGATTCAGGCGCTTTTTTGGTTTATTGATAGTTGATATATCTTCTTCGACGCCTTCTGTACCATTAAAGTGATGTCCACTTCGTATACGCAACCATTGAGCCAGACTTAGGTCCCACCATGCCGGTTTCACACTCCCGTTGCCCACCACCGCCCTGCCTGTCTCAGGCATGAACATGAATATGATTACCAGAAGCACGCTTCCGAGGATGAGAAGAAACCAAAAGATGGAACGCCATCCGAGGAACTGATTGAGCAGGCCGCCAATCGTTGGTCCTAATGCTGGACCTAGGCTTATTCCTAATCCTGCATACCCAACCCAAGAACCCCGTTCAGCTCTCGTCACCATATCGGCAACAACAGCGCTTCCTAGTGCGATAGTAGCTGAGCTACCCGCAGATTGTAGACAACGCAAAACCATCAGTGCTGCATAGCTGTCTTGTAAAGCCAATGCCAGATTTGCGATTATGTAGATGGAAAATGCGAGCAGGTATGTCGGTCTGCGTCCGTGAGTATCAGCCAAGCTTGCCATAAATGAAGGTGCCAGACCTTGGAAGATCTGGTAGGTGGTGATGGTCAGATTGACCAGTGAGGTTCTCACTCCGAGGTCTGCGGCGATTGTGTTCAACGCCGGGAGGTAGATCGACCCAGTCAGCGGCGAAACAAGGCCGGCGAAGGAGCCAATGATTAATATGAGCATTTTCTGCGACCTCGGAAATGTCGAGTATAATGGCTCCTGTCGTTCTCTAATAGTACCTTTTTCCTTCGTATTATCATCAATGGGAGACGTTGCTTCCGCAGCATAATCATCTGCTGTTGTTGTTAACTCTTGACTAGAGTCCTCGGAGAGATTTTGTTGTGGCTCTTCGACCTTGGAGTCCTCGATAGGTTGCGCCCGTTCCACCATCCAGTTTCCAAGGTTTGGGGAAATTAAGAAGGCTTCCCAGATTGTATCCTAAAGACACTTCGCGATGTAGAAGCGAATTTATGCGGCAACGACCAGCATTCGTTGAAGTAGTAAAGAAGATCATCGTACGAGAGAAAATTGGATTCCTTATACAGAGTGCTGAATCGGATGACTTCCGAAAGCTTACTAATAGTTGAGTATATCGGGACTCCTTCCGAAGATAAACCGCCATAAATGATAGCTCTTGATAGCTCTTCGTCTCCTCGCGTACAGAGGAACGATAACCATATCAATATCAGTTCTCATCAACTGGTCTCGTTACTAACTGCCGACAGCTCTTTCGAGTATGTTCAGAAATGGTAACACAAAATAGAAAAACACCAAGAATGTGTTTGATTGAGTTCCTTGAATTTGTAGGCAGTGTATGTTATACTGTTCGGATCTGCATCGTTCTTTGGGAGCCCTAAATGGAGTCCATTAGACACCATGATCCTCTGTTACAATCAGCGTGATACCTTGTTCGTGCCGTTCAATTTATTTTCACTTCAAATGGCCACCTTCGTAGCAAGGAACTCGTTCCATTCCTTTTCACCCCAGCTACTAGAAACTTCGTTCGCAACCAATCCATCCCAAAGAACGGTGGGAGAAACATGAATGCTGTTTTGTCGCGAGAATTTAACTGGAAATTCCAATGAGACAACGTCCGAATATGTAAGTGAACAGAATTACTGGTGTACTTGAGATCATCAGTCACCGCGTTTCCTCCGTTCGGGGAGCCTTTAAGTTCTAGAAGATCTTTAAAATCGTTGGCCAAGCTGCTCCCGATTACACTTTCGGCGAGTTTGGTGAGTTTAGTGCGAACCTCGAGAGGCGTGATGGTGGAGGTTGGTATATCAAAATATTCTCCTTGCTGCTTGAAAAGCTACGAAAAGTCAAAATCATGCAAGTTGTGGAGAGTGCAGTCAGGACACACCGCCAAAGCAAAAGGCCAGAATTGTTGGGGCGCGACACGGGCGACCTACACTAACATTGGCCGAAAAAAACAGACCAGGGCACACAAGCTACGCACTGCTAATCCAGCTTCATGTACAAAAGTTGAAGAAGCGTGCCAAGGCTGCACCTGCGGCCTGAAAATTACTTTGACTTTATCGCCATACTTCCCACCATCAGCGCAAAGGGGTACAAGAACAGTCTATATAGTCAAGGCCATTTTCGCACTAATCAGAGCGTGAGAGCAGCTTATATGCGCTAGTCTGCGATCCTACCTGAAAGGACAGACATAGTCCACTATAGATTACAACGATAAACGATCAGTGGAATACTACAGCGACACATACAGAATATATCGAGCGTGTGTGGAGCATGAGCAGATCCAGCGATAATCAGAGGTCGAAGATTGGGTTGTAAAGCCATTGTGGACGGGAAGAAGAGAAGACAAATGTTGCAAAATCGCGTCACCGTTCATTCAACTTCAAGTATTTCCTATTTCGGTTTAAGCGCCCGTAGTGATCACGTGAAGCATCGTTCTTTCACCTCTTGAGTTGAAGTTCTTCGTTCCGATACACTCACCAGTTGAAGCATGGATTTCGCAACCTTTTTATCTCAAATAAACGATGCTTTAATCTCTGAAAATGGGCCAAATCTGGCGTATCTCCTGCGGCCAACAAGTCCACATGGAAAGTCACTAGTGAAGGAATTTCGCTCGAACGCAACTGTGAGTCGATTCATGATATGTTAGCCTTTTACAATTAAATGTTCATAGCAAGGAAGTCTGGAATCCGCGTACAAGGGTGCTATACGTAGCCCTTGGGATGACATCGCGATAAAATATGTCTTGACTTGCACCTGTGTTGCAAAGCGAAGATCTCAAGAAGCATACAAAGAACATTCGGCGTTGGTGCTGTGAGTATGTATCATACCGCACTTCATCGGACAAATCCCTCATTTTCCTGTGATCCCAGCTTATTTTTGCGATTCTTCACGGAGAACCGAGGATGGACACTTCCTGCTCTTTTCTCGATCCTCCGGGACTTGCGGGATCTTGCATTTGATGTATGCTCTAGCTTCTATGGAGCTCGGAAACCTGCTCACACGAACATTAGGCAGACTTTCATGCAAAGTATAATGGAGAGAAGAGCGAGTGCATGGAAGATGCAGCAAGGAAGATAGCGAGTGCGTTTGGGAACTGTATTACCGATAGGTGAGCAGCTCTGGTCATAGACTCCCGAAAATATCTGACATTTATTTTTCTTCAAGACAATCACCTCCAGAGCAATCAAGAAAATGGGGCGTATACTATGTGGTCGCGCTGGTTTTAAAATGTTATTTCAGAGTTTGTCTACATCTGCTGTCTTCTCGATGGTATTCAATCACCTCACGCTGTTCCAGCTGAAACGGATTTCCCTCTCAAAAAACATTTTGCGAGCTCTCGAAGCCAATCGCGACATCCCTGCGTTGTCTCAATATCCACGTTCACATCAAGTACGCTGTGTCATCATTTTCTTTGGCTACAAACACTTATATCCGATGTTCAGGTCACGTTCAGATACTACCTTGGAATGCTACACTTTCTCAACGAAGATCATGCCAAGGTTCGTACCCCTTCGGTCAATTTCCAAAATTTCAACACAGCTGTCTCTCTAGGCAGAAGAAGAGTTGACACTCGCATTCTATCACTGTCACACCGGTGCTCATGCGAATCAAGAGTACGTAGGCGTGTATGTCCTGTGTTCTGTCTTGTTAACTTACACTCAAATCCAGGCGGATTCTGGCATACCTGCTACCTTTACGATTGCTCAAAGGCCATTTACCCTCAGATGAATTGATGAAACGTTTCCCGGTACTCTCAGAAATGTATACCCCATTTGTCACTGCTATTCGTCTTGGGGATATTGCTGCGTTTGATCGCGCACTGGAAGAATGGGAGTCTAAGCTGGTAGATCTCAGCTTGATGCTTACTGTAGAAAGAGCTCGTGAACTATGTTTGAGGGGGCTGTTCCGTCGAGTGTACGTTGTACATCCGTTCGCATCTGATTCCTCAATAATCTATTTACATAGGTGGGTGGCATCAGACAAGAATTCTCGCATCCCAGTATCCGTGTTTCACTGCTCTTTGCGGATATCCGGCATGGACGTGGACCAGGAAGAGGCGGAATGTTTGGTGGCCAATATGATATACAAAGGCTTCATGAGAGGTTATATCAGTCACGAGAAGCAGATGGTCGTTCTTGCCATGACCAATCCATTTCCAAAACTGGTTGATAGGCCGTCTCCGTTTGCATACTTATGAGAATATCTAGCTTTCTGCTGCAACAGTCTGCAAGATCATCTCTGCCGCTTTCTCTGCTACCCCATATAAGCCCAATGTCGTATGTGGGAACACGCTCAACGGAATGATGGATGCATCTGCTATTCGAAGATTTATTGTTCCTATAGAATGATGAGCAACATGAGCACAAAAGATACGAGGGCGAAGGGGTGTACCATAAACAAGAAGCTCAGGGGAAACGACACCGCCGAGCTCTTTCGGCATCATCGAGTTGCTTCCAATTGGATGCGTGCCAGGAGTGTATCTGATAGAAGTAGCAGAGCATCAACATGTGAGTCGAAGCCTCCTTCACGCGACTCACGTAGAAAGTACCCATTGACCAACTTCCTCATCTGCTGCACCCACTTGCGGCACGCCTGCCTCTGCCAATGCATTTTCAATGAGGAGGTCACTGAATGGTGGCGTTACCGCAATGCTAGAAACTTTCCGTGCCGCGGCGACAGCGATAATCATGTCGACTTCAGTAGTGAGATATTGCGCATCTGCAATTGGATCGACGGATGGATCGGTGGTGTTGATGCGAATGGTCCCACGAGAAAGTGGTAAGACTGACTGGGCCCAAACATTGATACTCGTGGGGCCTGGCGTATAAAATATCTCGATGAGGGGATCTTGCAATCAAACTAAGGAAGTTTTTGAGAATACATGCAAAGGAGAGGACGTACGGTCAATTTGGTATGCTTCAGCTATCAGAGCAGCTTGAGTCGTTAAAGTCTCAGATGTCACAATACCGTTGGTGGAAAGTGCGTGCTCTGCGGAAATGTTTCGGAGCATTTTGTCCACTGCAGAGGTGCCTTTCAAGAATATGGTTATTCAGAGGGTATCTATCTCAAACGCAATCACTTACCATTCGAACCTAGCGTGTCCGTCGCAGTAGGATGTGCCACCACCACCGCCAGCAGAACTTCCCCTCCCCCAGTGACGTTTGTAATGTTCGCGGAAGGTGTAAGGGAGAATGAAACATTTGTGAGTAGAATTTGATCCTGGAAGCTTGAATTCTTCTCAGCGAATAGACGTGAGGGGCTCGGTGAACACCTCTCACTTGGCACCCACTCCAGGAAGGTCAAGGACTGGTTCGATCCCTATACTTTGTAAAAACCTAGCACACAACATGACTGATTGACAGGAGTATCTTCCTTGAAGCAGTTACAGCATACGTCGTGTTTCCTATCCCACTACGCTGAAGGATAGCAGGAGACTTCACGGGATATCAATAAATGTGCACCCGCCAAAAGCCGACGATGCACCCACGTATATTGTTCCAGCAGAAAGCACCACCTCTCTCGAAACATTGAATGTCGACGTTGTACCCCCTGCAGTAGGTTCTATGAGAATCCCTGTAGCAGTGACGTTACCTCCTGCCCCTGTAGATGTTAGTAAATTATTAACTCGATGCCCAGTAAGCACCGTTAGCCCCTCTCTCTGTTGAGCTTGAGGATATAAATACGACCAAGCTGAAGAAGACCGCCGATCCATTTGCAGTGTCTCGTTGAAATGGATGTGATGATAGTAACTTGAATAATGCCCTACAGTGTATCGGAGTCCGCGCGATGCGTTCATTGGCCCCCAGCAGTACTCACCTCCGGAAAACCCATCTCCCATATCGGGACTCAGGGCTACCTCACCTTCGAAGACTGTGTTGGTCGTATTTTTTGCAGCGTTCTGGAGCGTTGGTGCGATGAGGGGCTGGGCAAATGAGACTCCAACAGGACCGTCAAATCCATGTACTACGGCTATGAAATCCGCTCCCTCGGCGCGTTGCGTTGGATTTGGGGGTGAAAAGTTTCTGATTTTTGCATGTAACTGTAGAAGATAAATTTGAGGTGATTGGAGTATTAGTGAGCAGTGTAAAAAATGAATAACCCAAATAACTAACGGAAGGAAGTCGTTCCATCCCCAGCCGGGATTTCCGAGTGCCTCAATCGCACTCATTCCGGCAAACGTCGGCCTTGAACCTATCATCGTGTTGATGGAGGAGCTTCCTCCTAGACAGCTTCCACTGGAGAGAGCCTTCAATGACGATTAAAATCGATTGGTGGAAGTTGGAACACACTAAGTCATTGGAATCATCCTACTTCCGTTGAAGCCCATTTGTGGAGCGAGATCTATTTGAAAATGGCATGGAGATGGTCTGCACACACATAGAGGGACATTCGAAGTCGACCAATGCACGGGGGAAAAAGACACGCTGATGATACTCACGTCCCAAATTTTGTAAATGGATCATTGATAACTTCATCGTTGACTAGGTCCGGTCCACGTTCGACTACCAGGACAGAGTGGTTGACAGCGAGGCGGTTAGCGACAGCTAATGCAGTTGTTCCACCACCAACAATGATATATTCGAATGGCGCAGTACCGAGATCGGAGGTATCATCAGTGATAACAGTAGAACGAACAAGTCCTAACAAAGTGAAGAAGAGGATGTAGTCCAGAACAAGGTCTACGGATTTCCACATCTCGAGTGTGTGCGACAGGACTGCAAAGCTCAAGTCCGAGCTTTAATAAGGGCCCGGGAGGGGGGCATGCTGAGACTCTCACATACTACTTCCATCTCATGCACAAAATGATACACTGCACGAGCAAAGAAGCGATCGCATATAAACCCAGTGACGCCGAGAAGGAGCAATGAGCTGTTTCTTTGAATTAGAGAAGTGTAGAAGTGTACATCGCCTGAAATATAGCACTCACGATGGTGAATAAATCCTTTCTCGTGACAACGTGAACTCTCATAGGGAGCTTCGTCTGGAATGCACCTGACATTTATTATGAGAATTTGGATGGCAATTGGCGGCACTCTTTAGCGACTCGTTCAGAAATGGTTCACGGATATTTTGACGAAATCAATAAATGAATGGGTAGAAGGTGAACGAGTTGAATTACAAGCGATATCAGCGTACAGACGGATTTAGAATAGATCAACCACTCCTCGCTCGGCAGATGCAACGGCTACCACTTTGGACTCGAAGTCAAGTATAGTCCCGCCCGTAGTCGCAACTAAACTCGAAGAAACAGTTCCAGAAGCTAGTCCCAACAGTTTCTCCAAATTGGAAGAAGCCAACGCAATGGCTTCTTCCCTAGAGATGTGGCCACCAGCCTCAATAGCGGCCTGACATATAATTTGATGAACTAACATGACTGGTAACAGGAGAGCAAACTCACCCAGCTAACATCAAATCTTGTATGCCTCACGGCCCATGCCCCGTCGGATTCAACACCAACACCAACAGTTACATTGTTGGCCAGTAAGGTGGATATGGCGTTATACTGGGTCAAAGGTGGTCCAGGTAAACTAAACATCACTTGACAAAGATATCGAGGATGAGAAGAATGAATGGAACTCACATTCTGCGCATGTCCCAGAAAGACGGGAATGGCCGAATTGGGGAAACAATGACACCAACGCTTGCAGCACCAATCTCCCTGGCCAATAGGTGTGCTTCGGATGCTCCAGCAAATGTCATTTGAATGACGGACTTCGTTTGTTCTTGAATGTCAGACTTGAGCTGAATCAACGAGGCCATGATGTCTGCATTATGGACATCAACGACCAGAGGTATCTTGCCCTGTAGCATATAGTTAAGAAGAGATCCGTTCCCTCATGCCATCCGATAAAGGTTCACGAACCTCCAAAACCTTTGAAATCTGCAACTCAAGGTCACCTCTTGCACCGCCAGAAAGTAGTCTTCTGAGCATTGCAATTTGTGTGCTGACACTAACGGAAGAAGACAGAGACAGAGAAACATGAAGAGCCACTTCATCCTGCATTATTGCTCCATCTATCAGTTTATGGGCAGCACCTGTATTAAATGCTGTGCTTAAGCCAGCCAGAAGGCCCGAGGAATACGGTGCAGTAACTGCCGTCGTGACACCACTTCGATAAGCCAGAAGGGCATCCCTGGTGGTGAATTGTAAACCATCCACAGCTCGAATGACAGCCGCATTACGTCCCAGAACACTGGGAACTTTATCTGTGAGAATGTCAAAGACTTCACCATCTTGAGTCGTTGCTTCGCCAGCGATGTGTACCAGGCCAAGACGGCTCCCATAGCTGAGGAGGCCAGGACTATAAAACAAAATTGAAAAAGCATGGCCTGGATGATTAGGTGATGACGTGCTCACGCCAAGGAGCCTCCAAGCAGATCGACCGTCCGCGGGGTCATCGTCAAGTTTGAAGAATAACCCTCAGAAGCCCCGATGTAGTTGAGTTTGCCATTTTGCACAACCGCGATCTGCGGTGCACCCAGATGGTCTTTCGCAAAAACCTGCTTCACACCGTTTCCCATGTCCATGAACAAAGTGTCAAAGTTTTGGAAGATGACAACGTCTGAGACTGATTCTTTTGGCCCAAGCGGAGGCAGGCCATCGAATTCGAGTGCAGCTTTCTTCTCTTCTTCGAAATTCGGAGTTTCGGGAGCATGTTGCAAAGCCTTGGATTTAGGTCGAACAAATGGACTTCCCAGTTGAGCGATACCATCAATGAAAACTTGCTTTGGGGTAGCGCCAATGGCTAATGGGTGACTGTCCCATAGAACTACATCTGCATCATAACCTACACATAGAATTCATGGGTATCAAAATCCAAGAAAGTCTAACGATTTCGAGGTACCTTTCCGGATAAAGCCAATACGGTGCCCTTGTCCCATTGTTTGTGCCGGGGTCGAGGTGACAGAAGCCAATGCAAGGTTGCTGGTCAGACCAAAATAATGGGCTTGTTGGGCCTCATGCTAAAGGGAATATCATCTCACTTATTGGGCATAAATATTATTGATCCGCACCAGAAGGAAACGTGAATTAAGGACTGGATGGTCGCTCTGATGATTGCATTAAGCATTGACCCTTGAAATAGAGAATGATCGACAGCGACCTTCATCACAACTTGAATTTCATTTTCAGCCAGGATACGAGGTGCAAACTCGGAGCCTCGGTACGATTCACGTTTATAGCGAGCTTTTGTGGCGAACAGTGCAACAGCAGGCGTTTGACCTATAGTTGAGAGGAATTACTAGTAATCGCCGATGTAGCAGACAACAGAAATATTGAATTTCAGCGCACCATAGGCTTTCTTCAATAAATCGGGAACCAGATATGTTTCGTGGGCATGATGGAAAGCGGCAACTGGGAAAAAGAGAACATGAAACCATGTAATTAGAGTAGAAGTTTGTGGAATATTACTTGAGAACTTGAATTCGTTGGTTAGGCGGACGATTCCGTCCAAATCAACGGCTTCATAGCAATGATTTTGAATCTGTGCAATAAATCAACCTGCAATCAACATTTGATCAATTTCAACCAGAGCGACATGCTTGCCTTGACTTTTCCTCTCAAAACATCAACTAGTGCTTCCCACTGAAGGTCCTCGGGAAAATCCCCGATGTTATCCCAGTGACCTGCAACAGCCTGAAACTCATGAATATTCAGCCAGATCCCTCAGTAATAATAAACCCCGCTAGCCTTTTCACAGTATGCATCCTGCTTTACCTTTAGTTTCCTGGCCTCTTCATAACTTGAGATTATTCAATTTTTGGTCATGGCGAAGTAAATAAAAGGAAGGGGATATTCACCCCTGGCGATATGCCCAAATTGTATCCACTGATGTCCTCAACTCGCGACTAGTTCACGATTTAATAAGCACCAAACTCACTTCGGGTACCAGAGTAAACGCGACCTACGGTGCCCAAATAAGCATGTGACCGCGATGGGTGGGAAACTGAATACTTACTAGGATTCTCGCCTGTTGGCGCGTTGAGATTATATTGGGAACAAGCTTTAGAACCCGTGCCTTTGCCACGGTGGCTCGCTCTGCTCGCACCGTGTGCTACAGCAGGGTTCACAGCTTGTTGGGGGCAAGCCCCCAAACCCCCCTGAGTCGGCGCCTTGCGCCTCCATACTTCAATATTTATTATGCAGTATTCTGAGCCATTTTCATTGCAAACAACATACTTTTCCTATCTAGAAAAACTTCTGGGTACATTAAGGTACACCATATTTGTAGTAAGGCAATGTCTATCTTCTAAAATTCAAAGTCAAAGTTAGAGACTTGCTATGAATTGAATATAAAACTTACCTCTACCAAACAAAACTTTTATTACAGCCTTCTTTATCATACTCCACATCTGTAAAGCTTGTATATTTGCCAGTCCAAGGGTGCCAGGTGAAGAGCACTCTCCATTACCCAAAGCACTTGGAGTATTTTTGACTTGTTCTAAATGGTTTGGCTGCTGGGAAGCTCTTTCAGGTGCTCTCAGACAATTAGCCAGTACCATTGCTCTGGAAAACACACAGGATTTGGAAATGCAACATGTTTTACAGATTTTCCCTGTAATTTATTTATTATCATTGCAAATGTAAGTCATACTGGAATCTGGTGCCTCTTCAAAACCTGATGAACTGAGTATGATACAGGGAATTGATTTTCCAGATTTATCACAACCCAATATTCCTGCTTCCAGAACTCTGACTCATCTGCAAAACCTGAATATTCAGCTAAGGGCCAAGAGCAGATCCCAGTGCTGCAAGCACTGAATGTAACATGCTTTGGGTGCTTCCACTGTTGGGAAGTGCTCTCAACTGTTCTCAGACCCTTAGCCCAAGATGAATATCTGCAAAACATGGATGTTTGCCAGAGCAAGGATACTGGCTGGAGAGCATTGTCAGCTGCTCTCCAGCTATTAGCCAAAAACCCAGGTTTTACAGATGTCAGGTTCTATTGCAGATACCTGGAAGTAATATTTCAAAGTATCATAATAGGTGCACCAATCTTGAGCTCAAGTTTTACCAGTGGAAGACCTGGTTCATGGATACTATTTAAATACCCAACAGGGTAGTGAAATTCATTATTGTTGTCCTCTCCTTCATTTGCACCAACACTATCAGCTCTCTAATAGGTGAATGCATTTCCTGCTAAAGCATCCAAGTAGTTAATATACTACAACATTTCTGTGGCAAATGATAGTACATTCAAGAACCCATGGATCATTGTTTACTGCAGGATGTATTGAGTTGAGACTTGTAGATGGCAAGCAATTTTGCTAAGTCAGAATTCTTCTTCATAATGCCTTGCAAAGTTTGAAGTGATTTCTTCAATTTGTAGCACTTCTTATATCAATACTGTAAAATAAGGCAGCAGCCACAGTATGCAGTATACTCAATGCATACATATGAATGTATCATGTCACAGAGTTCAACTGTTAAAGTACTCGTGGTGTTGACCCTCACTTAAAGTAAAAACTGCCGGAGAACACGGCATTGATTCCGGCGACTCCGCAGCACCGTTTCGTGGTAAAATTTAGGCGTTTAATCTGCTGACCAATTATTGGTAATCATGCTAAGCGCCCAGTTAGTCTTTTATAATATAGGATGAATTTCACTCAGGAGTTGGAGTACACATACCACATGCTTGTCTTTCGGAGAGAAACATGTTAGATAATGGCAATGCAAATAATCCGGGACGCGGGTATTACTTTAACTGTCTCCAGCGCGGAGGTTGCACTTCTTCAATCCCGGTGCCATTAAAGGTAAAGGGAGGCTCAAGGAGCATAGACGATGAAGACCGTTCTTTTGTGGGACGAAGTTTGATAACGAATGCTTGACCACCTGGGAGATGTTGATACGTGTCACGAAAGCAGAATTCGTAGTTCGGGACATTGAGTCAAAGCTCACCAATAGCGTTTGCTGAGCCCGGAAGAATTACTGCTGTGGTCACTCCGCCGGATATAGAGAGCTGGTAGGCATCGTCGTGAGTGTTCAGGGAGTCGAGGGAGCGTAGCCAAGGTTGGACAAGGCCTTTCCTTGAATTTGTGTCTGCTGAGCCACTTAACTTTGGGGAAGATTGGTCGCCGAGGTGAGAGTGCAAATCTACAATTCTGCAATCCGATCATTGGCTAGAAGATCCAAGAGCCTACTGTTTCGGACTAACCCAGGAGAGAGCCAAGAACCATTGGCATCGATAACTGAAAGATGGTGATACGTGTTCAATAAATGACCGGGGATTTCTCCTACTGCTTGAATCATGCCCTTGTCCAAGAGCAAGTCACCTAGAATTATCTCTAGCCCTTGAACATTCCCTGTCCAGATAGTGGCATTTTTTATCAATGTCGGATTTGTTCCAGGGACGTAACGATCAGATTTCTTTCGAGAACCAAAGTCTGAAGGTGGGCCAGGGATAACATTAAGAGTGGAGCATTTCCGGATGATTTGGGGTGCGTTGATAGGAACTTTTGCAAAAGAGCTCTTTGCGTCAAGGGTCCGAGTAAAGAGCCCTGTGTACACACAGACAACCAACAAACTGAGAGCCAGTGCCGTTCGCAGGGATGAATAAGGTCTTTTCGTGCTGGGCCGCTGCTGAATGTAAGGCGTAATTATGGCCTTTTCCATCGTGAACACAGTTTCAAATCAAGTCTGGCTTGTGAAAATACGCCTATATAAGCAGGGATCCGTGGGTTCCCTTATTGATTCTCACACAATCAGATTCTATATTGGTTAAAGGTGAAGAAGGGAAGATTCGTTCAAAGACTCCCAGACTGCTATAGACAAACCACGTCGACAGTCTGTCTCATAATAAGACTACCCACGTTCCAAGCTTCAAGCTTCAACGCGGAGCAGTGATTCACTTCGGGGCGAAGTAGGCGCCCGGTGCTGGCATTGTTCCCATCACATCGGTCACCTTATGATATTAGATGACGTGATTGGAGGCGTTATGTTTTTGGAGGAGGTGAGCTCTGGTGAGCTGTTCACTTCCAGAATGACTCGTCAAAGTAGTGAAACTACTCATTGAGAAATAGCACTTACAATATGAATTTCGCACAACTACTCCCATTTGTTGGGGGAAGCTTCGCTTGGTATGGCACAATTTAGCACCCTATAAAACTTCGAGGTGCACGTAGTCTTGCAGAATTCTAGATATTTACCATTAGAGCAGGAACAAAATCGCCGACATAGGGTTGATGTGCATGATCAAAGGAGCGGAGAGGCGGCAGTATTGTAAATGTAATCGTTTTGTCATTCTACGTACACGCAAATCTTGAACTTATCCCTGATCAGCTTCAAAATAGATCTACCACTCCTCGCTTAGCAGATGCGACAGCTACCACTTTAGATTCGAAGTCAAGTATAGTCCCGCCCGTAGTCGCGATTAAATTGGAGGAGACAGTACCAGAAGCCAACCCCAATAGTTTTTCCAGATTCGAAGAAGCTAACGCTATAGCTCCTGCTTTAGATATTTCTCCTCCAGCTTCCAGAGAAGCCTGGCATATGGGCTAGCGTCAACAGACGAGAAGGCTGGCATTATAAATAGACTCACCCAGCTCACATCGAATCTTGTATTTCGTACGGCCCATGACTCATCAAAATTCACGCCCACACCCACAGTGACGTTGTTGGCTAGTAAGGTAGATACAGCACTGTGCTGGGTCAAAGGTGGACCAGGTAAACTATCCAAAAGAATGAATCAGGATTTGGCAATGAGCGAGATGAAAAGGTTCAGTCACATTCTGCGCATATCCCAGAAAAACGGGAATGACCGAGCCGGTGAAAGAATGACACCAACACCTGCAGCACCGATCTCCTTTGCTAACAGGTGTGCCTCGGATGCTCCAGCGAATGTCATTTGAATTGCAGATTTAGTTTCCTTTGTAATCTCAGACTTAAGCTGAATCAACGAAGCCATAATATCTGCACTATGGACGCCAATAACCAGTGGTATCTTCCCCTGTACCAGCGCACACTTGCATTAGCGAAAAATGTTCTCTTACAAAATCGGCTTTACGAACCTCCAGTACTTTTGTGACTTGCACTCCAAGCTCACCTTTTGCACCACCCCCTAACAGTAATCTTCTGAGTGTCGCAATCTGTGTACTGACACTGACAGAAGAAGACAAAGAAAGCGACACATGAAGTGCTACTTCGTCTTCCACCACAGCACCTTCTATGAGCTTGTGAGCAGCACCCGTGTTGAACGCCGTACTCAAACCAGCCAAAAGACCTGACGAACACGGTGCAGTAACTCCGGTAGTGACACCGCTACGGTAAGCTAAGAGTGCATCCCTGGTCGCGAATTGTAAGCCATCCACAGCACGGATAACAGCGGTATTTCCGCCCAGGATAGTAGGAAGCTTGTCCATGAGACCATCGAAGACTTCCCCGTCCTGAGTACTTTCTTCGCCAGCGATATGTACCAGGCCGAGTGGACTCCCGTAACTGACCAGGCCGGGCCTAGAAAACAAAGATGAAGAAAGTCAACAAAGGAGAGGTTGACGGTTCGGATTACTCACGCCAAAGAGCCTCCCTGCAGGTCAACCGTCCGGGAGTCCACGTTCACACTTGTAATGCACACATCGGGCGTCCCAATACAAGCTAGTTTCCCGTTCTGCACCACGGCGATCTGTGATTCACCAACGTAGTTTTCCGCAGTAAAAATCTGTTCCACGCCATTTCCCATATCCAGGAACAGAGAGTCAAAATTCTGGAAAATTACAACGTCTGAAATTGATTCCTTGGGCTCAAGTGGAGGAAGACCATCGTGCTTAAGTGCAGCTTTTGTCTCTTCATCAAAATTTGGAGTTTCAGGTGCGCGTTGTAAAACATCGGATTTGGGAAAGGCGAAAGGCTTGTTGAGTTGGGCAATGCCATCAATGAACACTTGTTTAGGTGTAGCTCCAACAGCCAAAGGATGGCTGTCCCATAGAACAACATCAGCGTCAAAGCCTAGCTAAAGAAGTAAATCATAATCGTTGAGACTGAGGAGCATGTAGCGTACCTTTTCGGATATAGCCGATACGATGATCTTGTCCCATTATTTGTGCTGGAGTCGAGGTGACAGAAGCCAAGGCAAGATTGGAAGCCAGACCAAAGTAATGGGCTTGTTGGGCTTCATACTTAAGGAACCATTAGTTGATGGTGATTGTAATAGGGACTAGGCCCAAAGGTCAGCTACATACCATGAGAAAACGGGAGTTGAGAACTGGATGATCACTCTCGAGGTCAAATCAGGACGGACACATCAGTCACTAGAGAAGAAAGATATCACCTTCATCACAACTTGAATGCCATTATCAGCTAATATACGAGGTGCGAATTCGGAGCCTCGGTACGATTCGCGCTTGTAGCGTGCATTGGTTGCGAAGAGTGCGACAGCGGGAGTGTGACCTGAAAATTCGTGAACACCAGTAATCGGCGAAACATATTGCGTCGGCGACTGTACCATAGGCTTTCTTCAGGAGTTCGGGAACTAAATACGTCTCATGGGCGTGATGGAACGCGGCAACTATGAATCTTTACATGAGTTAACTTTATTGATGAACGAAGGTGAAAAGATTACTCGGAAATTTGAACTCGTTCGTTAGACGGACGATCCCGTCTAAATCGACGGCTTCATAACAATGATTCTGAATCTGTTCAATGATTGTTAATTGATTTTTGTTAAGCAGTTGCCAAATCTCGATAGGAGCGAAATCTTACCTTGACCTTTCCTCTCAATACGTCAACTAGAGCCTCCCATTGAAGGTCTTCAGGAAAATCGCCGAGGCCATCCCATTGTTTTGTTGCAGCCTGCGATACATTCAAATATTTGTCAGCCGGAAAATGCTCTGTATGAGAACAAACTGACTTTTTCACAGTATGCATCTTGTTTGACTTTGAGTTTCCTTGCCTCTTCGTACCTTGAGAATGTAAGTATCAGTCTTCAACTTCTTTGAAGTAGAAGGAATGCTTACCCTTGACGGTAAGCCCAAATTGTGTCCACTACGATGAAAACATATCACATTTCAGCTAGATACGTGATAGAGGATACAACAGCCTCACTCCGAGTGCCCGAATAGAAACGACCTGCAGAGAGGAGAGCATAGACATTGAGCATGTGACCGCGTCAGGTTGCAAATTTAAACACGTACTTGGATTTTCCCCTGTTGGCACGAAAGTGAGTGACAATGAAGTTGCTCCGAAAATGGAACAAATTAGGCATACCACATGCTTGTCTTTCCGAGTGATCATGTTAGGAAGGGCAATGGAATAAAGAAACGGGACGTACTTCAACTGTCTCCATCGCGGAGGCTGCACTTCCTCAATCCCTGATCCGTTGAAGGTAAACGGAGGCTCGAGGAGCATAGATGACGGAGAACGTTCTTCCGTTGGACGAAGTTTAATGACGAATGCCTGACCACCTGACCAGTTTACGAGAGACGTGTCAGATATTGTCAGATTCACGACTCAAGAGGAAAGATGAACGATGGATAGAATGCTCACCGATAGCATTTGCTGAGCCCGGAAGAATTACTGATGTTGTAACCCCACCGGCTATAGATAGCTGGTAGGCATCGTCGTGGGTGTTCAAAGAGTCGAGGGAGCGTAGCCAAGGCTGGACAAGGCCTTTCCTCGAGTTCGTGTCATCCGAACCTCTGAGTTTTGGGGAAGAATAGTCGCCGAGATGAGAATGTAGATCAACGATACTAAAGATTCGAAGTTAAGGGTTGATGGTATATCGCACGCTCGATTGACACTCACCCAGGAGAAACCCAAGATCCGTTCGCGTCAATAACCGATAGATAGTCATGATCATACGCGCTCAATATCTGAGCAGGTACCTTCCCAACCGCTTTGATAATTCCTTTATCCAAGAACAAGTCACCTTCCAGAATGACCTCTAGCCCATCGATGTTTCCTGTCCATATTGTCGCGTTCTTTATCCAAGTCGGTTTAGTTTCAGGGACGTAACGGTCAGATTCCTTCCGAGAACCAAAACTTGGAGGTGGTCCTGGAATATCATTGAGATGGGCGCATTTCCGAATGATTTCGTGAGCGTTGATAGGTACTTTGACCCTTGTATCAGCTCCTCGAGAGGTTGTATAGGCGGTGAATAAGCCTGCGTATCCACAGGCCACCAATAGACTGAAAGCCAACGCAGCTCGCAGGAGTCGATACTGTCGCGATTTCACTCTGCTGGGTCGCTCCTCGCTGTAAGGCGCGATTATAGCCTTCTCCATCGTAAATGATGGAGTTCTAAATCAAGTTTGAATTGTGGATGTAATAAGGAAATAAGGATAGAGTTCTTCCCACATGATATGGTTTGAGTGAAGCTTGGCGGTGAGCGGGAAGAAAGAGACGGAATCTTGTCGTGGGCAACGAAATGGTCAGAAAGCATGAGTTGGAGACTGTGATACAAAATGCCGGGTAATATTTTCTGAAGATTATCAGAAGTGTCTCTTGACATACGTATATATGTACATAGCGAATCTCTTTTTGAGAGTAGACAAGGCGATTATTGAGCAGGAGCTTTCAGTGCATGCTAACTGCATGTTTTTTATTACCAAGGAAAGATATACATCCAGCGATATCTGTATGCGACATGGTTTTACCAAACCATCAAAGCCACATAGTGACTACTACGGCAGGTCTAAGAATATGACGCCCCATCCAGGATGGTTACTCTCGTGAACGTCTCCATCCTCAACTGCCTTTCAACCTCCAAAGAGGGAAAAGAAGGAAGAAGAAGACATCTCGCTCCGTCAACCAGAAGATAGTACGTCCATGTTTCGAAAGAAAACGCGACAGTTGCTGGACGCTTCGGTGGGTTGAGTGCGGACACTTGGGAGAAAAGAAAAACCTTCGGAATTTAATTTATATGATTTTCAAGCGCGCGCGGAGATCGAAATTGTAAAGCACGTGCAAAGGCGCCTGTATATTGGCGCTTATTCGACGGTTTCTTCGTGTACATGTACTCTATTATTATTCTACTACGTGCCTCAAAATCTGATCAACAATGGAGCTTTGTCCCAGCTAATCTCAAGTATCATAGATCACCTGGCTCAGTGCAACAAGTATGTCCCGGTTCAATCAAGGGGCTCAAAGGATTCTCACCAGTTGGGTAAATTTCTAGTGGACAGCGGAATAGAAGGCTATCCGATTCTCATGCGATCCACCAAGCTATCAGAGGCTACTTAATTCCCTAGTGCAATAAGTGCCCATGACCTGAGGAAGCTGAACTTTCACCCAACACATCTCCTACGCAATCCAGCGCAGTCCACACCCCAATAATGCCAGTCCCTATACTAGAGTCAAACGAATATCGCACAGCGCAAGGAATCACATTTCGTGGATCCTCCAACGGTAGAATCCTGAAATCTTCATTTCAGAAAAGTCTTGGTCCAGATGAAGTCGTCGTTAAGGTGACGCATAGCGGAGTCTGCGGGACTGATTTGCACTACATGATGCAGGACATGGTGTTAGGACATGAAGGTGAGCCATGCACTTTATTGTCTAGCCATGAACTCAGATTCTTTTTACGGCTTGCCTAACATTCCGTCTACAGCCGTAGGCGTTGTCACATCAGTCGGTTCAGCATGTACCATATTCAAACCAGGAGATCGCGTAGGGTGGGGCTACGAGCATTACTCGTGCGGATCTTGTACGCCTTGTCTTACCAACGAAGAATGCCATTGCTTGAAGGCCGGATACTATGGAGCAAGCGATTTCGACCAGGGCTCGTTCAGTGATATCGGAGTATGGAAAGAGAAATGGTTATTCCGGATCCCGGACGGGATTAAGAGTGAAGATGCAGCTCCGTTGATGTGTAGGTTGTCCATGACGCCCCTCATGAAGTTTTTTGTTAATAGTTACAACAGGCGGCGGAGCCTCTTGTTTCAGCCCGTTGATTGAGCATTGTCGTCCCATCGACCGAGTGGGTATCGTCGGCATGGGAGGGCTAGGGCACCTTGCAATACAGTTTGCTGTCAAAATGGGATGCGAGGTCGTCGTGTTTTCGCGTTCAGAATCTAAGCACACGGACGCCTTGGCTCTTGGTGCAAGCGCATTTTACGACATTCAACATGTACCCTCAGATTTCTCTAGTCTGGGTATAACCAAGCCCATCGACCGACTGATCATCACCGCAGCATCACTAGTGGATATATCCCAATTTTATCCAGTCTTGTCGCGAAAGGCGATTGTCATCCCTCTGACGGCAACGAAGGAAACACTGTCGGTGCCATATTATGACACACTGTACAACGGCGTGAAAATAATCCCTTCGATGCTTTCCACAAGATATATGCAGTGAGTTTTGATCGTCGTCTCAAGAGCATGGTTGATTTATCGGCGATGTTTAGAACGAAAATGCTTGAGTTTGCAGAACGACACAAAATATGTCCGATAATCGAAAAGTTCCCCATGACTGAAGCTGGAATAGTCGCAGCTATTGAAAAGCTAAAGAACGGTCAAATACGATACAGAGCTGTACTTTCATGGGACTACTCGAACTCTTGCGATTGATTACCCAATTTACGATTTTTCACCAGACATGTTTCGATGTATTGGAAACGACTCTGAAGATGTGCTTTTTTTGAATGCACGTAAGATCATAATGCTAAGGCGCGGGGAGGCCTTTTGTATTTTTGGGGGCTCATAAATACATAACGAAGTAGCGCCGGTGAACGGCAGGGCCCGCTACCAGTCAATGGGTGTCTGTGTGAGCACTAAGTACAAGATGGATTAAACGCTGATGCAGGATGAGTAGTGAGATCTGAGAGGTAGTGTTTGTAGAGGTCTGTACTACAATGGGACCACACCTTGATTGGTGATGGCCAATGTACTTGTATTGTAGATAGAAAAAGCGGCGCGCGTAGGGCGCGCCGCATGTAGATGCATCTGCCCAACCTGTAGTCTCCAGCAGTAGTACTTAGTACCGCATCAACTCGAAAAGCGAATGACCAAAAGGAGATACATGACTAAAAACCGATGACAAGGGATGGCTAATTTCGAAAAAACTGGGTCTACTAAACCCTTCAACCTCTAAAGAGGATAAATACATATTTCACGTCGGTTGTAGTACTGCTCAGAGAAATCGCTACTTTTATGATTAATCCTGATCAATTAATCATTCCATACGTTCTATACAGCGTATTAGAACTTCAACTAATTGAGGATTTCACCAATCACAATTGCCTCAGCAGTCTCCCCGTTTTTGAGTTCGTCCTTGTCGCCGGTTCCCTTTTGTGGAAGAATGATAAGCCCATTGGCCCCGCTCAAACTCGCTACTCGGCTCGATCGTTGACCGCCCGTACTGTACGCTTTCAGTCTCCATCCTTCTTCGAGACCAGATCGTAGGATGACGCGGTGAAATTCCGTTCGGGAATCCAATAGCATTGATTGTTGAAGCTTGGAATGCAAGAAGCATATGAGAAAAATAAAACGTCTTGTAAAACGATCTGTACCTCAACCCTCACTCTAGGAAGTTGACAGCCAACGCCAGAAAACTCCCAGCCACCCAGCTTTCTCAGAGCAGGGACTACAAAAACATTGAAAGTTACCAACGCCGACGCTGGGTTCCCAGGAAGCGCAAACAACGGTTTGAACATCTTCGACGTATCGCCAGAAGCATTGTTCGACGCATCAACCGGGATAATGGCAAACGTAGTAGGCTTCCCCGGCTTGATGCTGACCCGACCGAACTTCACTTCGCCGCCTAGCTTCCGTTCAATGACGGGCTTGAGCAGGTCCGTAGGGCCCATCGATGTTCCACCGGTTGTAAGGATAATGTCTGCGCGTGCAAGACCATCTTGAAGTGCTTGTACATGAGCGTCGATTCTGTAGAAGGAATATAATAAGTGACAGACCGGACGTGTCAAATGAAAGGATCCAACTCGTCAGGAACAATCCCAAGATCTAACACCTCGTATCCCATTCCTTCCAGTGCAGCAGTGAGCGACGGTCGATTAGTGTCCCATGATTTCCAGTCTCCTTCACCACTTCCTGACGAGATTGACCCCAATATGTCCCGGATTTCATTTCCTGTGCTCATTAAAGCAACAATAGGCTTCTTGAAGACCTTGACCTCCTTCTTTCCGATGAAAATCAAGCTTCCGATCTCCCCTCCACCACTGGTAATCCTCTCACCTTTCCGCATAACCAGATCACCTTGACGAACGTCTGATCCCGGTTGACGTATGTTGAAGCGAGACGGAGGTGCAGGAATCAAGGTTTCGACTTTCCATTCCTCGCCAGGTTGGCCTCCAGTAGTGTCATCGGAGGAAGGAGCTGTATGAATGTTATCCCAGTGATATCATCATTTTATGGGCAGAGTGCATTACTTACCCTCGGGGTATGTCGCTACCAGTTTAGTATCTTCTACCATGATTACAGTGTCCGCTCCACGAGGAAGTGCACCTCCAGTATTTATGCGATATATACAACCTTCTGGTAGTTCTTCTGTGCTTGTGGGAGATAGAAGATGTGGATGTGATGACGACGTCAGAACAGTATATGACCCAGCGGGATCAGAAGCTAAAGCAATATCGATTAGTTGTGGATTCACAAACGACTAAAAAGCGACGTACCTCTCAAAGCGTAGCCATCCACACTCGTCGTCTTTGTTGGAGGATAATCTGAGGAAGCATAGACGTCCTCAGCTAGGATATGACCGCGGAGAAAAGCGTTGACAGGGAGGGTAACAATTGGGAGAGGATCAAGGGATTGGTGAATGATGTCGAGCGCGTCTTTGAATGATACTAAAGGGTACGGTGATGTTCGATGGCGTGTGGATACTGAAACCGAATTCAAGATAAGTGTTGGATATGACGCTATGACAAGAAGGAGGCGTACCGGCTTCGGATGGATCATGCGATAAAATCCTATGATTTCCGTGGTGATGATGGTGATGGTTGGGGCTTTCACTGTGAAAAGGTCTTCCTCCACGTCGATTTCCATGATTATGGTCATGGTCATGACGATGACCTCCATGATGCCTATGTCCATGCCCATGCCCGTGTGGAGATTCGGGTTCCATGGCGCCATGCACACCTTGACCACTCCCACTTCCATCCCCGCCTTTCATTAGTTCCACAGCATGAACGATGGCCCCGCTGTCTAATAGGATAGAAAGGCTTTCACGCACGGCTTTGAGTGAGCCCGGTAGTGTAACAATAAGTGTTTCGTGACCGGATTCGCTAACGGAGCTAACATCCCGGTCTGAGTTCATGCTAGACGATCGGCGGGCGATTGTACCAGCTACAGGTCGCGACAGTGCTGCCATTGGCGTATGCCTTAAGCCGGAGGAAAGTAGAAGATGGACCAACCCTGGCGCAGGCCGCGTAAGAAGAGGTGTTACTGCCTGAAGGGATCTATCAGTTTGCTGAATAAAAATATAGGTTGGTCCATAAGAACCTCGGGCGTTCGATCCTTTGGACCAAAACCTGTTCCTCCAGTGGTTATAATCCAATGTGTTTCTTCGTCAGCAACCCATTTCCTCACAGCGTCCTGGATCGTCTGAATGTCATCTGGGACGATGGCATGATCCGTGCATAAAAACGCGGGGTAAGCTGCTAACATTTCTTGGATAGCTGGACCGGACTTGTCGTAGGTTGGATCAGAATTCGCGGCGGAACCGCGGTCACTGACTGCGTAGCCCAGCCCAATTACCATGCGACACGTTCTTGAGGACAATTAACGAACCTGTCAAAACTGCGACTCTTATTTTCATAGCAGGGTCTTCATTTGACATGGTAGGAGTGACTGCTTTCAAGAATTTTTGTGAAACAAGATGATGGTATAAGACAGAGCAAGTTCTGTGCCATCCGCATTGATTAGGTTCTGATAAGCACAAGAAATTGTATTATTATGTATACCCATTCGTACACTCTGCTCTGCTGCAATAACGCCAATGGATTGCGAAAAACAGCACGGTTGGCATAGGCTGGCATTGGACACAAGGTCAGTGAGTAGAGATTCGGTAGTTATTTATGTTTGACCGTTACGATAAACCTATCTTTCGCAACATATCTCTTCCTGGTATAGTTTCAGATTGTTCAGCACCTTTGACAGTGTGTACCCATTCAAGCCTATCCTTCGTGTAGAACTCGAGCTCTGGTGTCCTATTTTTCTCATCCCGGGTTTCAAAGTCAATCAACGCGCTGTAGAATACAGAAACTATTTTGGCATCGTCTCCGCCTTCGTTGTAGAGTGGGGAGCCACATTTACTGCAGAAAACGCGCTTAATTGCATTGCCCGAGTCTTGTGCAGCGTCTTTATAAGTGCTCAGCAAGTTTTCTCCTTTGATGAACGTCAAAGCCTGTAATTATCTGAAAATCAGTATGGTGTAATGGAAACAATTTTTTGGAGACCCACTCCGCCCGGGAAAATGACATTCGTGGAGAAGGCCGTCCCTGTGTACTTTTTGCAGTTGGAACAGTGGCAGCAACTTATCCTAGATAAGTAGCAACCAATGAGTGAAGAATTTGACGTGGCAGACACATCGATTCCAAGTTGGCTCACACCATTGGGTCGTTATCCACCTGAAAGGCGATCTCTCCACAAAGGCAGGAGCCATGAAACGGCATAGTGGTAAAGGGCAATCTAGGTCACTATGATACTGTGAAAGTATACTTGGATCAGAAGTGATATAGAGAAAGTTCTTGTTATCATTGGGCTGAGCCTCGAGGTTCTTATATACACTACATGAAGTATTAATTTCGAAGTTTCTACAAAGTTCCAGTAGTTGTACTGGTAGAGAAATGAATTGACTCATTAGTCCGGAGTTGCAAGGGTCAAAGCGTGAAATACAACATTTGATGCTATACTACTAAGTATCAGGAGATTCGGAGTACGACAGGCGTTGCAGATCACATAGAGGGATACGATACACAGCCTACCAACTAGGCCCTGTCCTAATCTCTTCCTGGTTTGGTTCGAGCTTGTTTAGCACCTTCAACAGCATGTACCCATGCGACCCTATCTTTCGTATAGTACTCGAGCTCTGGTTTCGGATCTTTTTGATCCTTAGTTCCAAAGTCAATCAACGCGCTGTAAAATACAGCAAGCGTTGTGCCAGCGTCACCGCCGTTGTTATAAAGCGGAGAGCCACACTGACCACAAAAGATGCGCTTGAGAGCATTGCCCGAGTCCTGCGTAGCGTCTCGATAAGTGCTCAACAAATTTTCGCCTTTAGTGATTGTCAAAGACTGTGATCATAAGATATCAACGTTCAATGTATGCGGTGAGAAAAGGAATTGACCCCCACTCCAGCCGGAAAGACAACATTCGTGGTGAACACTGTCCCCGTGTACTTTTTACAGTTGGAACAATGGCAACATGTTGTCCTAGGTGTGTGCGTAGCGAAGGCGGTAATGCGTTATGCCAACCGAAACTTGCAAGTTGCAACGATTTGACTTACACTATTGGATCGTTGTCGACCTGAAAAGTGATCCCTCCACACAAGCAGGTACCGTGAAATGGAAATGGCATAATGAGAGAAGATAATTCAGGCAGAATATTCTCAGTGAACGTCATTTATAAACTCTTTTGAAGGGGTAATCTCGGTGAAATTATGCACCGTGGCGGGCGCAGCGCATGCTTTTCAGCTATGTAGCTGACCTCCCGAATTCAGAGGTGTAGCCTGATGGATCCCGAAAAAGTCCAGTATCTATCTTGAATCTTGAGGTTGGGCTCAACGCTTCGCTTCTGAGGGCAAATTCGAATCTGAGATGTGTGATTTTCAACTAGAGCAAGGGAGGCCTGAAGTCGTTTGAAAATTAATTCGTATGTTGAGCGGAAGGTGCAACGCCATCGGAGCTGAACAAAAGATGAGTGGGGAAGGATGGCAGATACGGGTTGCCAACATTACATGGTTGGTCAAAGCTGAGGAACCTGTCGCGTAAGTTACTTCTAACCTGTTACTCACGTTTATTCAAGGTAGAACAATTAATCTATTTGGATGGATAGTATACAGATGCCAGACGCCGGGTGGCGAATTCTCTAATAAGTAGGTCGTTCAACGGTCAACGTCCAAAAGGATCTCTACGCGAAGATAATGAACTTGGGAGAAGGACGGACATTTATAAGCCTTGAAGCATCCCTGGCTCCTTTTTGAGCTCAGTTCCATCTATCAAGTCCCCAATTTCGACCGCCCGGCATCCTAGACCCTGCCTCGCCCCATTGACCTCACGAATCCACCCACCTTCATCTACGAATATGGCTCTCGGAGGATGATCCGGATGTCCGTGCACTAATACTTCAGCAGCAAGGCGAAGCCATTCCAGAGTGGGTTTGGTCATCCATCTCCGTACGTGTAGTTTCGAAACGTCAGTTCCAATGAGCACTATCCCAGATGAAGGTTCAAACCATCCCAAATGTCCTCCGCCTTCCGTCAACACGACAACGGTGTAGCCCGAACCGACTTCCTCTGGACTTGTCGGTGCGTGTACAACGACCGGATCGTCAGTAGAGTTGATTGCTAAGAGGGGTTTTCTGACTTGGGGTACAACGTGGTGACTGGAAGAGTGTTTGTAATATGCATCGGCAGAAGCTAAAGGCCAGTCTGGTGGTCCTCCTCCACCGACGCGAGTGAAAGTGTTGTCGAAAACACTTAAAGGGGGACTGCGTAGAGCCAATGCCGCATGATACGCAGCGCAGACAAGGGAAGCTTGCGTAGAATCTGGCTCATACTTGGAGGTAGCGGATGGTGTAGGAGGATCGACTTTTTCTAAAGCTTTGGAATGTAGCTTTAGAACGTTCACAAGGTTGTTCGCCATGCCCTTGGAATAAATATGCTTTCCTAAAAAGGTGTGCTCCAGCCTTGAGCAGGGTGGATCAGTTGATGGACCGGGGTAAAGGAAGGAACCCACTTACGCCCAGTTGTTCTTCACCAGATCCCAAGGCTAATCCAGCATCAGCAGTTACAGGTGGGGCAGTGGTTATGTAGACTTACGTTTCCGAGTACACAAGCAGATTCAAGTCGACTTCGTTCTCCCTCCTCTGCAAGGTATCTAACCATGACATTCGCTCCAAGAGAAAAACCAAGACCCAACTGTGGTGCTTTTGGATACTTGTGCGCAAGATATATAGTTGCCATTCGTAAATCTTCTGTCCATCCTGCAGAATAGAGTTGTTTGGAAGTTACCGGAACGCCGGCACCTGTATTTTCGGAATGAGTTTCTGTTGTGATCAGAGTAGCCATAACACGTACATCCCCGGAAGTTAACCACCACTGCTCGATAACCAAGTCCTCCTTCAGATACTGGCGCACAAGCTGGCGCCAAAACGGCTCTTACGTATGCCTCATACGAGCCTATAGGCGGTGGTTAGACTGGACTGATGATACTATCCTATGCAGACATACCTCCAGTCAAGCCGTGACAGACGACGACGATGGGAGCGTCATCCGGGGATGTGTCACCAGGAGGTGTGAAGTCGAGGCCTCTTCGAACCAGTCAGAGAGATTACCGCGTAATGTCTAGAAGTGCTACGAACAATGTACCACCATCCATTAAGCGAAGATAGGTTCTGTAAGGCGGGTTGAGTGGTAAGCGATTTGAATGGGGAAGTATGATAACCTTTCATAAACAACTTTATCTACGCCCGTGAAATCGCCAGCTACGCTGAACAACGTCTGCAGATGACCACTGTATGATTATGTCAGTCCCGGTGTGTTTGGAACGATGGAATGTAGGAACGCAACTTGTTTAACCACCATGGGGGATTGAACTCTTTCTTCAGACTTGGACAGTGTTCTTCAACCAACTTTGACAACGACTCGGGTCCCACTCCTCCTCCAGGTTTCTTCACGAGTATTTCCTCAGGAGATGGCGGGTAAAAAATCTTCGGCTTGGTCGCAGAACTGAAGGAAGAGCCCATGGCGTGACTTTTCGCGTAACGAGCTGCCCAGAAATACCCAGAACGAGACTCCCGAGGATGGAATGGCGGATTGAGCCCGAAAAACTGAAGCGCATTGCGATTATTTGAGTGCAAGATGATGGAAAGATTGTGATTGGACAGTCAATCCTCCCGGCCATCGGGTGATTAGTAGCCGAACTCCTTTGATACCGCTTCTCCTCGCTTCCTTCTCAATTCTAACTTTGAAGTTCAGTCTTTTGAAGTTTAAAGCATCTCGAAAGCTCGAAAGATCTCGAAGACGAGCTCAGAGTCGCCCCGAGACCAGAAGAAAAAACCTTTGCCCTCTCTAAAACGTTTGAGACGTTCCTTGCGAGACTCAGACCCAGGTAGAAATGTTATCGCAAATCTTTGAAGTAATTTATGATTCTGAGGCCCGAACTTGCGAGACCTTAACCAGGGTACCAGGATAAGTTGTGTCAAACGGAGACTAGGATCTGATGGACAGAGCTTTTGTATTCATAAGACGATAAAAACTTATCATTATACATCTGCAATGAGCAGAGTAGAATACAATCAACTTCGTGTCCTTGATCTCGTTGAAGGTCGTTCGTCCGCGTGTCCGCTGCTTGCGGCTTTCCTTTTCTGTCCCTTGCCTTGTGTCTTTCCTGGAGTTATTTTAATGTGCCGTGTGCCTTCATCGTCCTCTGATAATATTAATCCCCCTTCCTCCGATTCAACATCCTTCTCTTCTGAATGCACTTCCTCCTCCCCCGCAACTTCTTTCTTTCCGCCGCGAGTTTTCCTGGTTGCTCCTGATGGCTTTTTACTTTGATTCTTTTCATCCTTGGAGGCATTCCCCGATCGCCCACCCGTCGACTTTCCTCTTGTATTCTTTCCTTTACCCAACTTCGATTCGTCCCAACCGCCGCGTTCAGCTAATAATTCAATAACGTCCCAAGCAGGCTTTTGCACACGTTGGACGCTCAAACGACCACGGTTAATCAAGTCCATACCTAAAGGTTCATTGTATTCAATCAGTTCAAAGGCTTGATGATGAACCCAGAATATCAATCATACTCTTAATTGCTTTCGCACCCTCGGACCCAATGTATGCGAATTCTTCCGGAAGCTCACTCGCGTGTTCTGAGATATGCTTCAATAAAGCGAGAGAGACAAAATGTTTCGCCCGCGATTTGAATGTAAGATCGACCATGAACCATTTGGGGGAAGATTTGTCGGATTTCTACACGTGAATTGAGCTTGCAAGACTTGACACTGGGCGCGACGTCGAAATTACGCTTACCGGATCATAGTATGGATGCGACCTGGTGGCCAACGATGAACGGAAAGAATAGCAATGGAAACAAACGCTCACGAGTCCCAAGCTGTATCTAAACAGTAGGTAAGCCGTGAGCATCCAGGATAGCAGCCAGCAAAGGAGCCGATGAACGAGGATAGACTGACAATCGGGGTAGGCTTTCTTCGACACCTGCCAATGCCATGCCATTAGCCATAACCTAAGCCTCATACGGCTCGATCGAGACTGACCTCAGCGAACGCAGCAATTCCTGACTCGCCCAGTCAGAACTACACTCGGAGGCAAATCAAGAGCGACTACATACCTGGATTTTTGCAGTTGGAGTGATAGAACAATGCCTGTGAGCAAACAACGCGTAAGACCAGCAGCTTCACGGCCTTGATCTTTGATCAAGTTTCACGGCTTTCCTTCTCCCCAGGCTCCATAGTTTTCATCAAGTTCCTCGCTTCATAGTTCCGAACGCCTTCCCAAGCTGAGGTCTTCGCCGTTTCAAAGTCATCAACACTGAACTAGTCACTTGAGCTTCTCTTCATTAACGTTGATAAAACACGCACTTTGACGTCCTTACCCTTGACCATGCGAGAGTCTGGTTCGGCTTTGAGCAGCCAGTACATTGTACTTGCATCCATATAGTGTAGGTCGAAGGTATCGGAGTTTGGGACGCGTCGCCAATGGAAGGTTCCTTCAAAAAGTTGAAACAGTCACCTTCTCTGTTCGGAGTCTGTTGACGCGTCACGTTACAATCACATGCGCGTAATGCGTCACACCCGCTGCGTTGCCCAATGCCGATCGATATCAAGTCTTATCAAGTACGATACGGCCCTTGTGCATATTGAAAGCCACTCTGCTGAAAGGTGCGCAGTATCCTGTCTGTACTCATGACATCGCTAAGCTTTGCCAAGTTCGACTCGAAACCGACAGGACAGTCGAGTGTCGAAAGTAGCCGGGATGTCATATGCACAAAGTACACAAAAAAACCCTTTCCCAACCTCCAACCAATAGCCATCCTATTTCCACTAGGAACAAATGCGCAGCCTGTCTGTGGAATACGGCATTCCCGCCATGACGCTGCGCAAACAGCACCGAAAACCTCGCAGACTCATGATCCTTGAAACATCGATGCTTCCAACGAATACAGCTCTGGAATTCTGGTAGGATTCATATCAGATATGATTTGAAGGTGTTGAGCCTGCTGTGTTTATTACTATGCGCCTCTATGGTGGAGCCCAAGCTGGTTGCCTGAATCATGTCTGCTGAAGTGGAATGGTATTACTAGGGAGGTAAGTTGGATAGTTCTAGATAGTACTGCGCGAGTCCCAGATTGTGGAGGCTAAAATTCATATACTAATACCTATTAGTATAGGCCTGGTATAGGCGGGCTAGGTTTTTCGCGACATCAGATTCAGAAGCTGTTAAATTCTTTGCCGTTCAATTGCCGGAACTGTCAAAGCTGTGTTTTGTGGAGAAGTTGCTTGTCCCGAACTCTCACCTCCTGCCATATATAAGCTCGACGCCTTCCACGCCTTTTTGTTTTATACCTATCGTTCGATATGTCTTACAATGGTGTTGATCGCAAGGACCGTGTTCCCTCTCCCAATTCCTCCAATCGCAACGTTGTAGACCATGATTCCCCTAATGGTACGTTAATTCGGATCTCATTTGTTCACTTTCTCAACAGTTTTCTCTCAAAGTCACTGAAGAGCCGGCAGGCTTGTCTAACAAGATGCCTCAAAATGCTCAAACCAAGTCGCATATGATCCAGGTGCAGCCGTTGAAGCGAAGTGAGATGCAGGTGCGTTGAATGTGTGATTTTCCCGGGGTAGTTTTACTGAAACAAGTCAACTGTGCAGCCGTCATATGCACAAGACCTTGGTACCGGAGAGGTTCGTCTTCAGGCGTAAAGTCAACAAAGTTACCCCACAAACTTAGAGAACAATGTCTCTAGGTCACCCATGGCATATATGGCTCCCTCCTACAAGGCCTCGGTTCAGTTGTAGGTTTCTGTGGCATGATCCCATGTTGCCCTTGCCCCAATCCCTTCCGAAACGTCCAACAAGGTATGCAAACTCTCACACCCGCACTGTGCCCATTTGTCGCTAATTTCGCACATTTCACAATCTCTTCGCACACCCACTAATAGGATCTGTTGGCCTGGTCTCTCGTTTCGGCCAATTTTACAAGTCCGTTGATCCAGGTCTCGTTCAAGTCAATGTCTGCACAGAGTCCCTCCGTGTCGTCGATGTGAAGATTCAAATATCACCTATCGGAAGGCAAACCGTCATGTGAGTGCTGTTAATAAACGTTTTCAGGTCAATATAATAATAGATTTTAATTTTAGAACACGGGACAACGTTAACGTCGAAATGTCTGGAACTTTTTCTCATCATGAAATCTTTTCGTGGCTGACCTCGATCTTTTTTTCACGCAGTGATTCCGTCATTTACTTCCAAATCTGTAACCCGTATCGTGCAGCTTTTGGAATCACGGATCTTCGACAGGCTCTTATCGAACGGGCTCAAACCACCCTCCGACACGTTGTCGGTGCGCGCGCTGTCCAGTCCGTAGTTACCGAACGTGAAGCTATCGCGTTTGAAATTGCGGAGATTGTCGGTGACATTGCAGACAAATGGGGCGTTGCCATCGAAGGAATCCTCATTAAGGATATCATTTTCAGTCCAGAGGTCTCCGCCAGTTTGAGCTCTGCTGCACAACAGAAGAGGATTGGTGAAAGTAAAGTCATTGCTGCCAGGGCCGAAGTTGACTCTGCCAGGCTCATGAGACAGGCCGCGGACATCTTGGCTTCTCCTGCTGCAATGCAGATCCGTCAATTGGAAGCTTGTGAGTACAACATCGTCTTATTCATTCTCGGTCGTTCTAATATCTTCTCCTCAGTGCAACAAATGGCCAAGTCCGGAAACAGCAAGGTCATTTTCGTACCCATGCAGCTGCAATCCGATGTCGTCAACCAGCTTGCTAGTGGCTCGGGCTCTGGCACTGGAGTAGGAGCTATGATTGATAATGAAGCTGGAGATTCGTTGGGTGGGGTCGGCAAGGTGGGACTCTTGAACAGCATGGCGGATATGTGAAAAATCTAAACTATCTTTCTCTTCTATTCCATTAGTCTACCTCGGAGTGATTTCGATGAACATCATCTATCCCAATAATGATGCTTTTAACGAAAATTTGATCTATTTTATCTTTGGACCTTACGCTTGTTCCCTGTCTTCTACGACTGTAATTTTATCTCATGTCTGTCTTGTGCTGCTTACGATGACCTACATTCCGTATTTGTATAATACATATGTGTTGATTTTCTATAATGACTAAAGAAGGTGTCACATAGACTCGAACCAGTCTGCTGCTGAGAAGCGATATGCGGAATCACTTCTTCGCTGACACCTTTGAGCGCCAGTTTCCAAAGTGTCAACATCCGAAGCTACTGGCTCGAGTCTAGGTGTCACACGGTGTTTACTTGAAGTGGAACCAGCATGACCACCTCATTTGAATCGTCGTCCTGGAATTCAATGCGCTCGCCATTTGCCTCGATAATAGGAACCAATCATGCACCATCTATGGACGAAATGCTCAGATTGAAAGCTTTACTCGCTGTGCCTCGTACAGAGCTCAATCGATTAGAATTAGAGATCGCACGTACGCAGTTGGTACTGGATGGTCTCTTGCGCCAAAAAGAGAAAATAAAGAGCTATATTGAAGCTCATCAAGCTTTGATGTCTCCAATACGCCAGATTCCATCCGAAACGCTCGCAGATATATTCGTTTGGTGCTTACCAGCAGATAGAAACGCGGTTCGAAGTCTGAAGGAGGCGCCTTTACTTCTGACCACGATATGTCGGAATTGGAGACAAGTTGCACTTGATACACCTCGACTTTGGACCTCCTTACATATATTCCTCCCCCCGTACCCGAGCGACATTGCTGTTTCTAAACGTGCAATAGGAGTCAAGACATGGCTGCAGCGCTCAGGTTCACTCCCACTCTCTATCTCTTTTCATGTAAAACCACAGTTCGGTGCCCCTCCTACTACAACTACCACGATGGATTTTTCCGACAGATTGAAGCTGTTGATTCGTACTCTTGTCCCCTTTGGTCACCGGTTCGGTGACCTCTTCCTGTCATTGCCCTCTACAGAACTGGGAGCATTTAATGACTTATCGATGTGCCAATTTCCAATCCTGCAATCATTCCGCGTGCGAGATGCCAACGTCTTCTACGGATTCTTTTATCCTCCGGGCCCTTGGAACGATGGGACAAACTCGGAAAATGGGTCTAGGGCCCCCTTTGCACCACTCCTCACTCAGATGCCAGCTTTGAAGCGACTTGAGGTTGCGGAAATCAGCGTTAGAGATGGTGATCACCTCACTCTATCGCTTAATTGGGGTCTTTTAACTGATCTTAACCTGCAAAATGGCGATTCAACCACCGATCAGCGCCACGGATTGAGGGTCACTGAAGCATTCGGTATTCTTAGGAAGACATCTAGTTTGCAAAATCTACAAATTTGCATTGTGTTAATGCCGGACCACCCTTTTGATAATACTTCAACAGGGATGATACATCTTCCCCATCTTGGCTCAATACGAATCGAATTTATACCTTTTCAATTTGATGATCACACTGTTCCTGCTCAAGTGTCTTCCGTATTTCAGTACATCTCCCCACCCTCGCTGAAGCTATTCTCTGTTGCATGTTACTATCCTCTCCCAATGGGTTCAGGATTGAGCGGAATGCCACCATTGAGCGGAATACCATTCCATACTCTGAAAACACTTGAAATAGCCACGAGAATGACATCCGAGACGCTAACTGGATGGCTTTCCTGCGTCCCAGAGCTGACTTCATTCAAATTTAAGGATCTGGGATGTCCAGCCGGAGCGGAAAGTTTGTTCGCTTTCACAAATACTTTTCGTGACTCGCATCTCCTCGCTCTTACCCCCTCTCATGATAATCCTTCTCCGTTATGTCCGAAGCTGACCACATTTCGAATGATCAATCATCTCCCTACAGAAACAAGGATCTCGAGCTCAGCTTTGCTTGGCTTTGTCCAGGCTCGCGCACCCACACTCAAGACTTTCGATTTATTCTTTGACCGGGACCAATCGTTTGCGGAAAATGACTTGATTGAACTGCGGAAGCTGAAGAAAAATGGCTTTCAGATGCGTTTGCACTATGCAAAGTATCCCTTACACGAGGAGGACTTACCTTCGGATGGACTTCACCCTCGGCCTAACTCCCAACCGCCGACCATGGCCCATCGGATTTCGGATATGGATGGGGTTTTTGGTACAAATCGTATAGTGTGATAGTTTCTCTGATTCGGATTTGTTCATTGATAATTGTGGAGATCGAAGTTGGTGACATTGAAGATAAATAGGGCATCTCCGTCAGGGGAATCCATATCCTATATATTATCCGTAAGTTCCAGACAAATCTACCAGCTTGAAAATTGTGTTTATGCCTTGTGCTTACCGCCGCGATATATACTCTAGCCCCATAGTACATATGATACCAAAAGTTGTAGTAGCGTGTTGCTTATGTACTTAGTACCACTCTTGAACTGAAACCAGCATGGTATCTTCCTGGGATCTGATGCACTCTCCATTCGCTTCGGTAATGGGGATAAATCATGTACCATCTATGGGTGAAATGCTCAGATTGAAAGCTTTACTCGCTGTGCCTCGTACAGAGCTCAATCGATTAGAAATGGAGATCGCTCAAACACAGTCGGTGTTGGATGGTCTCTTACGCCAAAAAGAGAAAATAAAGAGCTATATTGAAGCTCATCAAGCTTTGATGTCTCCAATACGCCAGATTCCATCCGAAACGCTCGCAGATATATTCGTTTGGTGCTTACCAGCAGATAGAAACGCGGTTCGAAGTCTGAAGGAGGCGCCTTTACTTCTGACCACGATATGTCGGAATTGGAGACAAGTTGCACTTGATACACCTCGACTTTGGACCTCTTTACATATATTCCTCCCCCCGTCCCTGAGCGACATTGCTGTTTCTAAACGTGCAATAGGAGTCAAGACATGGCTGCAGCGTTCAGGTTCACTCCCACTCTCTATCTCTTTTCATGTAAAACCACAGTTCGGTGCCCCTCCTACTACTACAACCACCACGATGGATTTTTCCGACAGATTGAAGCTGTTGATTCGTACTCTTGTCCCCTTTGGTCACCGGTTCGGTAACCTCTTCCTGTCGCTGCCCTCTACAGAACTGGGAGCATTTAATGACTTATCGATGTGCCAATTTCCAATCCTGCAATCATTCCGCGTGCGAGATGCCAACGTCTTCTGCGGATCTTTCTATGCTCCTGGCCCTTGGAACGATGGGCCAAGCTCGGAGAATGGGTCTAGGGCCCCCTTTGCACCACTCCTCACTCAGATGCCAGCTTTGAAGCGACTTGAGGTTGCGGAGATCAGTGTTAGAGATGGTGGTCACCTCACTCTACCGCTTAATTGGGGTCTTTTAACTGATCTTAACCTGCAAAATGGCGATTCAACCACTGATCAGTGCCACGGAGTGAGGGTCATTGAAGCATTTGATATTCTTAGGAAGACATCTAGTTTGCAAAATCTACAAATTTGCATTGTGTTAATGCTGGACCACCCTTTTGATAGTACTTCAACAGGGATGATACATCTTCCCCATCTTGGCTCAATGCGAATCAAATTTATGCCTTTTCAACCTGATGATCAGAGTATTCCTGCTCAAGTATCTTCCGTGTTTCAGTACATCTCCCCACCCTCGCTGAAGCTACTCTCTGTTTCCTGGACCAATCCTTTCCCAATGGGTTCAGCATTGAGCGAAATACCATTCCCTACTCTGGAAACACTTGAGATAGCCATGGAAATGACACCCGGGGCGCTAACTGGATGGCTTTCTAGCGTCCCAGAGCTGACTTCGTTCAAATTTGAGGATCTGGGATGTCCAGCCGGAGCGGAAAGTTTGTTCGCTTTTACCAGTACTTTTCGTAACTCGCATTTCTTCGCTCTTACCCCCTCTCATGATAATCCTTCTCCGCTATGTCCGAAGCTGACCTCATTTCGAATGATCAATCATCTCTTCCCTACAGAAACTAGGATCTCGAGCTCAGCTTTGCTTGGGTTTGTACAGGCTCGCGCACCCACACTCAAGACTTTCGATTTATTCTTTGACCGGGACCAATCATTTGCGGAAAATGACTTGATTGAACTGCGGAAGCTGAAGAAAAATGGCTTTCAGATGCGTTTGCATTATGCAATATATCCCTTACACGAGGAGGAGGACTTACCTTCGGATGGACTTCACCCTCGGCCTAATCCCCAACCGCCGTTCATAGCCAAACGAAATCAAATGTCGGATATGGAGGGGGTTTTCGGTACTGATCGTGTAGTATAATATGCAGACTTGCATAGTGTAACGAGTTTCTTTTTTCATGAATGATTTTGTTCATTAACATTATTACGTACATCATTGGTTTGGAGATATAATTCCAAACATACATAAGAATCTGAAATCGACAAATGATTACATATGGATCGAATGCTCTCTTCGGATTACTATGAGCTAGTAACGCAGGTCTGTACGACCAATAGGCTGGCGTCGGCACCAGTTGCGACCAAAGCAGCTCCTACATCTCCGAGTGCTTTCTTGACCGTACTCCCCATAGCTGCATTTCGTTGAGACATAATTGACCGAAGCTCACCATCCAATCTTTCTACTGCCATTCTCCTCGAGCGACCGAGCACCGCAACAACGGTCCTCCCGGTACTCTGAACCTGTTTTCCAGAGAAGAAGTCAACTACGGAATGCAGGGGCTTCGAAGATTGAATCGTTTCGAATGTGATTCGAGAGAGAGCGGAGGACAGCGATGGGTTTCGTTCAGCGGCAAATGAAGAGGCATAACGTTCCCATATCAGATTGTCTGCTGTATCGGACGCCAGTCGAGTTTGGGTGTTCAAGTTACCGTAAACGGTATCCGCACCTGCAATCGTCTATACGTGTTTATCAGCGCGAGATCCTTGAAGGAGAAACAGGAAGCAGCTCACATTGTGTAAGAAAACTTCGGCAGCGTGTTTTTTGTCAAACTCCTCCTCGTTTTCATCTTGTGTACCCCTGGAAACTCGAACCGCAATTGCTCGCACATCCTCATGTCCAGCGCATATCTTTACCAACATCTTCAATGCTAAGCGGTCATCAGGACCACCGAAGAATGGCAGGACCAAGAGAGAGTCTGGCCCCACTCCCGAAGTGGTCGAGGTGCCTGATGGGCCGCGGTCTACGAAGAGAGAAACATCGCAAGGTGCGGTAAGGAATATGTTTCGGATAAACTCGGAATATAGAACCGAAGACATGATTTGGTCTTTCGACTCCGAGGATGTGAAGACGCTGTCGAATGGGTTTCTGACACCGGGAATCTCGCTCTCCTCGGCATCGGTGGAATGAGAGCCACTGGCCCAAGGTATCACGATCATTCCAGTGCCGTTCTCCCGAACTCGGTCCTTGATGACTGCAGTAAATTCGTCCCTAGGAGAGACATCGATATCGACCTTCAATTTGAGTACCTTGAGACCGCCGCCCAACAGGCACGCAAAAGTCTTGAAAACGCTGACAACTGGGTCGGTGTGAGCAAGATGAGACTTGAGCACAGCAGACGTCCGGTTGCTGAGCTCAATTAATCGGAGCAGAGTGAGTGAAATGGGAGATGGGAGAGGAGTGATTGGCAATGATGCTTGATAAGGAATAATGGGGAGACTCTTCTCGTCTAGTGAAGGAGCAGATATTTCTGCCTTGGAGTCGGTGCATGTAATGGTTGGGCACAGAAGCCGAGTCACAATCATCGCAGCCGGTAGTTGATCAATTTGATCAAGGACTAACGCAAACTTGTTCGTGAATTCATCACTTTCAGTTGATGGATCGCTCGAGGCGATGATGTTCGAGCCAAGATCCTCTACAACTATTCGACTGCGATGTTTGGCCGGGTAAAAGAGGAGGACAAGCGGAGTAGTGATGAAGGTTAGTATGATAGCATGCACAACGAACATAGAGAATGTCCTAGTAGATAGAATGTTTGCGTCCAACCCAATGTTGAGGACGATTAGTTCTACCAATCTGATACGATATTAGCAGACACTACATACAAGTAAAAACAACGCACCCTTTACAACTCATGAGAGAACCTATTGCACCGGATTCCCTAGCATTGAAGCCTGCCACTTTAGCAGCCGCGGCACAAGCGAAGAATTTCGCGCTGAATGCAACAACGATGATCAAGATGGTATAGCCCCAGGTGATTCCATCGTTGAGGAGGCCAAGATCGGTCTTCAAGCCGGAGAGAGCAAAATACTAGTATCATACATGAGCATATGATATAAAGACGGTGATCAAATTATGACCCACAAGAGGCAAGAGCAAGATGACTACGATATCTTCGATCTTCTCAGTAAGGGCAATGCCGTAGCCATTGGTGTGTGGGATGATGATACCGGCGAGAAAACCGCCAAAGATAGGATGTATACCAATGATATCGGTGAAGAACGCAGAGATGAAGACAAGTAGAATAGTGACGGTCATCATCACAGTTGAAGGAGTCCCTTGTTCAAGACTACCGGTCTTCCTGGCGAGCCACCGGTATCCCCATTTCACGGGGTATAGCAAGAAGAAAACATACCCAACCGCGGTTAGCAAAACCCATAGTGCAACTAGACCCGAAGAAGCATTGACCAAAGCTACTGTGAGGGCGAGCAAAATCCAACCAACAACGTCGTTCCCAACTCCAGCGGCCAATGTAACAACGCCGACGGTCGTGTCGAGAAGTTGCAATTCTGTGAGGATACGACACAGAACGGGGAACGCAGTGATCCCGACGGCTACAGCTGTGAAGAGCAGGAAGTAACCAAAGTTGACGCTCGGATCAGTGAATTCTCTATAAACCCCAACGCCAAGAGCAGCTCCGAGACCCAATGGAATGACGAGGCCCGCGATTGAAATTCCTGCAGAGGCCTTGAAGTTCTTCTTGATGACCGTACCGTCAATTTCCATCCCAATGATGAACAAGAACAAGACGAGACCGATATTGCTGGTTAGAGTAAGCATTGGCAAGGAAATCACAGGGAAAATGGCATTTTGAAAGCCTGGTATGCGTCCCATAACACTAGGCCCTAAGAAAACGCCTCCTATAATTTCTGCGATTACTCGAGGCTGTCGAATACGCCCAAAGATAGTCGCGAGCAGCTGAGTCATTGCCATGATGACAATGACCTGGATAATCCATAGTACAATAGGATCGTTGCTGTTGTAGGCCGATGGGTTAGATCCTGAAAATATACCAGCCTTTTACAGCTACAGTCAAAAGATAATGAGGATACAAGCGTAGCGAGTCATACCTGCTCAGCCGCCGCTCTCTTGAGGACCATATCTTTGAATACGCCCATGGTTGGAGAAGAAAAAGAGGGGCAGAATGGCGCTCCAGTTTCTCCAGAGTCCAATAAATGCTATTTGATCTAATTCAGGATCGTGATGTTATTTTAGTTCCGCTCTCCTGATATCTCCATTCAGGTGCTGAGATCCTAGGTCAGTTTCGTACCAGTACCAAATGTGTGTGGCAAACCTATGTATTTTAGGAAATACCACGTACATGTACACCAGTTTACCACAGGTCAGCCTCAACATTCGCAACACCCTCAAGTAATACAGGGATAAAAACAGATAGAGGAGTGAAAAGTCTGATGTAAAATTTAGGCAGGAACTAAGGGACTGGAGGTTGACTGGAGAAGTGCGTTCCTTCCAGATTCCTTCTGAATATATTTTCACGCCGTCCGGAACATCAAATTCAACCAGTCTCGACTTCTTTCATTGAACTACTCTACTTCAAGCCAATCTTGTCACCTTGGCGCTTCAAGCATTCTAGCCAAAGAGGACGACTCAACATCACAAATTCAACTTCAGGAACAAACAACAAGGGAACTGAAGTGCTGTCGTAGGTTCCTAGGCGTTTGCCTTGAATATAGTAGAGAAATGCCGCAAGGAAACTCCAGCCATTCAGAGGATAATTTACATTCGAAAGCGATATGTATACACAATACGATTCGCGCCCGGTATTCGCCCAACGAAGTGAATCGACGGAAACACCACCGTTCCAGGGTTAGACAGAGTATGCATTGCCGTAAAAGGCGGGACCGTTCGAATCATGAATCAGAACTACACCCGCGACAGCCTAAAGAAAGGAATTTCAGGGTACTGACAATGGAAGTTCTCACAACAGATCGACAGACCGCAATGAACACAGTTCACGATTGTTCCCGAGCGGACTTGTGCTTTCGGGACTCTGCATATGCACGTTGAACCTTGATAATTCATGTCCTAAGCGATTCAAACATTAAGCCATGATTTCTCAGGTGATAGAACTCTCAGCAAACGCACCTTCGTCTGTATGCATCGGAGACAGCAGAGTTTCTCATAACCCGGCTTTTTCCACTTGGCAATGAGGCTAGAGCAAATCGAAACGTCTAACTGAGAATGGTATGATGAAGATAGACATCAAAGACTCACTTGGCATCCGCAAATCCCTCTTTCAGGAGCCAGTCATACAGCGGTTTCGAGATAGCTTCCCGCTTGTAGTATAGCTCGTAAACATATCTGGAGCGGGCATGCGAAATTTGCATGATAGGCCACAAAGATTCAGACTTGCGCTTGCCCTCATGCGACTCATTCTCAGCATCTCTCATCTTCCTTGCATAGTCGTCCAATATCTGTAGCATTCACATATAGATAACGACGTTCAAAGTCCGAAACGCGATGAAAATGTGCCCCAAGAATGCAAAAGCGTTAGCAGGTTTGCGAAGGAATTTTCAACGATAGATTCACCGATTCTATCTCTTCATATCCTTCTGGCGGTTGCTTGGTCCTGGTCGTGCGTATTTTGGGCATAACAAAAGGTGGTGGTTGCCGAAAGCAATGAGGCGAACGAATCCTGCTTATGTGAGATCCGTGTTTGGATTTTCGGCGCTCACATTGACTTAACGCTCTAACAACTACAACGACAAATGATAGATGTATTGTTCATATACTAGCTTTGAAAAGATACTCGTAATCCTCTATGGATGCTTCTACTGCTTCCTTTAATCGTTGCGCCACTGTCTCATCAAACTCTTCCGTCCATTTCTCCACATACTCCTCTACATTCAAAGGTTCCGAAGATTTCTTAACGAAGGTATTGTAAGTTATAATGATGACCCTGGGTGTAAAGCACTCACTGGTGTCTTGATTACCCCCGTAGATTCCTTGATTGTGCCCACGAAAGCTCGATAGACACCTTCTACGGGCTCATTCGACGCGTTCCAAGAGTACTGAATCTGGGTCTCGTCTATTCCAGTCAATGCACAGAATTTCTCCATCTGTCCTTTCGTATCCTCTACCAACTTGTCTCCATCAATAACAATCGGCCAGTGTTTCCTCCCCTCTAAATCAGTTTTATCGTAGTATTCCCGATAAAAGTCATAAATAATCCTCTGCCAGCGGTAGGTCGCCATCAACGGAAATTCCGAATCAATCCCGGTACCCCCAAATACGGATGCTGCGCGTATATAGCTGGTATACGTGAATATAGGGTGTCGAATGATGATAATTGGCGACATAGACGCAAGTAAACGGTCAGGCAGTAGAGTAGGATTGGGAACAGGAAGTGGGACGTCCGCCTCTCCAGAGTTTGTCACGTCTAATTTGCGATCTACGATGACGGGTCGAGGCACTTCATGGCGAGAAGAGCTGATGTTTGCGTTTACAAACTTGGATTCAAACAGATGAACAGTGTGTTCTTTGATTGTACAAATCTTTCCCTACAACGTTCAACTCCGTTGGTAAAGGTTTCCACGAAGAGTAGGTTTCGATCGCGCACCTCTTCATTGGCTTTTGCCAGCAACCCTTCCATTTCATCTAAGCCTGCCTGGTATGATTTCTTATCAGCTTCTTCTTTCGACATATGAGAACTTTGAATCCGTAGGGCCCTCTTTTCCTCCGACCATTGGGCCTCGGGTCCAGCTTGGAAGGCAAACATGAACGGGTACTGTTTCGTTACCATCTGAGGATGGGTTTCCAACAAGCGCATAAACAGGTTCGATCTGGTCCGAGGATGTGAATAGAGAAAGAGTCTTTTGTGGACCTCGGAATTGGATTTAGGACTAGCCATCATGTAGTGGTGCGTGAGGTCGTTCCAAGGTGTTTCAGTGAAAGTTCACCCAAGTTCACGCAGCTTGCACGCGTCCTCTAAGAGTATTGATGATAAAGATATTTTCTCAAGGCGTCGGCTATCATACAGCAGTCAAAATGGCAGCCCGGGCAAATTAAGATAAATAATCGATACAACCTGCTTGAAACTGCCATGTACTCATCTCCTACCGGTGCGTTACTGCGCACTATTGTAAAGCGGGAAGTTGTAGGATGTCTGTACGTCATGCATATAGCCATTATCGATAGTTGGCGACCTATGTACACCACTAAAGGGACCACGGTAATCAGGAAAATATTTCTTATTCAACTTGTCTTCAAGGAGACGACTGTAGGCCATTGTCAGAAGTTTGAGCCTCATGTAAGGTATGCTATCCGCAGTCACAAAAGTTCATCAAATGAAGGTGTGCATGAATTGCATGAATGAATAGAAGATTTATCAGTTTGTCCAACATGATTACTGTTCCTGAAAACTCCTAGCTAGCTAAATTTGTCCCCTTCTGCAAGTCCCGTTACAGAAAATAAAGTCTATATGCTGTGGCGTAGTAGATGATTATAATCGTCCATTGCAAGCTCGACAAACTCCGCTAATTTTTGTGCAACATCTGCATCCCACTCACTTTCCCATCTTTTCATTGCTTCAGTAATATCCGGTGGTTGGATGGTATCCTAAAATCATGCGCTAAGTATTGATCTGGGAAACTCGGATAGTGAGACGTCATCTCACCGAAGTCTTGATGACTCCTGTGGATTCCTCGGCTACCTTGGTGAACGCATCCCAGACTGCGTTTCGCTTCACATAATGCGGATCCCATGAATACTGGATATCCGATTCTTTCAGGCCAACTATTTCACAGAACCTTGTCATTTGACCTTTTGTATCGCTGATCAACTTGTCTCCGTCTATCACGATGGGCCAATTTCCCCGTCCAGAGCTAAGCTTACGCTCCCTCTCGCAGTACTCCTGATAAAAGTCGAAGACAAGTCTTTGCCAGCGAAAAGTTGCTATGATGGCAAAGTCAGGATCTAAAACATTTGCGCCGTACGATGAAGATGCTCGCAAAGCGGAAGGGAATGTATAGAAGGGATGTCGAATTATGATTACCGGCTGAAGAGTAGCAATCATGCGATCGGGTAGTAAGGTAGGATTCCGGAGAGGAAGCTCTTCGTACTGTACACTTTTTTCTTTGTCTTCGTACGTCGTTCGTATGTCAAATTGATGATCTATTATGACAGGTCGAGGCTTTGCCTCTCTGCGACAGTCCACATGGCTGTTCAGAGTATTCGAGTCAAGTATGAAGCATGTATGTTCCTTAATGACTGCAATCTTCCCCTACGAAAGGATCAAAGACATCGACACTTCGATAGACACGCCTCTGCTACGTACCTCTGACTCGGCTTGAGCGATGGTTTTTTCCATGATATCCAAGCCTGCTTGGAATGTGGTGTTTGCGAACGTCTCCTCAAACTCCTGCATGGATTTTCCAATGGCCGCAGCCCTCCCTTTCTTGGTCGAAAGCGCGTTCTGGCACTCGGGACCATTCATGAAGGCGTCTTTGAACGGATATAGCCTGTCTAATACCTTCGGATGGGTCTCAAGTAAACGCATGAACAGATTCGACCTCGTTCGGAGGTGGGAGAATAGGAAAATGCGAGTACAAGGCTCGTCCGACATTTGGAAAATAGAAATGTGATAACGAAGGAAATTCAGTTGCGGTTCTGCTTTTTATATACATGTATCGTTCAGTTCCCATAATACCACGAATTCCGGTACCAGGACCTTGATGTCATCGAAACAGTCGACGAACCCGGAACTTTCAGAAGAGTGCGCTGAAGCTCTCACGAAACCTTGCTTCTATCTCCACAGAATTTACAAACTTTCTAAGTATACGAGTACGGGTCACTCACTTTTCTCCACCGAACGGTACGCAGTACATGGTAATCAATCAACAAGCCAAGCCCAGATGGTCGATTGAGTAGCAGTATATAGAACTGTAAGGTATATTTAGTCCGAATAATAGTTCTACACAAATGATATAGATGTCTCTTATATCAAGGAATAACCAAGCATCCTTTGCAGTAAAAAAAGTGCTGATTACCATAATCCAGTCTATCTATGTCTCATCATAGACTCATCTCTGGGCGGACTGCCTACCGCCATGAGGGAGTCGGCAATATTCATGGAATCAGTAGCTGCCCAAGAAGATATATCTGGTATATACCCACTTAAGCCAGATTTCGAAACAACTCTTGAGGATGATCCACTTTCTCTAGGGCCAGTTCCGGCACCGCTGAGATGACGACGGTCGTCGTAAGAAGAAGAAGGGAGAACATCGGTGATCCCACTCTTGAAGCTTTGAACCTTCCGGCTCAGTGCCTGTAGTACGGACCCTTTGGAGGGCCAATGTGTTTCTGAGGGAAGGGTACTCGTTCCTTGACTCGGCATCAACTCATCTCCCTGGCCCGTAAAAGTAGAGTGTATTGATGAATCAGATAACCCTCTCCGTTTAAGCTTATGATGCATCAGAGGGGTGATTATATCTTTCTCCTCACCATTGGCGCCCTCATCGACCATTGGAAGACGTGTGTTTTGCTCATCAATCACAGCGTCTACGTTCCGCGAAAGAAAATTCGGATTAAGTCCCGCATCGGGCCCTGGCTGACGAAATATTACTGGAGACTCTGATCTATAAAGAGTTGACTGTACTCTTCGCGGACCTTTGGGCACGACTACCCAAGGATCAGGACTTGACAATGGTGCACCAGCGAATATACCCATAGCCGAAGACAAACCGCCGTCCGTGGTGGAAGCAACTACAGACTCTTGACGAGAAGGACCTGCTGGTGTGGCCGATGAGCTAGTGATTGAACGCCCAACCCCTGAAGAAAATTCGACGTTTACAGTCGTAGCAGACGCAGACAGTGCGGGCTGAAGTTTAGGAACAAAACGTGGAGGTCGAGAGTTGGCCCAGTTACTCGGAGCCCGAGTGAGACCACTTAATGCAGCCGTAGAAGGAGATACAGCTCGTTCAGCGCCAGCTGTGGTGTCAGCTCGCGTTCCTGAAGAAGGGGCAAATAGCTTGGAAATCGGGGCCATCCAGCTGCTTGAGGCAGCACCGTTCGGATTTTTCTCAACTCCTGCCTTGGCGGGGTCTAAGGCCAGCTCACTGACTCTTGTAGCGATGGATGGGTCTAAAATCACGTCGTTCAAGGTAACTCTCATCGTACCCATCTCCACAAAGAACTCTCTAAATAACTTGAACAATGCTCGTAGATCTTTCCTGGTACACATTGTCACAAGGTGCTCGTCTTCCAACAAATGTCGAAAGTGGATCCGTATTGTGGATGTTTCGTTGATTATACCGTTGACTGTATTTCGAGATATATGACCTACATCGGCGCCACGAAGATGTTGACGTTTCAGTCGATTGGTCAACGTTAACGCATCGGCCTGAGACATCCGAGTGAACAACGCAGTCATTCGCTCAATGATTGTTCCCATGTTTGATGTAGTGGAATCGGAGAACGAAGAGGTTTCAGAACGAGGATCATGAGGTGAAGGTGTAGGGATCGACGTCGATGGTGCCGGAGACGTTGGCACAGGAGAGAGACCAAGTAGATTCGACGGTAAATGATCGGTTTGCACTCCACAAGAGCGGGTGAGGAGGAAAAGAGGTCTATGTGTCCTTGTTTTCTCTGGTGATGCAAGACCAGTGGCGCTTTCGCCATCAAACTCGATTTGATAGGGAGAAGGCGGTAGAGGTCCATACGAACGGGAACCGAACGTTGACCGTGAGTCGGATCCACCAGGAGAAAGAGGCGGTAGTTCACAAGTCAGGGTATCAGGAGTTAGCGGTTCCAGAGGCCGAAGACCGTTTCTTTCCAGGCTCGAGTGACGTCTATTTAGAAGAGGAGTCTACAAAACATTTTGATGAGCTGCAGCTGAGATTCAGGATACATTTGCTCACAACATGTTCCCTCATAGAAGACGACGACAGGCTACCAGAGTAGTGGTGTGACCTTCCAAAATTGGCATGGAGAGGAGTGCCTGTATGCGAACGTGGTGATTTCATGGTCATATTGGCGCGTCGTTCTTCAACCTCCTGTTGAAGAGCGTGCAGATCATCCCTAGACTCGGCGAGCAGAGTTTGTAGTTCTGCGTTGTCACGTTTCAGCCCTTCATTATCATTGACCAATGATTCAAGCACATTAGTGACTTCTGCGCTTTCGGATGTTGATTGGGAGCCAAACTACGGAGCTGTGAGATCAATCACCCATTCACCACGCCCTTTTGGACTTACTGTGGTATGGAGTATTTGGATCCTAGATCTCGCATTCTGAAGTAACGACTCTGTGGATTCCATGCGCAGTAAACGTTTTTGCTCCAGTTCATCTTGTAATCGGCGAACTTCTGACTGAAGTTTTACTGAGATACTATTAGTTGAACTTGGGCTTCCGCATATTGCGAGAACGCACAAGTTTTATCCTTCAATGCCGCAAATCTAGATTCTGCCAACCTCGCTCTCTGTGACTCAAAGTCCCGTTCCTGCTGCATATCGTCTCGTTCTCTGTTGACCACTGAGAGGCGAGTCTCCCAACCGATTGACTTTGCATGACTGGTTGAAAGGCGGGATATCATTGTACGAGCCTCTTGTAACTCCTGGTATAACGTCTTCGAAGATACTTCGGTAACCTCGTTATTCACTAATGCTTGCGTGAGGCGCTGGAAAGATTGTTAACTCTTAAATAGTCTTTGTGAAGGTAAAGAGACCCAACCTTCTCCAAGACGTGCTTTTCCTTGAGTAATTCAGTAAGCCTGGAATCACTGTCTTCACCGCTGCTAGAGTGACCATCGTTGACTGAGCAGTTCTGAATTCACAACAGTTGTGAAAAGAATATATATCGACGCTTGCCAGGACCCGACTGACCTCATGGCGGCGAACATAAGCTTCATGGCGCTGTAGTAAGGCTTGTCCTATTTCTAGATGAAGTCTTGGACAGCTGCCTTTGGAAAGGGTAAAACAAACACACCGGCACTAAGAATGAGCCTGTTTTCCAACCGCAACTTCATCGCTTGCCACGCCTTGAGGTTTTCGCAATCTTCTCTTTGACAGCAGCATGATAGCAGTGATGGGGGTTCTGGTGAAGGGACTCTGGAGAAATTGTTCAAGGCAAGCGTCAAATCATCAATTGTGTTGGTTAAGTCGTCGAGGGTCTTAGTCGAAGGCGAATCCGGTGTTACTGGGCGAGAGACGCTGCTCGACATGGTTGGAGTCAAAGAGCTATAGTACTGGTTAATGAGTGATTGGGTGTGTCCCGTGAAGAAAGAAAGTATTAGATCGTAGATTGTCGTGGTTCAAACTGTGTAATTAATTGACAGACTTTCAGTTCGCGGAACTCCGAAGCTGCTTTGAATAAGTGTCTCAGCGAACACAGTTGTCAACTGTGCCACTGGGAATATGTATGTACAAAGGTCAAAAACAATACAGCAATTGAACGATATACAGAAATGGATGAGTATACAGTACATTCGTAGAGTATGATAGTCCGGAATAAGAAAGACAGAAAACCAAATGGGAACAGTTATCACTATGAAACTATGTTAGCAACTAGATTAGCAATTAATACGAGGACCTTCCCAGCAGCAGGGCTTTGTGCTGGAAGAAATTGGAAATTTTTGGCAAGACCCTGCATGCCCTGGTCTTCGAGTGCCTTCAAATGCGAACGACCAGGACCATGGACGGAGGTCGAATCATCCACAGTGTTAACTGTTGACGATGAGCTCCGAAGTGCACCATAGCGCACACCAACGTGTCCGTCACGAAGTCCATCATCAAACGCGACGCGAATTATATTAGAGACATGATAGATGATGGTAGGATTGGAGGAGTTAGCAAAGGTATCTTTGATTCGATCTTGGAGACTTTCGTATCTGTAGAGAGAAACGTTGGTCAATCGAAAGTGCGAACGCAGGAAAGTAAGAAACTTACGCCATCTGTATGATCTCAGGGTATGTTGCTGCGATATCAGCCAACACACTGTAGAGGATTTCTGATTCCGCATCGTCTCCTTGAGCAGTCGTTAACATTACTCCTATGAACGAAGTGGCCAACAACGCCGTGTTTGGATCATTGATCCCGAGGGTATCAATGGACACGAGAGGAACATGCGAGATCTCTTCTGAAACAGACATGACCGTCTGGTCGTCCTCTACTATTACGGCATCTTGGATTCCACATTCCTGCAGCAAGGCACGGTAATCTGCTGTGGTCGTAGACGCCGCAAGCAGCGCGATGAAATATCCAAGAGCATCAGGGTCAATGTATGCGAGATCTTCATTGGCCACATCTGGCTGAAGTTGAGCATCAAAATGCGCGGTGATTCTCAACAGCGTTCGAAGGGCCTCTTCCGCGGAGTCTCGAAGACCACTGTGCCGCATACCCTTGAAGAGAACTGCAGCAAGGGAGAACGAGAAGCTAGCGTCACACGACAGCTGAAGGGTGCTATCGAACTGTTGCGCAGGCTCCTCTATAGGCGATCTGGCCTCGAGTAGCCGTACAGCAACAGGAGCACCCACAAACGTTCCTCGTTTCTCCATTTCTTTCATTGTTAATGTCACCAGAGCAGCTGCATCCTCGAAGAACGCCATATGACTTGACTGCAAGAATGCAACACCTAGCCAGAAAAGTTGGGGAATATGTCTTGAGTCAGTTTGTAAACCAGGGACAGCTTTGGTTATGCATCGGAGCATGCTGACCAGTGCAGCAATATCTGATGTGTTATCTGGTTGCAACAAGGCAGTGCGGAAAGCCATGAGCATCTGGTACATAAAGTCGTCGTCCACATCTGAAGTAGCCAATGCCCCAAGAGCAGTAAATGATCGCATCTGTATCATTGACGAATATTGGAAGGCTGAAGCTGTAGCAAGACTCATCCATCGAGCTTTCCAAACATTTAGTTGACCTACAGAGTGATAGGTATAAGCATATTCTCAAGCTAGGAAAATAATCTACCTTTCGAGCCCGAGGAAACATCCATAGAGCGAATGAGAAGGGCAGTGAGTTTCTCTTGCTGATGTATGATGCTCTTTTCCTTGTCCACATCGAAGCTTGTGTACTCGCTGGTAGTCGTAAGTCGGCTCAAACCAAACAGGTTCAAGACATGTTCTTGCGTAGTCATCTCTTCAATAAGCTGCAATAGCTCGGGTGCTGATCCTTCGTCAAGGCGAGCAAGGTACAACGATTGAACAAGGTTTATGATGATGCCATAGACAGATTTCCGAATGAGCGTAGAACCGACCCCTGCGACTAGTGTCACAACATGAACGATTTCTGGGACGTACAGTTGATTATTTAGAGAGTGAGTAGTTTCTGTTCCAGCGATCAAGGCGATACGAATCAAGGTCGATACTTCTGGCCAACCGGTATTGTGGGATGGAATTCGGGGCATTCGGGGAGAAGCTTTGATGATGGCCTGTAGACTTGAATATAAGTAGTATATTCGTAGAAACGAGATATCTTGCGCACTTTACGAAGCTTCGAGAACAATCTTCCACGGACTGCAATAGATGATGATGACATGGCAGAGATCGAATGAGCAATAATTTCACAACGGTGAGTCCCAATGCCACCGTCAGTGGCAGAACGAATTAGCTCATCAAATATGATATCGATGATATTGCCATTGAGCTGTCCAGCTTCGTGCCAGATGTACTTTTGAACACCATTTGTAGCCATCTGAAATTTGATCGTCGATACCAATCCAGCCCAAAGTGTCGTCGACACATACCTCTGGAAGGTTTACGCTTAAATCAGTCAGGACTCGTATGCAGTCACGTAGCCGAGCTCCAGAACGTTCGAACAGCGGACTGGTGGGATTTGCAAACAGTTCAAGGTTCTTGATCCATGGATTCATATATCGGAGACAGTTTATACGTTGTAACACTTGCATTGATTTGTTCCTGTCGTTGGTAGTCATCGAAGCAACGACTTCTGAGATGAAGTCAAGTGTTAATTGTGGTGCAAATCGAGCCAGCCGCGTGCTAAGGTCAATAACAAAGCCATTGAGGGTGCCAGGAACGAATCCAGCTAAGTTGGAATAAGAGCGCGCAGAAAAAAGCCACCAATCTCGCTTACCTTTAGGTGCTACAAGGGGCGACTTATCGTAATTAAGATACGTGCAAACAGAACCTAGCAGGTCGTACGCGGCAGCGCGTAATTCGTCGTCGTAGGCATCAACACTCAGCATACCGATGTGTAATAAAGTAGCCGGAACATTGGAAAACCGCATGAATCGTTCTGCGAGAGGCATTTGTTGATCCTTCAAGCCGCTCTTGGCAGCTCGAATGGTCTGTAATATACGATGAACGGCGGCGTCTTTCTGGAGAAGATTCGGACGTACTCGAATGATAGTCTCTCGGTTTGGAGACGTGAAGTATATCGTATCACCTTGCCTGCTCCGTCTAATAATGAACTCGTTTGTTTCGAGACCAGTTTGAACATTATATACATCGCTGACGTCGGCAAGAAGAACGATTTCCGCTGATTTACAGGCCAGTCCAGGCGATATATTAAGAGTTCTAACCTGATTCTCAGTGAGGCAATGTATATTGTGCAAGAGAAAAGCGACCTACGGAAGTGATCCGGATATGAGTTTGACCTATAGTTAACAAAACTGGTGTTCTGGTTTGATGTGTTTTCATTGTTACGTCTGTAAATAAATCTGACTGTTCCTGCTCAAGGCTTACTGGAAAAATTTGAGACTAAAAACATTCCGGAATGAAAAAAGTCTCACGAGGATATTTCAAAGGAGGTGACTCTATGACACTGGTCGGTATGTGTGGAATCAGTTCAGCAATTGAACTCCAGGCACGGAGCTCCCCAGCGATACCAATGCCTGCAAACCTCATCTGTGAGTGGAACGGTGCAAGTGAGAGACGTTGGTCTACCTGCACAGACATTGTACACTCTTCTAAGGAATTTCTGCATCAAGCTGTTAGGATTTAGGATGTGCGTTCGGACAATCATCATTCTTAGGTCGGAAGGAAACACCTCCGCACAGAACTTGAGCCAACGCAAGGGAAGTTCCGACACTGAAGTGAAATTCGTGCAGTCGACGATAATCTCGATATCGTATCCCTCGTACCGGGGAGAACTGAGCAACTGCGAAGAAGGATCAGGGGACTCAATACATCGTAGTCGGTAAATACTAAAAGAAGTCACCTTAAAAAAGTGATACATGAAGAAATCCATATCCAAGGCTTCAACATTAATTTTTGATAGACGAAAAACATGATAGACCAATCCCCCAGACTCCTGAAGGCAAAATCAAATCTTTCAGAAGTGCGTATACAACCAGTAACGACTTACGGATGGAGGCACGGTTTCACAATAAACTTCCTGAACAGAATCAGTGGTCCTGTCGGCATAGCGGCTCATGAGCTCTTTGTATTCCCGATGATCCTTTCTGTCTAGGACTGAAGCCTTTGGGACGTCTATCGGGGGTCCAAGGTCAACCAACAGCGTGCACAGACTGTCCCAAGCACGTTTGCCATTAAGCGCGGAGTTGTCGCTGTCACTTGATGGCTTTGAGATGCTGAGAAGTTCTTTACCAATTTTGTCTGCATGTTTATCGAAGAACCGGTGTAAAACGATGATATCCGTGTCATCCGAAGCGGTCCCGAGCCACTCTTCGTCGTCATCTTCACCAGGAGTATATCGCTGAGGACAAAATATCTATTCAGTACGAAGCAAATTATCCAAGCAACTTACATTCAATTCACTCAGATATCGTGTAACATGCGCAATATGATCTCGGAGGAAATCATTCAGAACCATCATGTGTGCTTCCTTCCCAAAGAAGATATTATTTGCAAGATTCTGGATGATTTTCGCGATGAGCGTGAGGCCGCGACGAAGAGCATCTCCAGGAGGATCCAAGTCTATTGTTTCGGGCGCGACCACAGCTGGTGAAATGAATCTAAATAAATATCATTTATCACCACTGCAGAAAGAAATTCTGAGCTGACTGACCGCAGGAACACAAAAGCTCCCAAGGCGGCAAATTTTGCGTCAGGCCATCTTTCATAACTGATGATACCCAGATTAGCGAGAAGACAAAGATTGATGTAAGCATTAGTGACGAACACTGTTGCTGCAATGTGAACACAAATTTCGCGGAACATGCTGTGAAACCCATGATGAACACAAAAGAAATCATGGCCAATAACAACTACACTCACGACGGAAGCGCAGATGTCGAAGATCCAATGATTTCCAGGAATGATTGAGCGACGAATTCCACGTTCCTCCTGTTTTGTGCTACATTTTGTTGGCCTGCTTTGGATGGATCCAACTCGTATCCTTGTCCTGGTGGTAGTGATTCCATACACTTGATGAGAGGACTGATGAGCGTCCTAAGGTAGTTGTATCCATGGATTCTTGCGAAGGCCGACAAGAAGCGGGTGCAGGTACTGTTGCTTCGGAAGAGTCCTGCTTCATTTTCTGCAGGGATCATCAACAAACGATGATGGGAACAACACACTAAAGGACATACCAGTGCGAGCCACTTCACGGTCAATCATCGCTTTGATTAGCTTCATAAGTGAAGCCCGTGAGTCGAAAAGATTCAGTAACACCGCGATCATTGAATCCACTTCCCCAGGGGGACAAGTCTCACAAACAGCAAGAACGAGAGTCATCTGAGAATATGAGTGGTTTTCTTTGACATGTGAAATAAATCATTCACATCTGACTCTTTGACCAACTGCAACCAACATAAAGTGTCAGAGAGAGAAGTCAGATATGGGATTAGAATACTCGCCTCTGCCAGACGATTTTGTCCACTGGATGGGCCAGTCCTATCTTCAGGATCAAACTTGGTACCTTGGCTAAGTATACGGGCGAAGACGTGAGCAAATATTGTGCGTTTTCGATTGTCTTCATCATAGGCCAGAGGAAGACATTGTTTGAAACCACTTTCAGTGTTGGCACTGACAAGATGAGAAAGTCCAGTAATGACAAGGTCACGAACTTCAGTCTCGCGTTGTGAGGCTCGCATTCGCTGAAATGAAGGTCAACCAATCGGATGATCTGTTTGTTAATGATAGCCTACATTTTGGATGGAACCAACGTCCGACACACTATCAGAGGTCTACATTAGAAGCTTGGATCAGTACTGCCCCATTGTTCAGCAGCAACAAAAGGAAGCTCACCGGAAGGTCCAGCTGGCAAAATTCAAATCCATTCAGTAAAATGCCTGAGTATTTCATGAATAGTCTTGAGACATAGTGGAAACTATCATCTCCAGCAATGGAGGTATCCACGGGACGTAACTGCAAGCGATCTAACAGTTTGACGATCGTTCGTAAGCACGACAAGTTTACTTCATAAATGTTGAAACCATAATCTGTTGGTGGCTGGACAAGAAGTCAATATAGAAAGATAGGACAGTCTGTTTCTCATTTACATCTGGTGGCACAATCCATTCGAGGATTATATCAAGGATGTCACGCCGAATATCATTATCTTTGCGTATACTCAAGTTACCTGCCCGCCCGCAGACACAGTCACAAAGCGAACAGAACTTTTGCTTGATGCGGAATATATCTGGTGAGTCGAACCGGGTGATGAAAGAGGCAAGTCCAAGCAACGTCGGGCTTATGTCAATACTCAGCACTTCCTCAATTCGTCCGTGACTATTTTCCACCATCAACTTGAGGACTGCGATAAACTGCGCAAATCGACGGAGTTAAAGACAGATACTAACGCAATCAGCAATCGCTCACCTGGTCCACAAAGAGAAGCATGTTCTCGTGATTGCCTACCCCGTCATTCGTTTCCTTCTCAAGTTTGACAGCTTGGACCACTCTATGAAGCAAGATGTGAACAACGGTTACATTACATGAAGGCGGAACGTACTCATCAAAATACTTTAAGATCTTGGGGTGAAGCCGGGCATTGAGGTCAACACCAAGTGCTTCGCGGGCAGTGTCGCGAATAGAGACGTCTTCGAAAATCAGCAATGCAGTAAGGTCATTGACAAAAATCGATATCAAAGGAGCAGGACTTTGCATAGTCCGCATTGTATCAGGAAGTATTCGCTGAGGAATGACGGAGGAGAGCAAAGAAAGATCGTGGTTATCTTGGATGCTTGAGGCCGCGGTCACGGCCAAAAAAAGTGCAAAATTCTGCCACTGTGCAACTTTATCCTGAGAGAAATATGGATATCACGAAAGTGCACCAGAGAGTGGAACGAACCTGATAGGATTCTCCACGCCCAATAGGAATGGTGACATCATCCGGAATATTGAGGATTGTGTCTGTAAGGCTGGAAAATCGAGCATAACACTCTTGCCATACCGCAACATTTACGGCCGAACAGTAAGGCATCAGTCGGAGTAGCTTCCTAACTCTCTTCTGGTGAGCCACTCGACCTATCCTCACCATGTCAACCACTTAATCACAGTAGACTGGGAAAAAACACTGACCGACCACAAGCACCTTAGGATCACCCATACGATCGTAAACTGGATATCTCTTTGACTTGTCTTCTTCAGTGATCGTTGGATTACTAGGTGCGTCAGCCTGGCTCTCAATGTGCGCGATTAGACGCAATCCTTTCGCAGCAGTATGAGACACATTTCCGTCAGCAGATGGTAAGGAAACAAGCAGTGCGATCTCGGCAAGAATCATTGGTGGAACACGGTTAGGGTCATTCAGAAATGATTTCAATGATGGATCCTAGGAGTCAGGTCAGTGAGATAAATCGATCATTTGAACGGGATGGTCCATTACGTCGGTCTTCTTGGCAATGAAGTCGAGCAGTCTCAACACTATGCCTGACCACAAACGCTGACTTTCGACGTCTGTCCGAGCCTGCAGTAACATCGTAGCGACACTGGTAAGCATTTGATACCTGCGCATCACATGAGTAACGAATAATTCGAAGTATATTGAGCAATTACAAAGTGTTCCTCGTCCACCCAACGATCAAGGCGTTATTTGGATCAGAAAAATCGAGATGCAATGTCTTCTCGAATGTGCGTAGATTAGCGCTGGCCGCTGCAATTTTAACCGCAAGGTCGAGTGAGGAGTCATATATACGCATCGTGAGATTAGTCCACATTGTGAACTCGTTTTCGGGCATGTCCGCATAGTAAAATATAAAATGATTGCGCCAGACAGAGAGGATACCTAAAACCAGAAGGTCTCGATCGTTGAGTGGGTCAACGTGAATGCGCTTTATTTTGGGACGCGTTGCGCCTTTCTTTGCACTACCGTACTGGTCAACTTCCATACGGCGAGTAACAGCTGTCTAGAAGAAAGTTAGTGACACGTCGGAATCATTGTAAAAGATGAGTGCAGACCCTGTACAATTGTCGGAGACGAGGAGCAACGACCTTCTGTAAGTCATCCAAAGGATCCTGCCAGGGGAAAAGGGCTACCTAAGATGAATCAAATTGTCATCACGACGATAACCTGGAATGGAAAAGAAAGCATACTTCTTGAACGAGCGTTAAGCAGGCTCGTACAGCACATAACTTTACAGCGTCTGACCGTTCCGGTTCAAGGCATAGCGAGAAAATATAATGCGTGTCTTCCTTAGGCAGGAATCGATACACGGAAACCAATGCTTCAGCCCATAGGGCAACATTGATATCTTCACAATACTCCCAAAATGCTTTCTGATTCGGATTCCAAATTCGGCCCTATAGCGGATGTGGCATGGATGGGCGATATGTTATCAACGTTGATGGAAGCTAACATACCTTAATTTCATGCGCCACATCGTAGGCCAACATTTGAAGCGGAACTTCATCGTCTGCAGGTTGAACGTACATCGCTGCACGACATATATCTGTCGCACATATTAATGATATTGAAGCCAATTTGCCGGTGTATGAGGATTGTCGCCTGAGATCCTCTGTAAACTTGGCCAGCTTTTGGTTGGCGCGACTGGATCCAAGGGTCTGTAGATTAGAGCTCCTTTCGGGGATCACACATTGCAGGATGGCCAATGTTGGCCATAAAACACGTTCGGAGCCCGAGCATTTGTTGTACAAAAAGTCAAAGACACTGGATGCTCCATCCATCTTGCCATGCAATTTGACGACTTCATTGAACTCATCCGGGAAATGCTCAATCCAACTCCAGATCGCGTAACGGAGGGGAGCTGCGATAGCCTTATGACCCTCGAGCCTCATATTGACCAACAGAGAAGAAAGTTCTGCAGCAGGACAGTGAGTATCCGAGTCATGAGTAGACCACAAAATAAAGTACCATTCATAATTTGTAGCAGTCGTGAACGATCAAGAAGACTGTATCCCAGAATCATGAGATCTGTCGAATCCGACGATTCATCAGGATGCGTTGCTAGAAAGTGAATTCTCAATCGCAGCCTGTGAAAAACAACCTTCCAATTCGACGCCGATATATGGAATATGATTTTCCCGGCGTACTTCATGATCTGCTGAGATAACACTTGAGAGGAAGTGGTAAAGAAAGTGGGAGTTTTCTCGTATGCAGTGTCATTGCTGGACAAAATCACATCAGAGTTGACTACCTTCTCAGAAGAACGAACAGGATCTGAGGAAGGCTGGGTACGAAGTTCGTTAGGCAGGGAAGAAGACAAAGTGCTACGGATGTGACTGAAGGGGACTGCTCCGGAATTGATGTCCTCTGCGATATAATCTCTGAAGGAAATATCTCCAAAGGTGCTGGAAGGCATGATGAGAGGCGGCTCAGAAGCTACGGTTTGACGAATGCATAGAATCATTACGCTGAGCACGTATCTAGCGCAAGCTTCTTCCAAGGGCGGAGGTTCTGACCATGAAATGGGAGTAGACGAATCAGAGCTGCCTGGAACACGCCTGACTGTATCGGCATCAGACATTGGTCGATTGCTAGATCTGGAGGCAGCTCGGAGGTTGGGCTGCCATCGCGTTGTCATTGCAACTGACAGGACTTTGAGCAGGAAAAGTTGAGACTGCATGGTCTCAATTGATACAACGCCATTAGGATCTTGTTGCTGGAAATGATGCTCAAAGACATTGACGTGAAATATACAGACAATGTACGATACCTGGGTCAGTTTCTCCAGCAGTTCCCCCAAGGCAAATCCAATCATGTCCAGGGCTTCATGAGCTAAATCGACCAGAGCATCCACAGCCTGCTGGGTGGCATTATCAGACTCTAGCCGGATGAGAGGTTCACCAGAGTTACAAGGTAACTATTATGCTACTTTAGCAGTGAATACAAGTAGCGTTTAAGATACGAGACGAACCTTATTCTTCAACCTGTTAACGAGAACTTGAACGATTTTCTGCTGAGGCGTGGGAGGGGCACCGTGAGTGAGAGAGGATGCAGAGTGAGATTGGCCAAAGATAGCATGATGAGAGTGAGAGTCGCTGCTCTTGTGCACGCGAGTGGAGGACGAAGAGCCATTGTTGATTATACCTGCAGAAGCTGAAGGTCGACGAGTGGGCATACTCGTCTGTGCAATAAGCAGACTGAAGATATTTAAGTACGCCTTGTGGGTGTCGTGATACTTCGTGGAAGGAGAGAATGAGGAGGTAGGGCAGGTCCACAGACCGTCTTTCTGCAGTTCTATAAGGTTCTATATAACCCCAGATCGTACTAGTAGTCGACAACTGCTGAACGCGAAAAAAACAGTGCTTACATAAGCACTCTCAAAAGCCACTTTAAGTTAACTTCAACTTTCAACTTCAACTGACAAATTGCTTCAAGTGCCACGAATCTCTTAGCCAGGCTCCATTACTGTTGATGGTCATTGACAGTGTCCAGCACACCAAGATTACGGTAAGTATATCAAGGACTCCAAGTATTGCTGTAGTCAGCATACGACATCGACAATATACGACGTAGTGGTGCTTGCTCAGTATTGATCCAGACTAATCCTCAACATTATGTATACCGGGTTCAAACTGTATTCAGATATCTTCGAGGGCCTGCCAAGTGTCTTTGGCCGAACCACCCGCCAGAATACATCACGAAGAATAACAAATAATAGTATAGAGTAAGATGACAAATCAAGCAGACAAAACTGTAACAGGAAACGAAAAAACGGAGACGATTCGGGAGAGAGAGTATTCGACATGCAGGAGGGCCTAAGTGTAAAGAGAGAGTGTTTAAAGAGACGAAGAGGTAACACGATAACTAGAACAACGCTGACTGAACAAACGAACAAGGAAAGGAGCGCAGGAGGAGAAAATACACACGAGGACTTGAAAAGATGTTGCAAAACATCTCTGTGCAACAAGAGATGCAAGAGATATAAGTGTAACTAGTAAATTCCTAGACACGGATTGATATAGTTATTGTTTGAGAAGGGAACGAAAACCATAGAATTGAATGTGACATCAAGGGCTTGCAGGCAGTACGAGAGGAAAAGGCTTAAAACAAAGAACATGCGGAAAGCGCAGAGGAATTGAAGAAAAAGTTCATAGGGGAAATATTCAAGAACCAGAGGATAGAATGTTTGGTGAGGAATCGTTTGAGAAAGGTAATCGCTGAGCGGGAATTCAATCCGAGAGCAGAGTCGAGAATCATGCGTGTGACTTGATCATTATCGGGTCGCCCATTCTTTCCAATAAACCAGCGCCTCTAACTTGACGTGACATCGTCCCTTGTCATTTGGAACTGCACCGAGGCACTACTATCTGAACTTCCTGCAGGGCTCTTCACTCCCCACGGCCTGCTGTCCATAACGCTGCTTAAAGAGGCCTCCCCGAGATCAAGACTAGCAAGTGTTCCATTCAAATCGTGCATTTCGAATGGGTCAACGCCCGACGTAGAGGTAGGTTGACCGGATAAGGGTCTCGAAATGGGTACTGGAATGTTGGTGCGATTGGTGGGAGACGTACTAGTTGAACCGGAGCCTGGCCGAGGCATCAAACCCTGGAAACTAGTATACTGCGACACACTCGGAGGACGTGCGGAGCTGGATGTGTATCTGGCTGCTGAACTGGCTCCAGTGTCAATTGGCTCATCGAGAGGGGGAAATCCGTGTGGCTCTCTCCCCTGTGCGTCTGAAAAGACATTCTTGTGGTACACATGAGTCGCATTAGGATCAGGCGAGAAAGGCGAAAACGGAACTGCGCCCGCTACAGCATCTCGCGGGAATTGAAGATGTTGACTAAACCGCGGTTGGTGGGCATGCGGAACCGATGAAGATTGTCGTGTAGATGGTTGTCCCTGCTGACCCTGATGCTGTTGCTCTTGTTGTTGCGCCGAAAAAGTCTGCAGGTCAAAATATCCATTATAAGATGGAGCTCCTACAAGATCTTCCCTGCCACTGAGATGTGCTGAACGAAGCTGTTCCTCCGAATACAATGCCGTTGTTGGTGAAGGATTGACAAACATCCGCTCAAGAGCGTGCGCGGATGAAACCCCTTGTGCACCACGGGCAATCGAGTTAGCGTAAGCTCCGACGTTTACTCCATTCATGGAACTTGAGGTCGGTGAAGACGAGAAAGAGAATGGCTGTTCCGTGTATGTTTGCTGGCTGAGTTTTTGCAAAAGTTGAATGGCCTGCTCTTGCGTAAGATGCGCAGTGGACACCGCGGACACTGACGTATTGTCCGATTGTAGTGAGGAAGGCATCGGCATCGTCATATTGTGAAGAGTTTGTGGTCCAGATTGGCTTTGCATCGCAGCAGCCTGGGCGGCCTGAGCTGCAGCTTGAGCAGCTTTATCTGGGGGACGGTGAGAAGCTCACACAGAGAAAAGAGAGAGCAATACGTACATTGACTTCTTCCCCAGCTCAAACGAATCCGACTTCCGCCAATGGGGAATCCTTGCATTTTCTCGATGGCACGTTCAGCATCAGCTTTGCGCACAAATTGGACGAACCCGCAGTGCTTTCCAACGGGAACCTTTACCTTCAAGTTGGAAGAATTGGCAAGAATTCCAAAAGCAATATCATGGAAACTCACATAGTGGATGTCCCCAAATGGTGCAAAGAAGGTGCGAAGAGTCTCTTCCTGAATAAGGGGACTTAAGCCTCCAACGAATACGGTGGTGTTGTATGGGTCCGTGGACGTTAACTGTTCGCCGTTTGGCCCGATGAGGTTTCCAAGGATGGCGCGAGCCTGTGTGTGATGTTTCCAAGACTCTTCGTTTATCAAGAATCGCTCAGCGATTGTGGATCCCATAGCGGGGTTATAGTCCATAGGAAGTCGTGGTACCTCCTGAGCAAATGGTGCGGTGATAGAACTCGAGAGTGCAGACTTGACAGGGTTTGAGTCATACAGTTTGGTAGGGCCAGTTCCGTTCTCAGAACCACCTGCCGTCGTTGCAATGCTGGCGCTGGAGCCAGTATCCGTGCTGATAGCGCCCAGCGATGATGTCGACGCGGTGGTTGCGAGTGAAGAGGCTGAGTGAGAAGAGGTTGTGGAGGGTGTTGCATTGATGGGCGACATAGGTTGAGTAGAAGAACCGATGGGATAAGAGACTGTCTTCTGCGGGAGTGAAACAGCAATGGTGACGGAATCGGCGATATTCGCAGGAAGGGTGTTGCTGCTCACAAACTGCTGAAATTGGGCGAGATCTTGGGGTACCATTGTAGGCGCAGGCTTAAACTTGGCCGTTGCAGGCGAAATTCTCACTGAGAAGGAAGATGAATATATGCACGAAACGATTTCTAGGTGAACTTACTGGGGCGAGAAAGACAATAGAGACCGTGCATTTCAATTAATGCACGTTGCTGGTCCGATTCGTCAGTGAACCTACAAGACTGATGAATGGAAGAAGGATAGAGGATAACCAATTTCCTTACCGGACGAAGCCATAGCCTCTAGAGACACCTGTGACAGGATCAAGCATGATCTTTGCACTCTTGCAGCTCAGGAATGGACGTATGAACTTGGGTTCGCGATCGTTGCGGAGACCAAGAACTGGATTACGGAAAACAGCGACAAGATCAGAGTTAGACGTCTCCGGTGCGAGGTCGCCAACGAATATGCTATATTCCTTGGGATAAGGCTGGGGTGCCAAAGACGTCGCCGGCGGTCCGAAGGTTGTTGTTGGTACAGTCGTTGACGTTGTTGAAGGCACCAGCGACGCCCAACCCATGGAAAACGGCTTCGTCGAATTGGGCATTGTGATAGGCGGACTCCCAGAGAGGCCGGCAAGGACAGAAGCGGCGTGAGTTTGGGATGGAAAGGTAAGAAAGCAGTATCCAGGATTATTGGCAATCTGACCGGTGGTGGTATCCGGATCGCCAGGGGGAATTTTTAGGGAGATGGGGTCCCAACCCATTAGTCCACAAACTTGTTTAGCGTATTCTTCGTCCATCCACGGCTCAAGGTTACCCCAAAAAAGAGTAGAGCGGGTTATCGCTGAGTGAGGACTATTACTAGGAGACGGCGAATGCCCGGCGTGTCGCTGATGGAGGTAAGAAGGAGAGTTGGGAGAAGACGTCACGTTTAAACCAGTCAAGGTCGCGCTGCCGCCGGGATTGTGTCTGTTTGGCACTTCGAAGCCTTCGTAGATCGAGAAGCTCGCCGATCCACGCCGATCCACTGGCAGAAATGTGCTTCTCTGAGACTCCATTCCTTCGGCTCCGCTGCGCAAATATCCAAAGCCAGGAGGTTGATTATACTCGACCGAGTCGCGGGACATCATAGAAATAATGAAGGGGATGCAGAGATTAGAAGAAAACAAGGACAGAGCGATGAGGATAATATAGACTTTTTTATGCGATAATAGTTTTCGGCAGAGATGTTGGATAACGACAATGCGGGGCAGGACTGAGAGCAAATAGAAGCAAGCAGAGATGTATGCAGACAACGACGACGAGGATTAACAAATAAGAAGAGGACAAATCGCGAGGAAAAATGTTGATATCAGGGTGTAGCACGTACGATGTCCGACTAAAACGTTTATGCAGTTATTGATCCCTTTCTTCTACTGAGATGAGGAGAAGAAGGAGGTCTTGAATGTCGAAAGAAGGCCAAAAAGAACAGTAAGTAGCAACGTATCCTTACGTTGCTAGCTGTTTGCTGTTGGAAAGGGGGAAAAGGAAAAGGAGCCTCAGGAGTCAAGTCACAAGTATAAGCAGATCCGGAGCATGTTTCAAATTCTCGGACGGAACGTCGGCCTTATAAGTTTTCGAGGTGACGTTTCCAAACCCCGAAATTCCAATTTGATCGATATCTTATACAGAGGCGTAGAAACTGCAGCACAGGGCGCACAGCACCCAGCCCTTGTTAAAGTCTCCGAAAGAACAATAAAACTCACTTTCCACTCCAGTGACTGTCTATATAACTCAAGGTAGAGATATTGAATGCGCAACCAATCTTCACAACTACTTTACTGACATACCCATATTAGCTAAGCACTTTTCCTTTAAAGTCGAACAATGGATATCAGGACTTTCAGGGTTGATGGCAAGGACATGGGGCCCTGGGAGAGCACGGCAGGACGAGGCGGGACTGTAGAGTAGTGTAAAATCTGCTTGCGGTACTTTGTCGAAACTACCAGTATCAGTGGTATTTGACGGTATCTCAGTTTCAAGTCAGTCCAAATCCTAGAATCTCGTCGACTCAATAAGCAAAAGATCATTCATAATGTCGAGGATCATTGATTGATGACTGATGTGGCTGTGCCAAAGTCAATCGTTCTTGCTTGATCCATAAACACTGCATAAACATTAGAGTCAAACTCAAGGCAGGAGTATGTACTACATATATGCCCTTTAATCTTGAAGCCTGGCTAGCAAAGAGTTATGATCATGATCTTGGCGGAGTTGCTGGAAACATATTACCCTATCATCGCGGAAAGTGACTCTGGCAGACTACGCGAGGTTGGCTAGTGCGTTGCTTTGGCTAACAAACACCTCTTCAACGGGTTACCTAGCTGTCACTATAAGGAAATAAAGTAACAGAAAGTAGATATATATGTACACAATTGATTGGCACTTTATCCAACCACGCTCGATTAGGAGCACAATGCAGACTCTGAGGCAGAATGCGAATGTGAAGCACCTAGTAGAAATAGGTCACAGCTCCAGACGGGGTTGCCTATCCTCAAATAGAACAAGACATCATTAATTTATGAGTGAGGATCGCCAGACGGAAATCGCCGGAACATCCGGGAGCACCGCTCAATAACTTCATTCATCTCACTAGAGCACTCTTTCCAATGTGATTTTCAATTAAATTGTTCATAGCAGAGTCAGCGAAGATAACATACTCGAGTAGATCAATGTTTATATGATCGATACTTCACCAGAGTTCATGTGATACAGCGGGTGCTCTCCATGCTTGTATAATTCAAGTAAAATTTCACTATGTATCCGATGCGCCATGTTATATCTTATTATTATCGCTTACATTCCAGATTCCGAATTCATCTCGAGTCATACTTTTGTAGCAATGATTTCTCGAAAAAAAAAACAATATACGCTAGTACTCGAAATACTCACCTCCTGAGTCCAACTGAGTCCTCATTATACGTATTTCCCAGACATACAGCTAGACGTACAGCAAACTGGTTCGCAACCAGCGGCAAACACAATCGAATGACTCCTCAAATTAATGGCGCAACTTGAATTGTCCTGCTGTTTCTGCTTTTAGGGACTAGTGATAAAGTGAGGCGTATATTGTCCGGATCCCACATTGGGAAACAATGAGAGGGTTTGCTCATTGTTTTTGCTCCAGCAAAACTTAGCAGGTCAAGTCCCGACTTGTGGTACACTCTGGCGTATCAGGACCTCGTCCGCCGACTGGCACTGGATAGATGGATAGGAAGATTGTCTCGCACTTATGATTATGGTTTGACATGTTCGTTGACGCGATGAGTGTTTAACCACCTCCAGATATTCAGTTCCACCCCGGTATTATTGATCTCTAGTAGTAGTGGGTCTCCCAGAGCGCTCAATCTAAGAGACCCCAATATAGACGCTCATAATTTTTTGATCATGTAGGCGCCCGCGATGTCTTCCTCAACCTTGATAAATGGTTTTACTGTGATCCCCATATCCTATTCCAGCTCATCTATACATTACATATACGCCAGAGCTCATGTATCCAACAAAAAAGCCCCAAACTCGTGGCCTTCAGGCCGAACACTGTTCCTCGTTAATGCACCGCCAGATGCCACAGAACGGGATCTCATCTTACTATTAAAACCCTATGGAACCGTGGAAAAAGTAATTTTTGACTCTGACAGTGCTGTGGAGGATGCAGACGAGGAAGATAGTGATTCAGAAGATGGAGAGGAGGAAGGAGGAGTACATAATCACGGAGATGAGGAAAGTCAGCCTCGAAAACGCCAGAAACTCACGATGAAAAAGGTTGAACCCCCCAAAGTACTCCCATTACCTTCAATGCCTCTACGGAAATTGCGGAAGACCGGTCAAACGGCGCATGTCGTCTTTCTCGATACATCCTCTCTTGATCGATTTTTCTCTGCCTCACATACAAAACCTCGGTCGTGGCCCAACTCATCAGAGGAACCATCTGGACTATCACACTATCTCGCGCTGTCTGATTCACTGCGACCGCCTCTCGATGCTGTCCGCCAACACGCGAATTCAGCGATGGACTTGTACGAATTCGAACTTGCGAAGTCGAAGCGACAGTCGAAATACAAGAAGGGAGAGGCGATCGTGGACGAGGATGGATTCACGTTGGTGACTAGAGGAGGGGCATATGGGCAGACAGTTGGAGGTGGTGTCGCTGTCGCAACGAAGAAATTCCAGGAGACAGGAGAGACTAGTGAAAGGACTAAGAAGCACTCGAAGGAGAAGACTTCGTTCTACGCTTTCCAAAAAGCGGAGAAACAACGGAATGGTATGTGAATCCTTATACAAGCAAGTTCGACTAATTCAACGTCCCCTAGAACTCTTGCAACTGAAGAAGAACTGGGAATTGGATAAGGCTAAGGTAGAGAAGTTGAAGGCATCTCGTAGATTTAACCCATACTGAGTTCATTATTATGGTTTACGAGATCAATCCTTCACAATTGTATGTCTTCAGAGGTAGAATCACACATGCAAGCTTTCTAACCAGATCATTGAGTTAAAACGACTACAATATCACTGCATATCTTTTTTCTATCGGAGCAGAAACAGCCGTTCATCTATGGGTATGGTGCGGGGAAGCATAAAAAACTGAACAGAACTACTATCATAATCAAGCTGCTGCACTGATAGTAACAGGCGTCTCGATCCTGAAGGGTCCAGCGATTGACTGTAGACGCTTGACCTCAGCAGTCTGGCGAAGCATCTGAACTGGGGTCCAGTAGTCCAATGTCGTCCAGAGGAAGATGCGACTATATTGCAAACCAGTCTTTTCGTAATCCGCTGTGGAAGGAGGTAAGAAAGAGAAGAGTGAAAAAAATCCTACACATACCATATAGAGCAGACCTCATGTCGAGCCAAGTTCTGGTGACGTCGGTCAGTATACAATCCACTCCCCAACGAACGGCCTGAAAGAATTTTCTCGGTAAAACTTCAACAAGGTACAAAGTGGAAATGAATACCTCCATCATATGTTCAGGCTTATTCACTGTCCAAACCATCAACTTCTTTCCTGCATCTTGGCACTCTTTTCTGAACCTAAAAGGATAAATGAGGTTGTATCGCAAGGAAATGTCAACGCAGCGAGGCGCTTACTTTTCCCCATCAGACGTCGCCAACACAGCAAACGACATCGAGAAAAAGTCACAGTGGTTCCAAAAATATGTTCGCGCTACAGAAGGACTACTGCCAATGAAGGACCTCGTTAAATATGGAAGAGTCTCTTTTGCGGCAACAATAAAACTGGGGTGCCAAAGACCGAGCACCAGTCGCGATGCTAACTTCGTCTCCCAGTCGGGTTGCGCCGAGATAATATTGTGCATGAGGCTAAACAGTCTTCGAGGGTTGTTTTGGGGCTTCACGTCAACGTTAAATTTTACATGTTGGTTCTCGGGCTAAGGACGGGTTTGGATGTTGAGATAGAGGTAAAGAAAGCATATAACAGATCAGCTCCCCTGAGCGATAAGAGAAGAAACTTGCCTTCATGAGCAATGTAATCGTCTCGGCGAATGTAGGAATAGCTTGTCTAGGTTCCTTAACAGTTCGAACGTGCTCCATACCGTTTTCGCCATACCACGTTCGATCTTTGATAGCACCTGAATCGAGGAAAGGGGGAGGAATTGAATTGATATTCCCAGCGTGCGAGTGAAAATAAACCACGCAGGCATCCGCATACCAGTTGAATTTGTTGTCCTGGACAGATCTACGGGAGCATCAAAAACCGGGGTTAAGTTACTGACGATAAGGAAAAAAAAACATACCGGGATCATGGAACATGATAACCACATCGTCTGATGATACGTGTACGTCTGCTAGCAATGTTATGGAATGCAAACGGCAGAACGCCAACGCTATCAAATACCGCTCTCGATGCCTTCAGCGCCATCTCGGATGGCGGCTTCGAAGCTTGCGAGCGTGTTTTCGGGAAATGCAGCAGATGCCTGTGTCCAGGTATTCGTCACTCAAAGCTATGGAAGCTGTAAAGTAAACTTACACCGCGATGGCCCCAACAATCTGTTGAAAAATTTGTCAAAACTGTTCATGAGTCGTATTCACAGGACAACATACCAGGCAAGACTCTTTCTGAGGGCAAATGCATGGTGTTGAAGGAGCGACTGAGCGAGAAACAGGCAATTCGGGGAGATGGTTGTGGAACGTTTGTGGAGGGAAGAAGAAAAAAACCCCGATTTCTAATTTTTCCAGCCCTTATATATATAGGTAAAATTACCGATTTGACTGGAACTCGACCGTCGTGGACAGCCGGAAGTCGGAGTCTGTACCAATTCTTCATGTGATGAATGTCTTTACTTCGATGAAAGTTTAAAAGGGTAACGTTCTAATACTTGGTATATATACAGTGACATTGCCGCACTTGTTGACCATAATGGGTCTAAGACGCCCACTACTAAATGTCAAGCGCCCATTAAACGAACACGTAAAAGACCATATGCATTCTAAAGCATGGCTACGTTGGTCTTCCTACAAGAATCATCCCTTCGTCTTCTTCCGTTTCTGTGCCATTCTCGCTGGGTTCCGATCTTTGTTCTCTATGATTCGAGTCAGAGGACGCAATAGACACCACTGAACTCGTTCTGGCTTCCAACACCTGTTCCGGATTGACATCAGGAGGCGAAAAGGCACCCTCTTCTTTGGTATTGGAGGGTGACGAAACCAAGGCAGGGTCGCTTGAAGTCGTTGGTGGTGGTAGGTCTCGTGGCTCTTCAGCAGGTGCTGGCTCAACTTTGACGGAAATGTCGCGTAAAGCATCGAGCATCTGATCACGGACTCTTTCGGCGAGCTCAGGGACATCGTTGGCGGTAAGGCCTTCTGTTGGGATTGGAGGAAGCACTATAGAGAGCAGAGTCCGAATGGACATGTAGTCAGACGGGGATCATGACAAGAATACAAGAAACGCACCACGGATCTTGACGACACCAGTTCCGAAGAAACCCTCCTGATAAATACGCCAGTAGTTTTCTGTAATTATAGGCACGACGGGAATGCCGGACTGAAGAGCCAGATGAAAGGCTCCCTTTTTGAAAGGTAGCAAATCTGGCTCTTTCGACATATGTCGAGTACCTTCTGGATACATCCATAATGAGATTTTGCGATTCTTCATTAGTTGTCCCGCAGCTTCTAGTGAGCGTACTGCCCGGGCGTTATTCCCTCGGTCGATAAAGACAGCACCAGACATAATCATGAACGGACCGAGTGGCGTGTACTGTAATGACTTTTTGGCCATGATGGAAGTTCTCTTGGGCATCAACCTAAGCAATCAATCAGCTACAGTAAAAATCCATACCATATACGTCCGAGCTCACCTGCCCACGAACAATATATCGAGCATGCTCTGGTGATTGCTGAGAAGTACTGCTGGCTTTGTCAATAAGTGCTCCTCCCCTTCTACCTCTACCTTGATGTTCAGGACAGTGCCAGCCAATGCGTAGAAGGTCCTGGCAATGACCCAATTAACATCGTATCGATATCCGGTCGCCGACATCGTGGCTGCGACTACAATGCCGAACGTCGCAACAGCTGTCATACAGCCCAAGTAAAGCCCACGTCGAAAGTAGTAAAGTCCCATAGGTGATGATGATATGGCGGTTCGTGCAAGAATGACAGGAAGGGAAATGTAAGCGATTGGCTTGAAGATAGAAAGCAAGAAGGACATCGTTGTTGTAGCGAGCAGTATATACTGTATAGGTTAGGATATAATGTTGCTTTTGACACGCCCAGCAGCGTGGCCAACGGAGACTCTTTCGAGTGCTCAGAGAAAGGCGGAAGGCGGAGGTAATTTGGGGTTACAAAGGGTTCGGACCAGGTTCGGACTTTGAATCGATTTCATTGCGGCCCTCTCGGCCGGTTGCTTTCTTGGGAATTCACCTCAGCCAGTCAGGCCAGTCCTCAACTAACAATGTCCGCAGATTTATCCTCAGCTCCTGGTACTCTTCTCCAATGCAGCGTATGGCTTGCCTGGCTAAAACAATGTTAGGCAGCTCTCATGGCACGGAGAGCTTGGCTCGTGTTTTACCTGGTGCTGCAGAAATTCCCAAAGTTACTTTGGTCTCGAGAACGCAAGTTTCTTTGAATGTCAAGAAGGACACAGAGAACCGGGACCCTCAGCTGACCGCTACAACGGTGAATACAATTATTGTCATATCTTCATTCGCAATCTCACCTTTATCCAGACTTCAATCCCGTCTTCCGACGATGCAAAACCTAACACAACGTCAGATTCTTTGCAAGTTGCAGCTCAGCAGTATCCATGGATGTATATGGCATCCACGCTGGATGCATGCTTCGAAGATGCGGAAGAGGTGGCGGAGGTACCTTTACAATTCCTCGGTTGCAATCTGTTCTGAATGCCTTGTTGCAGAAAAATATCCAAACTCGTTCGGAGGAACTAGATAAACAAGAAGCCAGCTCATCAGACCAACAAACTCGGACTGAGGCGGAACGGCTGATAGAGTTTTATGGTGAACTTTCCTCGGACAAGGTCAGTCAAATTATCCTCCTCCGCACACCAATTCACAAAGCTCGCACTTCACAGTTCGCCAAAGATGCCCCCAAAATTATGCAAAACTTTCTGTCACACGGAGATGCTTGCACTGAAATAGAGACGGAAGCTCTGCGTATTGCATCGCAAGACTTGAATAATATCGACTTTGACACCGTGGATATAATGGGTCCGCTGCGGGAGTATAATGATGTCCTCGATAGACTGGGTAAGTCTGCTCATACGTTTCATCTCATTTTCCCTCCCAATCCCCACTTCATACGTGTCCATCTGTCCATCTGTCTCGTTCACTTATACTTTGCTTTCTTGGTAGGGACACTACAGATGGAGGCTTTTGAACTCGAATCAGCCATGCTACGACTGACCGTTTCCACCACAACAACCACCGAATTTTCTTCAGCAGACCAGACCAAAACCACAACTAATACAACTATCAATCCTCCGTCTGAAGATTCAGCACCTCCGGAATCGGAACTATCTTCTGCGGATGCCGAGAACACCTCTAACGTATCTAGTACCACGCAATCCGCGGCTGCTCGATCCCAGATCGCACCCATATTCGCAGCATGTCTACCTATCATCCATGCCCGTGGTCGAAATATCGTGATGGCCCAGCAATTAGTGGAGGGGGCAAAGCAAAATTTGTCAATGACGGTTCATTTGCAAAGTTTGGGCTTTGGGGAGGATGATAATGATCGTGATGATGATGATGATAAGGAGGAGGAGTGAGAAACTTTTTTCTTTTTTTGGTTTTGACCAGTATACCCCCCTCATTGTATACCCAGTAACATATTTTGAGGCGGTCAAATTTTGTTCTTGAAACATTTTTTTGGGATCAGCAAATACTCGCTTTGACCTTATTACATAAATACTGAAATACAAGTACGACCCAGGACCAGGTTCAAATCATTACCATTATCACATATGTCTTTTTCCATGACCCATTCCGTGGTTCTACCTTATCCCATCGACCACGTTTTTCATGCCCTTTCTGACGCAGATCAAATGGAACGTCTACAAAAGCTCACTCCAGAGGCGCAAAAATTTTCTCTTCTTCCACCCGACATTGTGTCTTTACCCCATTGTGCTCTTTCTTCCTTGACTCACGCCGATACAATGCCAGAAGGCTGCCCCAGGGTACGCGACCTCCCGCCATCGTCACTGGACCAGCCTGCCGATTCAGAAATGCGAACATTTCAGAGGACACAATTCGAGTTTTCTGGAACCGTTTCAATCCTGTTCGGACTATTCAATCGAGCTCTGTCCGTATCCGGTGCTCAAATTATTGACGAAGAAGCCAAGGTGGTGTTATTTGAAAGCGGAGTTGTGGCTCAAGGAATAAAGGAAGTGAAGCTAAGGACATTCCGTCCAATTCTTCTGCCTGATGATTCGAATGGTGAGGAACCGAGGAAATCGGGTACGGAAGTCAAGGAAACAGTTTGGGGTACAAGTCCTTTCGGTTTATCTCTCTTGCTCAAGTTTCTCGCTCCGTGGATACATAGGCATCATATGGAGCTATACAGTAAATTGTTCGAATCTACTTGAAATCGTGCATATGTGTATACTCCTTGTGCATGGATCGGATGCTGAAATACTCCTATAGGACTTTTGAGTACGTAGATAGCTTTTGCCGTACAACGAAAATGGACTACCCGCAACAAAATATACCTATCGGTCTAAATCCAAATAAACCTGTAATCTGTGCACTCTAGTAGCAATTCTAATCGGTCGACCAAGATGATGTGCCCGCGTTCTTCTTACTCGAGTCTCATGTGTATTGTGAACCAGAAAAAACCGATTGTAACACTATTTAACTGCACCTTTCAAATTGTAAACCTCAGGCTGAAGGTCTCTGAAGGTTCAGCTAACAGACTAAATTTAGTCGAAAACCCATGCTTTTGCTAGAAGAGAAATATAAGTTTATAAAAAGTAAATGCGCAATATATGTACCAACCCTTACTTCAATACGAACATTCTATCATCCAGCAAACGCAAGTCGTACTGATGTAGTCTGACTTCAGCAGCCGTTGAACGAGCGCTGAGCCCGGCGACACGACAGCTCCTTACTATCGTCTTAGTGCTTTGAGTGATGGCGGAGGGGGCTGCTTGATCCGAGCATTGGAAAACATATAGAAGATGAGCTGCTCATTCGTTTGCTGTGTTATATTATACATCCATGGGCCAAGGGTCTCAAGGAGGACCCTTGCCTTCTCAAAATCGAGTCAAAACTTCCCGTATATATTCAACGCCGAGAGACAAAAGCAGCCTAAAACGTGGATCCTTCAGGAGGCTGAGGAAGCTTCCTGTTGTTAAACGAGGCCATTTCCCTGTAATGATGAAATTATTCCATCATGCGATCTTACTGTTTGACGAAAAGATACTCACCTCCGCATCTCGACTAAGAGTGTTTCAAGAGTCTTGTCTCTATTCCATTCGCGGAGCACGGGGAGTTTAGAGGGATCGACTTGGCCATTCGTCTGAAGGATTTAATCAATGTAGCAGCGTTAAAATCCACGTCATCTATCCATCCACATACCTGATCGACAAATGGTAGGTTTACTTTGCTAATGAACTGTACCACTGGCGGGGCATCGGGGTACTGTGGGCCGCAGGAAATCTTGAGGGAGTAAATTCGATTTTCGTGTACGGTCTATAGATAGAAAATGAGCGCATAATTCGATGTGTACGATCCAAACAGGAACGACACAATGATAACGATAGAAGCGAAAGAAATAACGTCGCTTACATGTCCCGGCCCTATAATCGTCCCCGTCCAATTCGTCATCATCAGATCGTCGGAATCCTCCAATCCGTACGAGCATGATCCATCGCCGATTCCTTTTTCTCCCCTCTCGAGTTCTTCTAACAGACGGAAATTTCTTGGAACTGTATCATCGAGTCATAAGGTGCAACGAAGGTGGCGCAAGTCGATGCAGCGAGTTGAAAGATATCATGAAAGGATGTGCAAGTGATGAAGAGCGCCATGAGCATATAGGTTTTCAATCAATCTCAATCAGTCAACGTTTCGAAAAGAGTTGAGTTGAAGTGGTCGAAGAATGCTCAGTGGCGATATCCGAGTCCAAAATCATTTCATGAAGAAGATCTACTAACCTTTGGCCATATTTTCCTTGGATTATAATTCTGATAACTCTGGGACTTGGTAATCCTATCTGTAATCTAACTTCTTCAATGTCGTTTGCTGAATCTACGGCGAATCTGTTGAGAATCAGATCAAACCCAAGTTCAAGACTGATTCACTCACTACCAGTTCCGTATATCAATAAAAGTAGATAAACGCAAGAATAGATTCTCGAAACAGGCCCCAAACGGACGATGGAAATTCGAAGAATAGATGTAGAGAAACGGCAGTTGCCAAAGCTGTCGCGTGAGTGCTATGCGAGACTTGATCTTATCTAATCCTAATCGCAAAATCTAACAAAAACCTTTCAAGTTGTCTCAATTGTTCCACACGTTGCACGTTGGGCAGACTCATAAATTCTGGGTCTATGTGCGATGTAAACAGGGCAGAATCCGGAGCATCTGTGAACAATGCCTACCGAATCTTTGGATGTCGCTTGCCGTTCGTTGTTGTGTTGCTATAGCTACAGTCTGTGCGCCTTATTTCAAGTTCATCCACGATACCTCCTCCGCCTAATCTGATGCTCAACGCTGCGTCGACTTCTCTAGTTTGGAACAAAAGAGATGCAGTAATATGCAGTCGTTATGTAGCCTCGGCCAATGACTTGGAAACAGTGATCTGACTGATGACGTTCTTCAACAAGTTGGTTTACATTCACCTTCTTGGTGGCTAGGATTCATCAGAAACGAAATGACAAGAAAACAATATACACATAAATATGGCTCTCGATGGCACGGTTGACTGTTGGCGGTGTAGCTTTGATGGTTGATTTTATGGTGAAAAACAAAGTCCAAGTACTCCAATCTGATGAACTTAAACGTTAACGAAAGTAGAAGGTGAAATCAAACTGAGCATTCCTAGTTCTATCTAGTATCTCACTCACTTTTCCTAGTATGTTTTGTCTGGCCCGCAGGCAGAGCACTGATTGATTCTGACCGATGCACACAGGCAGTGGGACTTGGACGGAGCTGTGCTATATCTATCATATTCTAGACCAAGCCCGTTTTATATGCGCCAACACAGATGGCATCTACCCGAACATAGGAGCAAAAGGAATCAAACCTAACGGCTAGTGACTGATTGATTGTTTTTTGAGTATCAAGTTGAAGTATCACATCGTTTGCTCCAAATTTCCGTCAATCCTACTCTTCCAGGTCAACGGTTTGGACTTCCCCATTTTTCCCTCGATGGTTCTTTTCTTCCTCCTTCTCGGGGTGGCTCTATTGGTAAATGCAGACGGGGATGTTGCGTGCTCGGGAACTGGCCTTGACTGGTACATCGATATGGTCGGAGAGAGTCCCTGTAAGTCCCGTATAATTTTGTCTATCTCTGCGGATGAGAGTATGAAACCTGCTCGCAGGTACGACGTACGAAAGGCTTCGTCAAATATGCAACCCCTCGTGTAAGCTCGAATCCTTCAAGTTCTTACTTCTGTGGCCAAGTTGCTCCGATACTTATCCACATAAATTTACTCAGTCCAAGTTGGTGTCATGAACGTCAATACTCCTCCAGATGCTTGTAATGAACAAGTCGGTTAGTCAAAGACTCTATTCTGAAAAAAATGTTTACCTCACTAAATCTAATACCATCGCAAAGCGGACTGTTGCTGTAATTCGGTAGCTTTCACCCTGAGCATGTTCTGCCTCAAGTTTGTGTATTTTCTCACAACCAATATATCTCTTGACTAAGATTTGCCACTTTCAGTTGTCAACAAGGTATTGGAACAAGCGGCAATGGGATTGACGCAGGTGATCCAAGATATTTTCTCTGCATCTTGTTTTTCTCTATCTGAATTTCGTCAAAAGGTCAAGGCGCCTACCAGCTCTACCTGCAGGGTTCTCGTCCGCCCGGACAATGGTGCAGCCCCGTCACGAACCAGAGGTGCATCTTTTTACACGAGAAATCACATGGCAGTGACCGAAGTAACCTTTGCCTAGTCTTCCAAATAACATTGATACTGCAGTGTGTGATCGCAACATAAAGATCATCGACGATATTCGTACTGGGCTCTTTTGGTCCGATGGGAGCTGGTACTTGCTTTCATCCTCCTGTCCTCTAGTTGTCGATTTTAATTAGTTTTGTTGCGAATTTAGGTTCTAGTGAGCCCTGTAGAAATACTCGATGGATGATCTCATACTACCCTTTCCACAGTGTCTGGTCATACGAGGCCATCAGTGAAGACGTCGGCGCAAACGACAACAACGCGTTTACGCATTGTGCATCTTCTACAAGTACAAGCGCAAGTACAAGTACAAGCAGCAGCACTCCCAACGTTATCGCCTCTTCTCAAACCACTTCAACTTCCCCTGATTCAACCTCTGGAAATACAGTTACGGTTGCAACTCAGACTCCTGATACAACTAAGCAACCTTCGCCGTCATCTTCATCAAATTCAGCCAGCTCTGCCACACCTGCCAGTGGGATATCCACCACAAGCTTTACTTCTATTTCTGGATCCACGATTATATTAGGATCCACTTTCACTGTGATCTATCCTTCTTCCATTTCGTATTCCGGAAGCTCGCCTATATCAACGTCGGCATCCGGTAATACTAGCAATACAGCTCCTGCCAGTGGGGGTACTAGTGGGTCTAGCCAGACCTTCTTGACACCATCCTCTCGTATGAGCAAAGGTATGATAGGTGGAATCACAGGCGCAGCTATCGGCGCCGTCTGTGCAGTGTTGGCGTTGTGGTTCCTCTGTCGTTCTTTGAGGAAACGCAAGGAAGCAGGAAAAACAGCAACGCACGACACTTCGCTGGTAAATGATGAACCTTTTACAGATCAACCGACTTCGTGGTATACAACAACAGGTATGCCATTTTCTCTTTGTATAGATGTTTTAGTGGTCTAATGCTAGATGTAGGTTCAAATACTGAAAGTTCGATGCCATTTATATCCCGTCCACGGAAACTCGAGTTTGAAGGCAGAAGCGATCCGAGCACTCAGTCGCAATTGATGTCAGTTCACTATAATGATCCGGAGACTGACGATCAGAACAATGGTAGCCAAGAACCATACTCAGATGTGATGAACTCAAATGTTTTGTTCCCAATGAGACACACAGACGCCGGCCCAGTACAAGTGACGGTGGAAAGAAGGATGTCGGGAAGCTTGCCGCCTGCATACGGCGAACAGATATCCTGATACATAATGGACATGTTCATGTTTTTCAAGGAACAACCTGCGTCTACCAGTTTTGATACATAATTTATAACAAAATAATCTCATATAGCCCACAGATCCTTTGGATTGAGCATTTCTCATTATCCGAGAACCCAAAATGCGACCACTTACACACTAGCAGTAGTTACATAGACTGGAGCTCTTTTAGCTCCCCGTGCCCTAGCATGCTACATACGCGGAATGAGAAAGTACAAAGAGCAAAAAACATAATGTATCTATTGAAGAGACTATTCCTTTCAATACATGCACAAAACTTTTAGAGCCTGGCCGCAGAGCCGAGCTCTGGATCTTTAGGCGCCATGACGTAAGTACTCGCGCTTGACCACGCTCGTCGCTCGACCACAAAATGAAAGCTTTCCAGCGAATTCCCTGTCATTTTTCTGTAGGAACGACTTGCTCTAGACCGGGGCTTGCTTCATTTCCTTCACTACTAATCTCAAGAACGAAAAAACAAACTTACACCAAATCTGTACATAAACACACCGTGACACCTCCTTCAACCCGGACCTTTCATTCGACTTCATCGTATTCCAATAATGGTCCAACAGCCAAAGCCCAACCATTCACAAACATCCTCGCCTCTGACGTTCCTCCTCCTGTCCAAGTCGCCTCTATATCACCAAGTGGAATCGAATTGACGGATGGATTGATTATCCCTGGAGCTTGTATTTTTTTGGAAGGAAAGGTCTTCCTGTGGGATCCTCCGAAAACATTTTGGGAAGGATGGAAGGAAGAGCATTTCGATGTCTTTGAGGTTGTCGTGCCGAAACCTGGTTAGTGAGAACAGTTTAATATCCGAATGCAAAGAAGGTCGATTCATTTCAACAATGACGCTAGAGATTCTATTGCTTGGGACTGGAAAGACGATATTTCAGCCGCCGCCGTATATCAGGGAGCATTTGAACAAGATGGGTATCCAGCTTGATGTTATGGATACTGTATGTATTCAATGGATTTTCCTCGACCCTCACATGTACTCATCCTCTCTCACAGAGGAACGCGTGCTCAACGTACAACTTGCTTTCAGAAGAAGGTAGAAGAGTAGCTGCTGCTCTGCTACCCCTTGCGCCTCTTGCGTGGCAGAAGAAGACTGAAGAGATTCCAAAGTCGAGTGCTATGTCGAATTGACCAGCGATTAGGATATATCAAGAGGCAACAAGATTAGTCCTGGTCTCAACACTACCGCTCTATCCAAAAGAAATCTTCTTCGTCATACTCAGTGCCTTTTTGTTTGCCCTTTTAACTGGCGGCTAATACCGAACTATGAATTGAAGTCTGGCGTTTCCCTCGTCGATATGTGGATCAGTAGCGATTACTTGGAGCAATTGTCTGGAGGGTTGAGGTTTGGTTGACTTGGTGGGACAGATAACCAGGTTGATTTAGTTTGAATGAGAAATTGCGAAGTGGATGGATAGACGGATACAAAAAATTTCTTTGGGTCTCACCGGTCCCGCTTACCTTTACGCTTAGTCTAGGTTCTGGAATTCTTATTTTTGGAGACCTGTTCTCGGTTGCATTGAAAGAAGCACTTTGAACCGCATACACTCGGCCCCGTCTGGCTCAGGAATATATCTGACCTCCTGTCGAGTGCATCGACACAGCCTACTATAAGGGCAATAATACATCAAATGTCTTATTGCAACGACGTCGCGGTTGCTTTACAAGGCGGAAGAGCAACGTGCATACTGATAAACAAGCCGCCATTATATTACAAGGTGCCTACTCATAAAATTTCTTTGAATTAGCCCTTCTATCTGATATCGTCGCAGATACAGTATTTGGATTTCGAAGGAAAGGAAGGAGATGATGCCAAGGCGTCGAGCCAAGATCTTGCATATGGACCAGGTTCACTGTAATGCCATCTTTCACATTCTCAACCGATACACTAGTGAAGTGAAACGTCGGAATCGGCACAAAGCGAAGAAGATCAAGCTGAGGTTTTGCGAAACTGATTATTGTCGTCGTGAGTCTTTTTCTTCGGACAATGGATGTATTCGTCCGTTTGGCACTCGGGTCAAGTATTGAGGGATCTTATACTACGCATATATCATCATGATTTGGCTGACACAGAACATGAAGAGGATACGTGCGGCTTCGCAATATTCGGTTCAAAATTCGAAGCACGCTGATGCGCATGCGCCAACATCGATGGTGATCATTCACCGGGTGACCACTGACAGGGCAAAAGCAGTCAAAGGCATTCGAAGTAACTGATCGATCCAGGTACAGCGTTGGATAAATAAATCGTATGCCTCAGAGTTTTAGTCTCTGGCACTCCCTCTCAAATTCAACGGTTGGAATTTCCGATTTTTCACCTTGAATGGTCTTGCTCTTCCTCCTTCTCTTGGTGGCTCTATTGGCAAAGGCGGATGGAGATGTTGCGTGCACAGGAACTGGGCTAAATTGGTACATCAACATGGTTGGAGAGAGTCCTTGTGAGTCCCGTTTGATTCATGAATTTCGTTTCTTAGAAAAAAAAATGTGAACTCTCCCCGCAGGTACGACGTACGAAAGACTTCGTCAAATATGCAACCCGTCATGTAAGCTCGAACCCGTCGGGATTTTGCTTCTCTGACACACACTTTCAGACCAAGTCGGTACCATGAACGTCAACACTCCTCCGGATGCTTGTGATGAGCAAGTTGGTAAGGCTAGGTCAAACCCTTATCTCTGTGTCCCGCTGACTCTGACCTCATCGAAAAAGCGGACTGCTGCTGCAATTCGGTTGCCTTCACCTTGAGCATGCTCTGCCTCAAGTTCGTGTATTCTCTTTTGATTGCCATGTCCAACTATATTCATGCCACCTTAGTTGCCAACAAGGAGGAAGCGGCAATGGAATTGACGCAGGTTAGTCAAGATATTTGTTTACATCTCGATGTTCTATGTTTGAATACTCGTTAAAAGGTAAAGGTGCCTACCAGCTCTACCTGCAGGGTTCTCGTTCGCCTGGACAATGGTGCAGCCCCGTCACGAACACGAGGTGCGTTTTTTCACAAAGGGAATTATCCAGTGTGACCAGACCAGAGTGGCGGCGGCTGAAGACCCTTTCCTAGTCTTCCAAATAACATCGATACTGCAGTGTGTGATCGCAACATAAAGATCATCGACGATATCCGTACTGGGCTCTTTTGGTCCGATGGGAGCTGGTACTTGCTTTTATCCTCCTGACCTCTTGTGTCGATTTTGATTAGTTTTGTTGCGAATTTAGGTTCTAGTGAGCCCTGTAGAAATACTCGATGGATGATCTCATACTACCCTTTCCACAGTGTCTGGTCATACGAGGCTATCAGTAAAGACGTAGGTGCAAACAACAACAACGCTTTCACGCACTGTCCTACTACGAGTATAAGCACAACTAGCACTTCCACCTCTTCTTCAGCCACGTCAACTTCGGTCTCCGGAAGTATAGCCACGGTAGCAGTTCAGGCTGTTGATACAACTGATATTCCTTTGTCTTCGAATTCAGCTAGTAGTTCAACCACACCCGCCAGTGTGACATCCAGTGCTGGATCTGCTTCTATTCCTGCCAGTGGTTCCACGATCATACTCGGGACAACTTTCTCCGTGATCCACCCTTCTTCTAATTCGTATTTCGGGAGCCCGCCTATGTCAACGTCGATATCCAGTGATGCTAACGGTACCACTCCTGGAAGCACTGAGGGGTCCAATCAGACCTTCTTGGCTCCATCTTCTCATACGAGTAAAGGTTTGATAAGTGGAATTGCGGGTGCAGCTATCGGCATCGTTTGTGCACTGTTGGCATTGTGGTTTTTCTGTCGCTCTTCGAGGAAACGCAAGGGTGCAAGCAGGACAGTAACACATACGCCGGCGAACGTTGAGCCTTTCGCCGATCGAGAGCCTTCATGGTATACAGCAGGTATTGTCGCTTCGTATCCATTGGGCGACTTGGCAATCTAATGCTGCATGCAGGTTCAAACTATGGAAAATCGACCCCCTTTATACCCCGGCCACGGAAATTGGAGCTTGAGAACAGAAGCAATTCGAGGATCCAGCTGGAATTGACATCGGCTTATTATAACGATCTGGAGACCGATGATCAACGCGATAGTAGCCATGGACTATACTCAGATGCGATGGCCTCAGATACGTTGTTCCCAGTGAGACACATTGACGCCGGGCCTGCGCGAGGGGTGGTGGAAAGAAGGATGTCGGGGAGCTTGCCCCCTGCATACGGCGAGCAGATACTTTGATTTGCAGATCTCTGTTCATGTTAGAAAGTAGTACGCTCTTGCTCTTCTTCTGGACTTCTTTTTTATACGGACACTGCACACCACTATGATATCACGACAAGATATAATTTTCACTCGAGATTGTTCAAAGTTTTCGGTATGCACTGCAAGCTTCTCAACGAATTTCCGCGATGAGCATACGAAGAAGCTCATCTTAGGATAAGATAAGGCCGGCGAATGAGAGACGCCTAGCGCGCATTAAGCGCTTAATCTCTTCTACTTCCGTCTCTCATCGCCTCACGTATAATACGCCATATCTTCGAAAATTCCCCCCCACCCTCCCTTCTGATTCAGTGTTTGGTCACTACACACCAAACGCTCCGGCTTGAACCACCGCATTCCGGGCATTTCCCACCCGTGCGGGGCCAAGCCCCAGCCAAACCTCGACTCAGAATTTCTAGGACAGGTGACTTACTTCATTACCAGAAGTAAGTCCGTATTAGTACAGTCTCGCAGCTACTTATCTTATCCCTGCCATCTGCTTGCTCTAGACCATGACTTGTTTCCTTTCCTTCGCATTCATATGTTGTGCCGAAACCTGGGTATCGCAAATTTAAATGCAACTACATAGATCCATATATAATGGCATCAACTTTAGAAATTCGAAAGTTCTGCTGCAAGGGATATTGGATGAGTACATAGAGTGTGTAGTATATGTAAAGCCCAGAGCTAGAACACGTACAATGTCTAGATATTCATCTCTATGGCGGCGGAAGTTAGATATAGTCCTTCCTGTGTGTTCAACGAACAACCTGCTCTCAGAAGAAGGTCGAAAGGCTCTTGCGCCTCTTGCGTGGAAGAAGAAGACTGGAGAGATCCCCAAGTCGAATGTTGAGTTGAATTTGATCAACGAGTAGAATTTCAAGAAGGAACGAGATGAATTAGTACTTGCTGTATATACGGCTTTACACGTTATTTCAGATTATCTTTTCCCTTACTGCAGCAATCGATACACCATTAGTCCTGCTGGAACCCTCCGCTCAATCACAAAGAATCCTCTTCGTCATACACGGTAGCCTTTCGTTTGCCCTTATTAACCGGCGGCGAAGATGGAACCGTAGATTGAGGCTCAACGTCTTCCTCATCGTCGATAGGAGGATCGAAAGCGACTATTTGGAGTGGTTGCCCTAGGGTTGAGTACGTTGAATTTTGAGTAAATTTGAGATACAGGTTGTCGATTTGGTTTGAATGACAAGTTGCGCGTGGATATGATCAAAGGGGAAGTAAAAAGGAATGTTATATTCAATTGGTTCATGTAGAAATAATATACGAAAGAAACTAGGAAAGATGTACAGTACATACCTTCCTCATCCTTAAACTGTAAGTACAGAACCTCCCAATTTGCCAGTTTGATCCCCTTAATTGTGGACTCTGGTTCGTCGAGAATGTCGTACTCCCTCTGAACATCAGCATTTCGATCTTTGCCTTTGATAACACGACACCGGCACAACTCGAAATCCCCCACCTCCTTAACTGGAGGTATGTCCTCTTCTTCGTTAAGCCCCGAGTTCAGCGCCGACAGTGTCTGCTCCTTGAGAAAACCGATGGTCGTTGAGGGTGGCACGGTGAAAAATAATGTTGTTTGATGCGTCCGAATCAGGATTTGGAAGATTTTCGGTTCAGACTTTTGAGGCTGGCCAGATAGATTAATTGTGTTTGTAGGAGAGACGTACCAGCTTATACTCACCAGGGGCATGCTATTAGACTTGAAGTGGCGACGTGAAGGTGGTCTTCAGAATAATAATGCCTCGGCGATCATTGGAAGATTGAACCCTAACCTGAACTACCCTTCTTCCCGTCATCACCCACTGTGTTGAGCTCCAACTCTGTAGAGACTCAACAGAGACAAGAACTTCTTGTGTATCCTTCTTGACGAAGAGAAGACCCCGGGACTTCTACATTCTCAACTATGTCCTCATACCAAGCTGGTTCAGTTGAAACCCGTCCGTACGTCGACCCGACACCTTTACCGGATGACATTCCCAAAGTACAAGAGCTTGGAGTGTCCAGTGGGCCGCTGAAAAGCGCGGCATTTTTCATTGGGGCTTATTGTAAAGAATATAATGGTGTGTTTATGTTGATGTTTTCTTGTTGCCTAAGAATGCTTAAAATGGGGCGGACCTGGCTATCTCGTTTATTTTCCGCGTGCATTTATTGGCGTTTCTGGTTATAGAGGACTTTATGCTTTGCAAAGCTGAAAGCCGGGATCCTGGTCATTGCTTGAAGGAAGGAAGGAGAGTAACACGGTGTGCAACGAATTTGTACGCTCTCATCCCTATGTTCCTTTTCTCTTCCTTCTTTCTCTGACTTGGGTGATGTGTGCGGTAACAGGATCACCAAGATGCGCGAGAACTGCTTGTCACAATTTCAAGAGCACTGGAACTGTTTGGAACGGAATAATCAGGTCTGTCGTTCAATCTCTGTTATTTTAAGGAAGCTAAGCTCGTCAATGCTAGGAATACTACCTCTGTCGGAAGCCAGAACGCTCATTAAATGCCTGCATGTTCGAGAAATTAGTGCGTATATTCCTGCATCCATTCCTTTTCTTCTTGATACGGACAATCCCTCTTGTTCTGAGAACTTACGCCAATACTTATCGGCGGTTTTTTGCTTGTGCTCTTGGCTATCACGGACTGACTCCTGCATATTGTAGGGCTTAACAAAAGTCATCCCGGGAACTCCTCAAGGCCAGAAACCGATACATGAAGTCGAGAACCCAATATTCAAGGCCATTCAGAAATGAGCACCTGTGCTCAGGGCGATGCGATGCGCTTGCGTGTGGAGCTGTCTTGGCCCACCGAGTTTCGATGTGCGCGGTCCAGGACAAGAGGAACATAAAGGGAGGACTGGCGAGTGACAGGGAGGAGAAACGAAGAAAGCAGGAAAGGAATCGTGCGATTCAGGATAGAAAGACGCAGGAGTCCAATATCATCTAAATCTACATTTCACTTGTGCTCATAAGGTTTACCACGAGAGCAACACTAATGTGTTCACGTAAAAGTGCTCAAACAACCCTATCTTGCTTCAATTGCAACTTGCCCATGCTAACGGACAGCTATCTACAGCTATCAGATTCTATCCCTTATGCTCGCGTTCTCTCCTCGACAAGTCTGGATAGACCTCCTTTGTCCACTTCTCTCCCGCAACACCTAGTGAGAACATGTTTGTTGATTCCGCCGCCCCTTCTTCCAAAAGCATCATGAGGGCATTGAGGTAGCCTGAATACGGTGCTTCATGGTCAATGTTTATTAGGTTCTTTAGAGCGCGAAAGTATAATCGTATTGTTGGAACAAGTTTCCTTTTCTCTCTTTGTTCCCAAAATGTAGCACGGCCGAGTTCATGCAAGTCCCCGGGCAGCGAGGATTCATCGTTATTGCCCAGGTTGAATTCTTTGGGTTGCTGCCGTGCATCAAGGCCAAAGCCTATGTCGCCGAAATACAGCCGTGCTTCTTTTCCTGTAGCGTCTTTCCCGTACCATACCTTGATGTCTACGGAAGGGAATTGAACTGAGAGAAACTGAATGAGTGTCATAACTAGATTTAGTACCATCACAATCTTACATTCGTGGTTCCGGGCCAACAGAGCAATAGCGGGGGGCGTCAAAGCTAACGGATTGGCGATTGCGGGGATGCCGAGGAGTTGAATGAGGAAGAGATAGATACATAGCAGGCGCGAAGAGAACGATGGTGCCATATTCGAGATCGAATCAAAACAGCTGCGAAGAGATTGTTAATGAAATTGCATTACACTACATTCAGCCCCAACAAAATTCGAGCCATACCTTTGCAAAGAGTAGGCAGTTGTACCGCTGGAGTTCTTTGAAGAGGTTGGACGAGTAATTTGGCCAGCAAATCTATCCTCGAATGGAGCAGGTCAAACCAGTTGATCACACACTGGAAAGAGAAAAAATTCCGCTCAACGGAATCGTAACAATTCAGCGTAACTGATATATCATGTGACTGCGGATAAACTATATCGGGTATATTGCCGGTCACATGATATATCAGTTGCACTGAATTTTGGTAATTCCGTCGAGCGGAATTTTTTCTCCTTCTGGTGTGTCAAGCCAGGTTGATTTACACTGAAGATACCCGCAACGGGCCGGAACACCTTAGTCGGAATTTTATGCTTTCTCCTCGACTACCATCAAGTACAAGATGCCGTCTTCACCCAACCTCATCCGGACGTTACATACATAATTTGGACACATGCCTTCGACGCCGCTCCATTCAACCACCAAAGCCAATAAGTCCTCAGCATTCAATATACCTCTCGAAATCCACTAACCCTTACTTCAATCTATCTCTCGAGGATTGGTTCGTGTTCGATACGCCTTTGTCTCTCGAGACTCAAAATTTTGACTGACATCCCCTTCTACTCTACCTTTGCCTTCCCAAATGATTGCCACCTCACAGGCTATTCAGACATAAAGCCCAAAACGAACCTTTGCTTCTACTATACCGCGATGATCCCTGTGTAGTCATTGGTCGGAACCAGAATCCTTGGAAGGAGGTCAATCTGCCGGCTTTGCGTGTTAGAGAAGGTGTACCTTTCATCCGGAGACGAAGTGGTGGTGGGACGGTGTATCATGTAAGTTGCCTTCGTGTTATATCCCATATTTTTGTCAAGCCTAGTACGACTAGTGCTGAATACCTTGTCGGATTTGTTCAATGTTCATTTCCGTTTCGTTGATTCTTACGATGTAGGATTTAGGGAACACCAATTTCTCCATTCATCTACCCCGAACCTCCTTTGACCGACACATGACGGCTCAAGTTGTCCTACGCGCCGTGTGTTCGTTAGGAATTGACGCGACGGTAAACGATAGGAATGATATCTGTGTCGGAAAGGAAAAGATAAGTCACGTTCCGTGTGTTCTATGAGGAACAAGTAAACTGATCTACTCTTTTTCCATTTTCCTTTTCCTATACTCGATTTCTCGTTTATCGTAATTTTCGCATATTACTTCAATGATTTATACTTTCCATGATATCCACGTCTCTGGGTCGGCGTACAAAATTGTGAGCCAGCGTGCGTACCATCATGGTACGATGCTCATCTCCACCCAATTAAACACTCTGGGTGATCTTTTGCACAATACAAAGGTGTATAGCGACATACATCTATAATACTTCTCTGAACAGAATCTCAAACTGTTTATAACTTGTAGGACACGATGGAAACCAAAGGCGTGGCATCCGTCCGCTCTCCTGTTCGGAATCTACAGCAGTTCAACAGAGGCGTTACCCACGAAGCGTTTGTGGATGCTGTCGTACACGAGTTTAGTAAGGAGTATGGAATTCGAAATGTGGATGGTGAGGTGAGCTTGAGCTTCTTCGTGGTATCGCCTCTACTTCTACTCCTTTACTGCCCAAACCATTTTACTTTCTGTTACGTTCGGAGACTATTGTGCTTACATATACCCCCTTTCGTTCTTCTATGTAGGTACAAATCGTGAGCGAGGCTAGCTGCAGAGATATCGAATATATTCAAAATGGGATGTCAGAACTTCCAGTGAGTTTTTTTACCTTCGAGGATCGAGGAATCAGTGCAGGGTCCATCCTTCGTTCCTTTTTTGTATTCGCTGTGGTTTGCTGAAAGGCTTTCGGTTCTGGTTAGAGTTGGGAGTGGGCGTACGGTCAAACACCAGAATTCACTTACACTGTCAGTCAAGCTTTTGAGTGGGGGACCGTCGTGAGTGCATCCTGTATCTTCCTGTCTTCAATCGCATCAACATTCGACGTTTCCAGACAGCCAAAATTCGATCCAAACATGGAATTATCCTAGATTGTGCTTGTTCACTCTCGGTCGCGGACGATTCGGTGTCCTCTATGCCCGCGATTCAACCGGGTGTGGTCGATTCGCTAAACCCTCAACTGAAGGATATTGAGCGGGCACTGCTAAACCGAAGATATGGATTCGTGTCTGCGATAGAGATCCTCAAGGGTTTAGGTATCAACGGTATGGATGACGAGACAGGAAGTGGGGTCAGAGCCGCGAAGGATATAGCGCTTTGGCTGGAAAGGATAATGAACAGCTAACTATTCTTAGTCTTGCCAATGTGTGGAAGGGAGATGCCTATCTACTTCTCCTCATCGGAATGAAGCGCTTTCTACAATCGTATGCAGGATATTGAGTAGTATGATATTAAAGACATTTCGAATGCAATAGAAGCCATTAGCAAGCGGTACATCGCTGAACTGGGATGGGAATGATTCTGGTCTCGGGTGCCCGCCTCCTGGAATGCTATGTGACGTACGCTTCGCAGTGCGTATTCTGTGTTATTAGGTGAGCGCGGCTTCGTTGAACACACTAGGACGAAAATCATGGTCAGTATGAGCTGCAGCTTGACTCGTCGCCAATGTGGCGAAATCATCTGTGTGAGTGCACCATTCGATTTATGTGCACGGCCAGTCTTGCATGAGTGTATGTATATATAACATTGAGATGTCAAATGTCGAAATACAGGCCTCGTGCGCAATGATATAAGTATATTATGCTGTCTTTTCCGTGTACCACACACTACTTGTTTCGAATCCAGGGGGTGGTGTAGGATCATCCTGAAGTGATATCAGTGAGCATGCACCGGAATTATGTCCAACAACCACGTACTCTTTGCCCTCGCTTATGGCCAGTTAATTGCTCGTCTCTCCTCATCATCATCTCGTCCCAATTATCTATGTTGTGACGGACCGGCTATATCAAGAAAGATATCCAAAAGCCCATGATGAAAAGATGCAACGGTAGAGGAAGTATCTACTCACTTTGCCCAAGTTCTGTGCTCTCGTGGAGACGTTCAGTAATGTACCAGAAACTCCAAACATAACTGTGACCAGGCCTACAAATGAGCGAAAGTCAGTACTGCGTACTCGAGTTACGGAATGCTTCAATTGTGCTACCGAAAGGAATGAGAGCTTCCCAAGGAACGGGCATGATGGCGGTCGAAATTGAAAAGAATATTTGCGAGTGTTTACACGCCGCTTTCCTTCCGAACATCATCATGAACGGATGTACCGCAATGGCCATAGACGAAAAGGTACGTTGGATTAAAATTGTACTACTAACATACTAATAAATGTCCCAGTCAGATTAACATTCGCGCTCAAAGAAGTAGAGAGCCAATGACAAAAAGGGACAACTCCCATAGATGAATCGACATCATTTCCTGGTACCATGCGGGTGGTCATTGAATGTAGACGCGGGCTGTGAAGCAAACAGCTGAGAATTGTCAAGCTCGCTGCCTTCGATCGGGGAATCGAAATGAGCGTGATAAGTCCGCTGGGGATTCGTTGGCACGCTGTGATCAGATGGGCCACTACTGTATTGGTATCCGGGATTCAGGCCATATGAGTGGATTGTCATATCGTAAGCCGGAGCACCTGACAGCGTTGTGCTCGGATCGGGTTCCCCAGTCATCTCTCCTTCCATTGCGGACATGGGATAAGGGTAAGATGAACTGCTCGCCGTTGTGAATTGATCGTCAAGCAGTGACCTATCCGAAGTGGGATGTTCAGTCCAGCTTGGTTGTTGCGAGGCCCCTTGAAACAGGTGGAGTCATAATTTTATTCCTTCGGAGGCGAAAACCAACTTACCGTGTTGCGGATGTCCAGTATCCGAGGGATATATCAAACCAGGGTTCATCGTCATCGTAGAGGTTGGAATATTTCCACCAAGGATGGCGGAGGGATGATAGTTGATATGACCGCTTTCCGCATTGCCCCCCGAAGCACTTTCTGGAGTCATTTGATTGAAGTGACCAGCATTGCCCCCCAAAGCACTTTCTGGAGTCATTTGATTGAAGTGACCAACATGACTACCGAATTCAAAATCAGGTTGGAGAGGCCTGAAATCCTCCAAGGGCGAAGGTTCTTGGCCAAAGTCATGAGATGTGTATCTCGAGGTGAGAGCGTTGGGCATGTATCTTCTGGTGTTGGGGAATGTGCTTCCCGAAATTCTGTCCATACTCTCCGTCTGCTCTGCGGCAGGATCGACTTTCCAAAGCAGAGACTCGCGGGAGGGTGCCTCGTAGTACCGCGTTTCCGTAGACTGGCCATAAGTAGGGACTGGATGAGAAGATAAGCTGCGAGCGTTTCTACGGGCAAGAGCGGACATTCTAGAGGCATAGGACTGAGCGCGAGAGCGGTGGTGCTGTAAGGGGCGTCCAGGAACTGGTGAAACCTGCTGTTTGCGCCTTATGTTAGTACTGAGGACCCCTTGAAGAGAATAGAAAGGCAAAATTCACCACTGGGTTCGAATCACTTCCTGAGTATCCCCCATTACTATCCGGATAGTAATAGCCACGCCCGGTTTGAGGAAATGCAACGTTTTTTTGAAACTTATTGGATAATATCTCGACCTCAAGTCTACAAGTGCATAATATTTGTAGCTCATAAGTATAGGCTTTCTCCCAGGCCCGTCACAAGACGAGCAGGCGAGGATTAAACGAGAGACATACGGGGACCAGTCGGGCTTGAGAGAAGAAGTTGAAGGAACAGTCTCGGAGGTAGGGGAGATTGAAGCAGTGCGTTCCATCTCAGATGGCAACGCGTCAGTCTCAGTGGAAGTAAGTTCGGTCTGCTGCGACGACACTGAAGGAGATGGAGACTCGAACCGAAGCTCTCCCTCTCGACCTTCAGAGGAACCAGTCGGCTCTGGAAGAATTTGCTTGGATAACATTCTCCAACCACCAAACTATAGGAATGATAGACTATGTCAATTGATCCGACATCGATAATCGACCCAACTAACCAACTTTTGATCAGGATATGTCACCACCTCTTTCACTTTCTTAGGAAGAGGCCGAGGACTTCCTTGAAAGTCATCCTTTCGTTTCGACCGGCGGCTCTTTTTTCCTACATCTCCCTCAGAGCTCTTTGACATGGGTAGAAAGAAGCAGAGGTAGCCTTAGTACGGTCGAGTGCCGACCTGCGTTGCATACTTATACTCGCACGAAATATCGTGTCGATGACATGCAGAAGTTCTACGGGCTGTTTCCAAAAACAGGCTATGCCTGGGACCCACGTTCGGACACGCTTAAAGCGCATTGTATGTTAATATACTTTACGGAATCTGGGGACTTTGTTGGTGAAAGACGAAAGATGTTTAGGAGAACGCGGACGAAAACTACACCGCTTAAGCGTGGCGTACCTACTTCTTATGGTACTGACACGTTGAAGGGCTCTACGCGTGTATTGAACAAGTCCATCTGATTAGAGAAAGAGTCGGGTGTCGGTCCATACTCACACTTTGAATTGAGGTCAATTGACACATCAATGGCATATCATTTGAAAGCCGCGGAAGCATTCGCTGGAAAACACAGGTTCTAACCTGCTCTTCCCCGAGTGCCCAGGGAGCAGGAACCAGTTGACAAGCTTATCCAAGCCTACAGCAGACCTATGAGAGTTTTTTTAGAGCTGTAAATTCTTGTGTGGCGCACCTGCTCCCAGCTCACTTGGACTTGAATGCCACTGTACATCCTAATGCTACACCAAGCTACCCTTTTGCTTGGTTTATATAGACCGGACATTATAGCCCACTTAAGTCAGTCGCTGTACCTCTCAGACCTCCCTCAATGAGCACGAAAAAAGTGCGCCACAGTTGCGCCACACAACGGCCATGATCATGATCGAAATGCTAATTTAGTAGTGCGGTGATTTACGGTGACCTACGGTGACCCGCGCATCCCGCGCAACACGTTGTTTGAACATGTCGTGAACTCCTCAACAAACGACGGATAAATTCTGAATGCTTATCATCGATGCATCATCGCTCATACATAAGTGTGGCGCAACGGAAAGAAAGCAATCAGCTGGCACGTGAATTGTTTAAAAACACTACCAAAAAACGGAAAGATAACATACGAGAATGTTTCTAAACAGATGCAATAAATGATATAGTCACAATGTGGATGCTGAAGTCTCTAAGTATTATGTGTGCATGGTAGATCTATAGCGAACATCGGGCAAGGAAGCAGTAAATTCGTAGCTGTGTATATTGCTTCCGATTTCATGCCGTCGTCAGACAGCGTCAGACCCGTTTCTTGGCCCGGGCCCTGGCTAAGCGCAGAGGATGGTCATTCGCCGATGCCTCGGTACCGGTGCCAGCCGTCGGTGCTAGCCCAACCGTAGACCTCGTCATTCTGATTGACGCCGATGCCCCTGCTAATTTATGAGAAACATCGAATTGTCTTCGAGTGGGAACAGAAGAAACCCGTGTTGAACTGGGTGTAGCAGACCTACCCTTGCCCTTAGAGCTGGAAGCAGGCCTCGTGGATCTATCATTATCCGAACTAGATGGACCATCTGTACCCTCCGAAGCCGAAGTCGACGCTCCTGAAAGTTGACGTCGGGTGCGAGTCGATAGAAATCCTTTCTTCCTTTTATCTGACGAAAAAGCATCAGATGGCTTTGGTATAGAACCTGTATGACTTCGTGAAGTGGGTTCAGATTCGGAGGTCGGCGGGCCCCCCTGACCAGGGCCAGAAGACAGAGAAACAACTTTCCGTCTCTTGCGAGGTCCTGCAACTGACCCTTCTGCAGGTTGTACTTCGTCTGCATTTTCCCCTGTAGGATTATTGGATTTTACATCGCCGAGTTGTGTTTCAACTGGAGACGCTGATGACGGAGATATAGGCTCGACATCAACGAGTACCCGTATGTCCTTTAAAGTCGTATCCGCGACAGCCTCGTGGACATCGGCATCATTTGATGGGGAAGGCGCACGAGACGATGACGATGATTCATTGGAAGACAATCGCTGCAAAGTGGAACCAGCGAATGTTAACGCGTTTGATCTTGTGTATCTCTGGGAATGCTCGGGAGGGAAGCTGCGACTATGGGACCTCTTCCTACCACGCCCAGTTGGTGAGATTGAGCGTATTGTGGTTGTCGCAGGGCCCGCACCTGGAGCACTTCCGAGAGAGGAGTCACTCATGCTATCGTCATTCTTGGTGCCGGATATGGGAATCAGGGAAGGTACGACTGAATGTGGATTTGGCAACGACATGAACGCACTGTCGTCGCCTGAGGATATAGACAAGGATCCTGAGTCAATCGAAGACGGCGAACTTCCTTGGCCCGATTTGGAAGTCGTGTCTAAAGGAGGTAAAAGAACGGATCCGGATAGATGTCTTCTTCCTTCTGTTTCTCGTTCTAGGTCAGCAAATACCGACCGCGCACTTGCGCGCAGCCGGATTGTCGACCTCGACATTGTAGCAGACGATGGCTGCAACGATAGAGGGACACGGGGAGTTTGAAGCGTTATGTTGAACGAATCTTCCTCTGAATCAGTACCCGCATCACCATCTGAGCTGTGTCGATGATTCCTCTCATCGTCATCCATCTCCATATCGTCTGTCTCTTCTGCGCTACTAGTTTCACCACTAGCTCTGCCATTGCTTTGAAAATCAGCTATCTCTATTATTTGATGATTTTCGGCCCCTCTATCACTTTCGTCGCTCAAGCCGTCATAATTTCCGAGGCCGGGGTGTAATGGCACACGGGGCGGCAAGAGCGACCTACGAAAACCCTGTTGATTTTCGCCATCGTCTTCTTCGTCTTCGTCTACAACAGGTGGAATCCAGATCGTGTGCGGACCTGCAGCAGAGCTTGCATCATATCCAACATGACCTTGAACAGGCAAACGTGATGACGTGACAAGTGGAGTAGGTGGATATGCGGAGGGTAGATTAGGGTATTGTCGCCATTCCATGTCTGCAGTTGGGTCTGCCAGGTGAAATGTGGAAACATGAACACTTGATTGCTGGAAATCGGAGGGCGGTATGTGTTGGTCTCCGGCTGCTGGATCTTCAGAGTATGGAGGGGGTATATCGTCTCCAAGACTTCTAGGTCCAAAAAACGACGGCAATAACGCAGCAACGGGTCGTAACGGGAAAGATATGATAGCGAAAAGAAGGTCGCCAATCAAACGGAACAGCTCAAGTGAATTGTCAATGGACTTTGTGTACGGTCGTAGCATAGGTCGCAAAAGATGAAGAAATATGGGTTCTGCGCCCTGACGTGAACATTAGCGGAGGACCGGAAAGAATAACCTTCTCACTTACTCTTGCTCTCGTGAATATGAGAAATAATATGACAAGAGACTTCAGCTCGTTATAAAAAGGTATGAAAAGCGAAATTATTGGCTCCACAAGTCGCTCGTATGTCGAGAAGCAGCACTAATTAGACAAAGTTAGTTCACGTTGAATGTTAATCAGTCGCGATCTACCCAAACAATCCAGACAGCCAAGCATCCCTTCAAATCGCGTTTCCTCTGAGTAACACTCCGTACAGTTGGTGGTTCTGCCTTTCCATTGCGAATTTTGTAGGGAGGTGGCTTGAGTGTTTTAAATGTGTCCCAAATATTCAAAAATAGCATAAACATGCGTAGGATTGGCACGATTAACGGCATGCTGAGTCGTTCAACGTTATAGGAACGTTAATGTTCGTTGTTTTCGATATTATGAGAGGTAGAAGAGCATAATTCGACCAGCCAGAGGTGGTACACGACCGAGAATCGAAATAGTTGAGGTCTGGTTGAGGTGTAAGCGGAGGAAGACACGCTGAGGTCGTGCGTGATCGAATTGGCCGGCGGCAAATATTCAATTATTGTCATCCGCAAACAGCCGGGAACTGGCCGGGAACGACTTTTTCTTTCATCCGCGAGCCTCGAAGCTGCAAGTTCTTGCATTCTACTCTATATAGAATCTCTTATCCCTATGACCATCAATCTCTTCCTCGAAGGCGCTAAAATTTGACTACAGATTGTATCGTGGCGCAAGTGCTGGTATACATTACAATAAGAGAGAAATATAAGAGTCGTTAGCCACTTACCCTCAGTGGGTCCATCTTTTCACAATAGTACGTATCGATCTTTTTGGAATAAACGTCCCATTTATTGTCCTTCCCATCAGGCTATAAAGTTGGCTCGTCCAACCATGGAACGGACACAATTTCTTCCACCTTGCTTCGAACTTTTTTTGCGCTGAGCGCCCTAACATTTATTCACTCCAGTCTTAAAGATCACACAAGCTTTGACAATGGACCAATACGTTCCACGAGACTTTGTCTCAGCTCCTGCACACACTGACTCAGCTCCCAGCACTCCTGATCGAAGTGCGGGCAAAATTCGCATTCCGCCGCTCAGTGTTATCCGCAAACCTAATACTTACACTCATCGCGAGATATTTGGTACCGATGATGAGTACGAGGATGATCGTCACCAAGACAACGACCCGCAGCGATTTCTCGATTCTTTGGACTTCGACCCCCATAACATGACCATTCCCTTCCCAAGTCCCAGGAAGATTGCGGGGTCAAAAAGAGTCGTTTCTGCGCAGAATGCTCAGAGGCTGAGAGAGCAAGCCGGGTGGAAGGCTGGTGAATTGAGTCGTGCTTCTGCTCCCACGCAAGAGGTTTTCCAGAGCATTACCGCTACCCCTAATTTAAGCGGAGGAAGCTTTGAGGAATTTCGCGCTGAATGCTATGCTCAGTCATATATTGCCACTGGTGGTCCTCCTCCTCCGTCTATCCCTCTTTCTGTCAACGCATTTGGCGTATACCAACCGGCGCAAAGCATTCCTCCTACCTTCCAGCCTTGTCTATTTGTTAATCAACCGCAGGAGACATGGAATACCAGCGATGTGGAGATGTCGGATGCTTGATGTTACCGTCTTACGCTAGTGACTTGGACATTTCTTCAGACTCCTCGGACCGTACATTCCTTCACGCATCCCAGAATCATGATTATTTTACAATCCTCTTACCCATTAGCATTGAATGATCTAGCTTCCGTCAGTCTACGTTGTGAACGATATCCATTTCTATTTATTCATGTCACCTACTCGAAGTATCTACATAGAAAATATAATGCATATGAACAACACTGTTGCGCCCAGACGAGTAAACGACAGTCAGGAAACCTATGTACTAGTTGAAACAAATGTAAATATTAAAGTACATGGCTATGGCGAAGTAGTCCTTCCATAAGAAGCAAATAAGTAAGAGGTATCCTGAAGTTTCGCCTCTGATATAGATCTCAGCATTTTATCAATCGAGTTGGTCCCCGTACGCAGGAGGTAACCTCCCGTCCAGCATTTCATCCGGGATACGCCCTCCATCCATATGCCTTTCCGGTATCGATGACATTATTGACAACTGTTCGCGTTCACTGTCCTCCGTGAACGCACCCAAGCTCTGATTATAACTATGACCACTGGGCGATAACATAGGCCTGGAGCTCATTGAGCCCATAGTTGTCGGTACAGGCGACGTTGGCTGATCCGCACTCGAATACAGTCGTGCACCCTTCTCTGTGGGCAACGAGCCTGTTAATATAGGCGAAGGCGAATCGAGTTGGGAGGGTGATTGCGGATAAAGTGGGCTCGGGGCCCCGTAAGCAGATATCAGGCCGTTTGGATAACCTGTGTAAGCTGAAGCGTAGGAAGGACCAGCAGCACCTGGAGGAGATGGAGAACTCATGACTGACGGTTCCCCTTGATAAACAGCTGGGTCGTGATATAATTTTGACGAGTTAGAGACTCCACCTGAAATATGAAAGGCAGAAAAAGTCAGCTCGGACAAAGCTGTTTCCGCAGGATCATTACCTCGTCTATTATGAGTTTCAGTTTCAGCTCCTTGAGGCGTGAATGGTTCGATTTTATTCTCGGGTTTCGTGGTTTTCGATCTTTCCTTGCGTTTCCACCAACAGAACCACACGATAAGAGCTGCTCCTACCACTCCAACGATAGTACCCACGACAACTCCACCAATTGCACCTCCGGTAAGATGTGATGAACTGGAGCTGATAGGGCTTGACGTCGCTGAGACAGAGACACTTGAGGCCGAAGAAGTATTATTCAATGTCGTTGAAGCGCAATGAGTGAAAGTGTTATTGTCATTTGATGCGATGGCTTTGTTGATGGTTTGTTGGGTGTATTGACTGCAGGTAAGAGTGCAACTTCAGCCCCGATTGCACTAGAATGGACTACGCTATCCAAAACTTACTAATACCTAGATTAATGAAGGATTAAAGATAGTCAATCACGATCGTGATGTAGTTTTGCTTACCACGAACCATCAGTCCAGAAAAGTGAATAAAGACTGTCGAAAAGCCTGATTTCCTCATTGCAGACAGCAGTTTGGATGGCGGTGGAAAGGCTAAGATACGGTCCTTTGGTTAAATAAGAACAAGGAAAAGACATTGGGATTCACGTTTGATTTGTGACCGGAGTGCAGGTTGACCCGTTCGTACGAGACCCTTCCAAATACAGTTGATAGTCACCAACAGCTGAAGCGGAATCGATTTAGTTGCCGATACCTAAGATGAAAATGATATACCCACCTGCATCATACCCAGATCCACCACCTATATTCTGCTGACAACTGAGGAGATATGTTGCTAATCAGGATCAATTAAGGCTAAGAAGAGACCTGGAGACGACGAACTTTAGGCAAAGCATGGCCAGTGCATATGCGACGGAGTTGCAGCAACAATCCGCTAACACAAAGAGTCCATTAGAATCCAAACAAAGGTCGTCGATCAGAGGTAATACGCACAGACTTGCTCGTCACATATATCTGGTGGAAGGGTAGTATTCATGATACCAACCTCGACTGTTTACACGGAAGAAGATAGGAAAACATGTGGGCTTGGATTCCTGACATCCGACACTAGCACTTACAGTCCGAATTGCATATCTGGCGTAATCGTTCGTAGGTCTTGCCTGTAAAATTAGTTAGAATGTTAACGAGAAGAGGATATTTATTGAACGAACAAGGGGTTTCCCCTGTTTGAGCAGAGTACCAATCCAGAGCAGTCCCTGAACATGTCACATTTCCTTCGGAAAGCACAGCGACGATGAACGTCGAGACGAGGACAGCCAGAAAGGCGGGAAAGACGAACATGGGGGTTTTGAAAAGACAGACCGAAAGCCGTATTATTTTGGCTCCAATCTGTCTATACAGATCGGGTGCTGTGTAAAATAATAATGATCAGGCAAGCTAATTTCACTCGCGGCTCGCCTAACACGCCGGCAAAGACCATTCGAATGATGCGAATGATGCCCTAGTCGAGTCGTAACTTGTGACGAGTGAAGCTTGGAAGGACCACAGAGTTCAGGAAATACATTGAGGAGGCTGTTGTACGCGAGATTGTCCTAGAAAACCGAAGTGCACAGGAAGTTTCGCCCAAAAGTGTTACTCCTGCACTGCGTTGCAGCTCCAAAAGCAAACGGTTCCAGTTTTCCAGATAGCGGAAGGCTTCAGTTTTCAAATGACAGTTCTGATGTCTTTCCGACGGTGAACTGAGAAAACCATTTGCAACGCCGTCGGGTAGCGTCGGACTGGCGTGATAACCTATCAAACCTCCAGATTAGCTCAGAGTGTTTGCTGAGTATTTGAAAAGTGAAAACTCGAGAGTGTGGAATTATATGCCCCTTTACGCTTTCATATAGCTGATATCTGCACGTACATACCATCGTTTGGCAACAGAAGAAAAAGAAAAGAGACAACTTGGAATAACGTGGAGAAGAGAAGACCGGTGCACCCGCCGGCAGATGAGACTTGAATTAAAAATTCGAATGGGTTGGCTTTCTCCCAGACAGAGGAGAAGAATTGGGCAAAGGAGAGAAACGGAGGCTCGTCGTTAAGCTGGGACGTGATTCGTGAAACTATATAGGATGCGATCGCCATATTATAACGGAGGAATCTCTTTACCTTGTCACCGGCTGCAATGCTCAGATGTACCCCGATTCCAAGAATCCGCCCCCATACCAACTTCGCCCACTTCTTCCCAGCAACAGTACTTTGTTTCGAAGAACTGAGTGGTTCGGCCTTCTTGTCTTGCAATAACACTTGCTCGTCGACAAAATGGCTTGCTGGACAACCCGGCTCAGGAGATGCGCACGGTGTCGAGCGTCAACAGGCGTCGGCGAGACCTAGAATCATCTTTCTACAAATCCCAGCTCCCGATATCTCGCTAAGGCCGAGCCGTCCGTCGCAATCCGCCAGAGTTTACACCGCAGATGAAAAGACACAACGGCGTGTAAAGCGTATATTCCTGCATTTTGTGCTTCAGCCTGGGAGGATGTAATCATGATCAGCAATTTGAGTAGAGTCCGCGATGTGTCACTAATCAGGTGATTACGATCCATTGTGTGACACTTGGCATCTTCGTTCTTGGCAACGCTTTCAAGGTAGATACCAAGATGGTAGCCATCGTCAATCCACATGGACCGCGATAGCTACGCTCCGGTGCAATTCCCGTCGGACACTAAACATCGAGAGGCTAGAGCCGGAAAACTTACATGCATTGGTATACTATGAAATCAGTTTTTGTGCAATATTGTGTGTCTCGGACCTTTTCTCGGCTCCACGTCTTGATTTCCATCAAATGTCTCTGTCTCTGCGTTTTGTCTGCATGAATCATAACAGTCTCTGTTATTGATCTGCTGAACCAAGCATATCGATATCGTTAACCCACTAATACATCTCAGAGTAGAGCATCCAGTTATTGTATGGCCTTTTTTGAATGCTTCAATTGTACAGTAATTCCAGCTCTGCGCCCAAATAGCTTGGCTCTGGCTTTGCGTTGCCACATCTTGGCTCTAAAGAGCCAGCACCCCGTTTCTATAAGGCCGTATAAGGCTTTCACTCACCGACCACCTGCTTCCCAACTAGTGACCAGTATCTTATCACTTACTTATCATGTATATACTTGGACCGACCAATGGTCTCTAAGCAACTTACAATTGAGCAGCCAATATCTTCTCAGTTACTTATCAAGTATGTACCGTGATTGACCAATGGTTTCCAAGAAACTTGCGTCTGAGCAATGAATATGAATGACAGCTATTTACTTCAAACCCTGAGGAAATTGAAATTCATCAGTTATTCATCCGTATTAAGGCATATCTAATTTTCAATAATTACATTTGGCGCTAAAACTCATTGGGATACATAGTTGCTGCAATAGCTAAGGCATCAATCCAAAGTTTGACTACTTCCTGCTCGCGGGGCAGGCGAATATAATGTTGAAGCTGCTGATCAAGGAAAGTAACCTGTTCAGGCGTAAGAAGGGCTGATGGTGGGTCCACTGCTACTTCATTGAGATTTGGTGGGGGGCCTCTGCGGCCAAGCCAAGAGCCTGATCCTTCATCTGCATAGTGCGACCGAAGTGTTCGCAACAGTGTCTCGTCCTGTAGTCCCTCCCAATCCACCCCAAACACCTCTAGCTCTTCATCAGTCATAGCGAATTGGCCAAGATCCTCACCTCGGATGCCATTGACAAGCGAATCAAATACAAACATATCTTCTGGACTACGGGCTGGACCAGTACGCTGTGACACTCGATGACGGTTCCAAGACTCTGCCCAAAAGGTAAGCTGTTCATTGATTATGGGTAGGAAAAGATGCTGAAGCAGCCATATATGGTTGGGGTTTGAGACTTGGAGACCATGATTTATTTCAAGGAGCGTGAGCATATCATGCCATGTTTGACTGCAGTAATGGCTGATATCAACCCATAAACGTTCAATACGGACATTGTGAATAGACCTTAGGGAACATGATATCAATATACTGGATATAAGATTGAATTTTAACGAAATACCTTCCCCAAATATATGAGCCACGACCTTCCCCACGAGCATGCTCCATGAACGCTGCTACCCAGATATTTTCAATGCCATGGTCTCCACGAACGCGTGATGGGAGCTGGTATTTCTCAGCTGCAGATAGGAAGAGTGAGAGAACAGTCTGTCCGCGGTTATTATTACTAGCCCGCAGTCCTGTTATCAGCCGTGAATATCCATCTATAAAACCATGGATAACAATCCCCCAGCGAATAAGTCCTGTATCACAATGGGTACTTGTTATTGGCAGCTTATGAAGGACAAGGGAAATGCTCACGGTGATGACCATCATGGTGCCATAGAGAATTCGGTCCTGGGACAGAATAACCTCGACGGCGGATACGAATGCGGTCAAAGACCCGGTGAATAGGATCAATTCGGACAAGGGATTGACGAATGCGTTCAAAAGGAACCATAATATTCAAGCGGCGAAGCATTCCATCAAGCATTCTAATGCCTGCTCGGTGAAAATGAATGCGCAACCGTCCTAGTAGAGAGTCCAGCTGCTCATTTGAAATATGTGTTATGTAACCAGAGGAAGACGAAGATGGGATTGCTGCAGCCTCTGCTTGAACATCGTCTGGTAATTGGGAGGGTGGTAGAGTATCAACATCAAGTACATTGTCGGATTCACTTGATTGGAGTTCATGAATGCCTCTTGGGGGGAAATTGAATGGACCAATCCCCGGAGTAGCAATACCACACTCCAAAAGACGACGTCGAACAGTTGGTCGGGGAACATCAAGAAAGTGGCTCAGCCCTGTTATGGTACGGTGGTTGTGAGCAAAACGAAGGAAGTCTGGATTGATTACAGTGCGAGGGCGCCCAGGTCGTCCAGTATATTCAGTAAATACGACTTCTGGTCTTCCATTGTGTGACAATTCTATGCACTGTTCATATAATGCTCGGATATCCAAAATCATAACCTGAAGGCTACTTTGTAGAATTTGCGCTTCTTCGGGTTCAAATATAGCGGCATGCTGGAGTTACGTTATATTGGACATAGAACAAGAGGGAAACTGAACAGTTACCTCTTGCGCAAGTTGAGAAAATTGATTGAGGTCCTCTCCCAGGAGCTGCAACAGGAAAGGATCTGTTGGCTCAGCATGAACTTGACCCACAACGGCTTCAAATTGTGCATAGTGAGCTCGGAATGCTTCCAGAAGGCTTAAAGATGGAGCACTGCTGGTTGTTGTGACATCTGGAGCGACCACCAATGATATCAAAGACAGGATTACCCAAATCCAAACCTGCAGAAGAACGTAAATCCGCATAGTTTCAAACAAAAAGTTCTGACGGTAAATTGCCGCTCGTGCTAGGCACATTCTGCTAAAAAAGTAAATAATCAATAATAGCCATTTATAGTCATCATGCTTTTCCGATCGATGTAAAGTCATAAGTGAATGTGTATTTGTTTGGATTGGTGGGCCCTCTCTGTTTTAGTAGGCAATTTTGCTTCTATTCGTTCTCTTTCACTTTCCATTCTTTTTCCTTTCTTGATTTCAAGCTGCAGCAACCACCGATGGACTTTACTGGTCCGTCAAATGAGGATAATCCTTACGGCTCCATAATGCAAATGCTCCGGCCTCCCGACTATGGCCCATCAATGACTACTCCCATTAATTTTGGTTGCAGTTATCCTATGGCTTTTCCCAATGCGCCCTGTCAACGTAACTAGACTGATCTCCCGCTTGCAATAATTTAGTATTAATACTGTTATTTGATTTAGGTGAGGGCGGATTTGTTTGGCAAGACCGGGGGAACGTCGAGCTTGGGCTTGGAAATAGCGGTGACGGTTTTGATGCAGTCCCAAACCTCACATCGTTGCAGATCAACCCTTCCTTGAGTGGTGAGTATCAATTCCAGATTGATTTAGGAGGATGCTAATGCATATATCCAATCAACATTTTAGCTAGTATTCCGGACGTCGTATTTCACCACGAGGATGCTCCATTCATCGCTCCAAGCAATGGCGCAGGTGCAGGCCCTAATGGTGAATATCCTAGCAATAGTAAGCGTTCACTGACTTCTGAACGTGTCAGTACTGAATCTTTGCGGCAAGACTTCTTGAATAATGAGACTAGCTTTCTTGGTGAGAACGGTATTGAATATGGTTGTAAATGTGCTCATAAAATTCTACTAGCTGCTGCCTCTGGAGCGCAACGTACCAGTCACCATATTGGTCGCTTCCACCCATACTTGAGCACCTCCTATCGATCAAACTATGGGACCATGCCCAGTACGTCGACCTTGTTTGACCGATGTGAAGTTTGACCAACCACCTTAAAGTCCCAATGCCAGCGGTTTCGATGCCCAGCATTCCTGCTTCAGGTACTCCTCCAACGGCAACTGCTTTGGTTGCTTCCGCTGCTCCTGCTGCAACTACTCCCAGCGGTTTCACGTCCACTATTCCAGTGCCGCCAAATCCTTCTCCGGAGTCGCTATACTTGTCTCTATCTGGTCAATACATCGTTCCGACCTCTTTTGGTAGCGACGATCCATTCTCTCAAGAAGTCCAAAGCAATTTACCAATTGTTAGACTGAAGAAAGGACCAGAGGTGACGACAAAGGCGCTGGACTTCAATCATTACTGCGAGACGAATGGCTATAATCGATCATCTGCTATGTATCATACTAAAGATCGTGGCCGTTCGCGAGCTGCTACTGCGCAGATGTACTTCCAGTGGGCTAACACACGCGACTTCTTGAAGCAGATTGTGGGTTATACGGCCGGTTTGAAACTGAATCTTTATGAGATCCGGTACAATGATGGAAATGGCCCTGTTGAGAATTTAACGTCCATCCTCCTCCATCGTCTCGGTTGGAATGTGGGCACATTTGAGGCGACGGCTCGCATCTTTGAGCAAGCTGAGCATTACGCTTTTAACTTTCAGTGGAATCCCGATAGTCCAGCTGTTAGCACAAATGGTAGAACGGCAACTGGTGAAGCTTTCCGTTAAGATCTTCATGCAGTTTGAGCTTACCGTTTACATTTAACAGGACTCGTTCGGTTCGACAAGCATAATCCTTATGAAGCCTGGAAGGGTATCCAGTATCTGTTCGTTGCCCCAGGCTACTTCACCAATGGGATAACTCCACTATACTGTATCCAAAACTCCGATGAAGAACAAATTGCTTCTAAAATTTCAGCAAAGGTCATAAAAACAAGCATGCCGCGGATTATACCCAATCTCATACCTCTTCCTAAGTAGTCATTTGCACACATCATTCTAACATTAGTCCAACTTGTCATTGCCAATCGTTTAGCTATTGCTTTTACCCTTCACTCCCTTGCAGCGTTCCCATAGATTTTGCTCCTTCAGGGCTCATTGTCTATCGGTTGACCACCATCTTTATGAACGTACTATATTCCTTTTAATTGCTACTAGTGCGCTTTGCTATCCATTAACCACCATCTATATAAGCATACCATATCCATTTCGCTACTTCAAAACCTTTGCAAGGGCCTTCCCTTTTCTCCGTCGTAAAAACGTACTGCCCATCGGATGGCAATTGCCGATTAAGTTTGCGATACAAAACCAACTTATACGGAAATTTCCGAACTCCAATCAAACCGTAACGTCGATTCCATATTTCTCGAGCAAGTTATTCATATATACAAACGTCTATAAGAATTGCACCTCAGGGAGAAACATCTACAAGTTAAGTGGCAACCAAGGCGGAGGAATCACCATAATCTCCTGGTCAGGACCTTCGCAAGGGTATTCCCAAGCAAGCAATCGGTGGCGTTCATTCTCAGGAGGCCTGATAAGATAGCGGTAACGAGGCCATGAAAATTCTTTGAGAAACGATGCTGGAAGATGGTTGTGAAGATCCCAGAACGTGACTGCTTCATTCAGTGACCGTTTCCAATCTGAAGCAGGCAGACCATATAATGAAATGTATGGACCAAAATCAACTACTGCTTGAGAGAGAAATTTACGGATAGACTGTTACCCATGATTAGTGGCATTGGATTATGGTACGATGTAAAATTTGACTTACCTTGAACATTTGATACCACATTTTGCCAGCTTCATCATTGGTGTACTCACGCAGGGTTTGCTGATAACTTTGAATATTATCCTGTAACAGATAAGTAAGCTCAAATATGAAGAAAGTAGTATATGGTAGACGTGCAGAAAAGAAAGTATATAGCGTTGCCTGGGCTATTCCGGTTTTCTTGATTGCTTGGGCCTCATATTCATCGATGCCAAGGTGCAGCTCCAAGTCTTCGATATCCAAATTACCACTGCTGAACTCTGGCGGATAGACTACCCGTTTCATAAGTGCAGTCCGTTGGAGCAGAGATTTCTCCCCATATGTAACATCTTCTGGCCAGTGTGAGGCCCATATGGCAGAAGCATAGATAAGAAATGCTTGTTCATATTGGGTCCCCTGGACCGTCAAGTAAGTTGGTACAAAATGCCAAAGAAACTTTGTCCTCAAGGTTTTGTGTATTTCGCGGGAGAACTAAAGTATTGACGGTTTAGCATAACCTTTGGCAGAAAATGATCCTTTACCTGAGGATCTTGGGCTTCTTCATCTATTCCATCATCTGTTTGAACCCATGATTCTTCATATAGCTGTTGAAAATATGTGAGTGGCATTGAGCGTTGTGGGTAAGATGATCCAAGTCACGGCACCATTTGTTTCCCTTTTATGTATATCCCGTAGAAATTTCTATACCGGGAAGGGCCAAAGCAACATATTTCAAAACCAAATGCCAGGCACATGCTCCGCGAGTGTCCTCTCTTTCCCTACCATGTTGGAGAGCAAATGAACAATGAGAATGAAGCTCTCAAAATAAGCTATAATCCGGTCACTTTTAATCTTTACATTCAAAACCTTTGGCTCTACTGGCATATGGCTTCTTGTATCCATTTTACTATCCCAAAACATCGTTAGGTTGTTACACATTATCATTTGGAATATCTTCCCATTTCTAGAACACTTATACGCCATATCATATATTTTCACTGACTGTACATATCCACTATGACTTCATTATTTTATTCATCTGCATTCATGGTACGAGCTGATGATCATATATCTATATAATTTAGGTATATATGTACCATCCTTGTTAGCAGGGTCTGCTATATCGTTTCATTTATTGCAGGCCATATTAATTGACTAGTACAGGACTTTACTCAATGTTTAGTCTGCATCGAGTAAGATGTCGCCCCGGAGTGGCTTTTTACCCCAAACTTCTGATGTTTTGGTTGTTTCAACAATGCCATATACTCTGTCTATTGAAGCATGGAGAAATAAACTGTGACAGTTCACTGCCCACACAGATTTATGTTAGTAAAGAGCTATATAGAGATTCAAACCTATCAACGAAGTCTATGCTGACGACAAAGGCCTGTGCCAAACTCTCCAGGGTCAAACTTTGATAACTAGAAGCTGGGCGTGTGCAAGGGTATGCATTTCACGCACGTGGGGGCCTGCGTGGGGAGACAGATGGGAAGGAAGGAGGATTTTTTGTTCTACATGAGCTGCAATGACAACATTTGTCCTTCGTATGCCTTTATAATCCTCCTTGATTGCCTTGAGAGCAGATTCACGAGCTTCATTGTGCAAGCAGCTCAATGAAAGATCCGAAAGGGAGAAGAGGTTCTGAGCAGCTGAAAGATTGGGCATTGGTATCATAAACTGAAAATCGGGTTTGCGACGCGATGCGATGGAGGTGAGGAAGCAATTCGTTCCCATCAAATCAAATCATAGGGGTCAAACAACTTTGCTCATTGGACACGTTTTGACTCTTGACGCTCATGAGCAACTACAGCAGCCTGCTGTATTTAGAAAGCTAACCAAGCATCTGCCTTATTTTCCTTGGTATACTGTAAGCCTTACCGGTCATTATTTACTTTGCTTACCTACCTTTCTTTAGAACTAACGTTGAATCGCGATTTCTGCCAGAGATGCGAAGAAAAGTTGTAACACATCCGTAATATGGCTCCAAGGCGTGAGACTTTGACTGCAAATATATTGAGCCCTCAGGATATTACTACGACCTCCAGCGGCCAACCTACAGCCCCGTTAGGTTTTCCTCATTCCACTTCACCTTCGAATTGATTCACGAACTTTCTCTCGAAACCGGCAAGATGGTTTGGCAGGAGTGCATCCAATCCAAAGATCAGCACCGTTGCTGCTGCTTCAGAACCCAGAACGAGCAGTTCTTTGGGAAGAAAACACAAGATATCATGTTCTACTGACCCTAGGCCGATTCTGGACTCACATAGTGCTGCTCTGGGGGCTAGGTGAGCTTTCACATCTCATTTTTGCTTCTTGTAGATACTGAATGGCCTTTAGATCCGTAATGGAACTGACCTCACGAAATCCGAATTCTCTAGACCTTTCATCCATCGGTTTCAATTCCAGTCAGCCCTCCAGTCCTTCCAGTCCACTTCGGTCAACATATGGACTCGGTGACCTCCGAGCAATCTCTCGACGAGCATGGTCGAAATCAGCAGATGATCTTAGCAAGCTTTCGGCGGATGTTTCTCCTGCTATGGAGGAAAAGATTGCCCAATATCGCAATCGGAGTAATAGCAATACTAGTCCATTATCTCCAGGCGGTCCTCCTTCGGCTCCGCCTTTCTTCGAACGCAGTTTAAGCCATGGTACTGGCGTACAGCCGTTTCCATCACTGCCGAGAATCAATACACCATCTTCAGCTACTCCAACAGTGTCCATCTCAATATCAGCACCTGTCATTGACGAAGCTGCACACAAGCCTGCTCCATCGCCCACCCACGTCCACACACGCTCATATTCATTTACGCCCAAGCTCGCGTCCAAGCTTTCCGCGCCTCGTTTCATGCCTCCCAGTCCCAAGCGGAAGGGTTCCGCAGGTTCAGAGATGGAAGGAACGTCAACACCACCTGTCCCTACACGGGGCGCTTTTCCTTTCAGCTCTAGTAGTCGAACTCTTCTTCCCGACTCATCTTCTTCCTCGAGCACTTCGCAGCCAGTTCATCGATCTACTACTCTTCTAGCTCCACCCAATATCGTTGAACCTTTCAACGAGTCCTCAGAGTCCAGCTCACCCAAACGGGCCTCCCAAATCGTATACCATAGCGGCTTCATCAACAAGTTTGCCGACGGTACCGCAAGTCCGCACCAACTTGGAACAGCGAAGGCGTGGAAGCCCTTCAAACTGGAGCTCAAGGGGTCCAAATTGTATTTCTATAAACCTCCGTCTGATAGGGCAGCAGCAATTAAAGAGCTATTTCCTACAGAGCTAGTACCTGTTAATCAGCAGGATGAGGACGAAATTGGTAACATTGGAGGAGTAGAGGGCGAGCTTGAAGATGATCCTTTTGCGTCTGCGACGGCCACGAATACCCGAATGGATATGCGGCCGACGAGACAGGAAAATTCCATTGCGCAGAGGAAAAAAAGAGCGTTCTGGGGTCGACGAACTCATCCCGATTTGTCAAAGGATGCCGAGGGGATAATTGAGAAGGGAACATTTGAGGCACTGACACATGAGGCCGTCTTTGGCACTACTTTCTTCGGACTAGTGGAAGGGGAGGTCACCGCCGCGGAAATTAGCAGTGGAATTGGGAAGGCTAAGATAGGATCGATGGAGCAATGGAAAGATTTCGCGGCTTCCATCCTTCTCTGCATGCCTCACTTGGTGGATCAGACGAAGTTCGAAACGGAGCTGATGAGGTGTTGCGAGTTTCTCGTCAGCGGCGCGGAAGAGGAGAAAAAATCGGCAGAGAAGCAAAGAGTGGTGTGGTTAGCAGCAGAGTATCTTCGATACCACGGGCGGCCACTAGAATTCCCTGATTGGCCAGAATGGAAAGCGGAAATTGCTCCTGAAGCTATCACCGTCCCACCCCCAGCCATGCCTCTACCAAGGTCGACGTCCACACAAGCCTTATACAACCCCACCCCCGTTGCGTCTCCGAATATAGGCATGTTCTCGCCGAGACCGGGAGAGAGCAGTAACATGTCATTAGTGAATGCCTTAATTGAGAACGGACGCGAAGCTACTGCCACGCCTCAGCCAGGATCCGGCAACTCTTACTTCGACCCGACCACGCCTGGGGCTCTTTCTCTTTCGACACCGTTTGGCACACCTTCAAGCCCCACTGTCAACAGGACTCCCTGGGCTTCTGCACTTGATCGTGAAGGCCTATCAAGAGATGTACTTCTCCTGATTGACCCCAACACCATAGCACGCAGTCTGACTGTCTTTCATCTCGCTGTTTTACAACAACTACCGGAAAATCTCACAGCTAACTTTGTACTTGGGCCGGAAGGATCGGAATCGCACCCGTGGTCGACGCAACAACCATTATCATCATTATCTGCCACTTCTTTATTCGGTTCAGACGACCATCCTCATTGGCTTACAAAACTGCTATTGGTGCAAATCCTTGGGGCAGATACTTCAACAGGTTACGCTACCCTACGGGGCGCTCAATTATCTTCACCGAGCCGAAGATCTGAAGACCGGGGACCTACGTCCCGTACGCATTCGCGTTCGGAAGTCATATCAGCCTGGATCAAGATTGGCGAGCTTTGTCGACTGAACGGGGATGAGTGCTCGTGGAGAGCTATCCTTCACGCAATATGTGCTGCTCCTGTCGCTCGACTGGAAAAGGCTTGGAAGCGTGTTAATCCAGTGGCAATAGCAACTGTGGAATCTTGGGTTCAACCTGTCAAGGATGGCGATCCCGTAAACGGAATTAGGGAACCTAGAATAACGCCTTGGGGAGGAAATATGAGGAGTATAATTAGGGAGCATTTGTCACAAGCTTCGGTACCGGGACCGACTGGTGACGTTCTGATGTTGGCGACGCTGGATAGGGTGCGCATGTTATTCGAGGGCTTTCGAACCTCAGTCTCTTTATGTCCAAGAAAGACAACAATTTTGGAGGAGGGAAGTAACGAAGAAGTCCAAAAGCTCGTTTCATATTGGAAGGACATTGTCGCTGACGGCGGGGCCTCTAGTGGCCTAGGAATAAAGTTTCACAGGTATGCAATAAGCACACACAGCACTTTAGATTGTGAATTGACTAGTCACTAAGGGTTGAGCAGTTCATCTCGTTATCGCTGACACGCCTAAATTTTGGCTAGACGTCTATGCTGTGAATTGTGACATTTTCACGTATAGATTTGTATCAAGAGGACTGTAATTGAGACCCAGATTGACAGTCAAAGTCAATACTGAATCAGTCTAATAAGTTGAAGGGACCATATACCCATACTACCACAAGTTGGTTAGTTTACCCATCCCCGATACTACCTACGGATAGCAGTCTACCTGTTTGTCAAGCAGGATTATACCAGACTCGGACTACATCCGAAGGATGACCATTCACGTATGACATACCAAGGGTATTCTTATTGGACCTTACACTGGCAGGAGTTTGGAAGAACTTACTCAAGTGACCATGAACCGAGGATTGACTCGAAATGACTTTCTAGAACTCAGGAATTATCAAATACTCCTTCTAGAACAAGATCATGCATTAATCTAAAGGACTGCGATTTAGTCTAATAGACCAATCAAGTTGCATGGTTGAGGAAAATGACTAGAAGAATGATCGAAGTACTGCGAGGCTCCGAAGACATATCAAATGAATGTCAAAGAGTCCTGACGTAGAAAATATTGAAGAATGCAATTAAATGAATACTATGTGTAACTCCCTTGATTGAGTATAGGCACAATGGGTGTCTATTGAAAGAGAGAAGCAATTAGTTTAATCCAGATGGATCAGATTGATGGGATTAGAATCGAGGAGAGCTGATTTGCCTCCGGACGAGGTGACAAACGATCAAAGTAAGTGTTGAACCGCAATGACAGTTGAACACCATTCGAGTCATTCTCTAAAAACAATTAAATTAAATGAATATTGAAGTACCTACCTATGTTTGGAGGTATACTAGAATCTTGGAACCAATATGGACCAAATAAGGACATGTAGATTCAAATTAAATGGTATCTGACTGAGTGTAGAAGTTTCCTTGCGGTTCCGAACGTTTATTGTATTAAATTAATTGTACTATGCGACTCTATATTCTGTAGGTATAAATAGCGATCCGATGTATTTGGAATACAAGTGATTTTGGGACGACGTTGCAGTGCTAATCCGTAAAAAGGAAAGACACACTCCCGCCAGACTGAAACCTCTTCGCTAGCAGCCATTCGGGCCCGGCACTTGTGAGTATAGGAACGTCGTGTTCTGCTCCTTGTGACTGCGAGAAGTCTATCCAGTTGTTGGGTATTCTTCGAACTTAGGATCAGTCGTTGGTCTTAAGGGCAAATCACGCTGTGTGGTTGTGCCAGCACATAGTTCTAGCCCTCTGTAGGGGTCTGTGTGTTTCGGTTTTAATTTACTTTGATTCAAACCCCCAATTCTTGATATACCCAAATCAATACAAACCAAAGCACAAATTGTGCTGAATCTACCTTGATCAAAGGAATATATCGAATCCTTAGAACGATTCAAATTGATTGATCAAAGCTTCGTACTTAGCTCTCAAAGCTTTGCGGAACCTTTGCCAACGCTACCCCTTGCTATTAAATAAATTTGATAGCAGTGAACTCGCATATTGTGTATTAGATTGGTTGGTTGGAGTGCCCATTAGATTCCTTCCTTTCTCTTTCACACAAAAACGAGGCAAGCTCGTTATCGCTTGCAGCTGAACCTCGACGGAAAGGGCTATATGAACCTTTCTATTGGGCTAAGTCTAATGGTCAGCCTTTTTCAACTGCACCACTCCTTCCACTCCTTTTTCCAGAGCCTCTACCTACCATTACCTTACTTGACCGATCACAATTCTTTCGCGGGCGCGTGGATAGCGACTCTAACGACTTTCAGCATCTCCGCGCTGTTGACGGACATTTGCGACCTGAGGGCCGAACATCGGTACCTGCCAGTGACGGTGCTTTCGGTATTTTGAACCAAGGAGGAATGACAATTCCAGTCCATGATGGGGACCTTCTGTTGGTGGTACAAAACCCTATCACTGACTCTTCCTCTACGGGCTCTCGACCCTCATCTCTCGTGAGGTCTCGACCTCCAAGTTCTGACATCGACCCTTCGTCTTTACTAGATGGTAAATCTGATAAACCTATCGGTCGGACGCCCTCCATCCGAGTCAAGCCTGGGTCCTCCGCTAATCTAGAGAGAAAGAGTAGCGTCGCTCGTCGTAGCTCGCTCCCATCATTGTCGCAGCGTCAGCCTTTAACGCTGGCTGAAAATTCTTCGGAACCTCCCTTACGGGTTCTCGTTCAGGCGGGCACGTTGGATCGTCTTGTTGATGTTCTCGTTCATGGACTTCATAATGTTTCGGTATCTGTCGCGGATGACAATGGTGAAATGTCATTGCGGGTCGGAATGACACGAGAACTGTTGCTGGACCACAAAGAATTTACCAGAGTGTGGTGGAATGTTTTTCGTAGTTTTGTGACGCCACTTATATTTTTCGAGGTGTGTCCTTTGCGTTTAAACAAATAGTGCGTTATGCTCACATATCCCTCTAGCTGTTGCGCAAAATTTACATCAAAAGCCAGCCGGCAGGGTCACCTCCGTTACCTGATCAATATCTTGCTGCCATATCATCGAAATCACAGGTTCTCGACGCCATGAAACTCTGGTTGACGAAGGGTGGCGGAGCTCAAGATGTATTGGATGACTCTCAGCTCCTTCAAGCACTTCGAGCCTTTTTTGCCAGTTCTAGTGATCACATCATTCATTCTTCCGCCGCCACCTTCGAGAACCCAAGCTTGGGATAACATGACCGAATCACGGCAAGCCCTTGAACAACTTCTGCTATCTCAGACAATGAGGCCATCGACTTCTCCAACCCAAACTGTTTCTCGAAACGCGGTAACCACGACCGAGTCTCGCGTACGGAACTTAAGCACTAGATAGCCTCCGGATATGGATCGCATGAGCCCCAAGGAGTTTGTTGACAATATCGACGGGATGGCATTTGCGGCCTTCAACAATGTAACAGAAGAAGTAAGCATTCTTAGTACCATTCCCCTGCCTTGCCACCAATCAACTGGTGATCTTTTTCTTTTAGGACCTTTACATCACATCCGACCTCTGGAGGTGCAAGGTACTGATCGAACTGGATGGTTCCCACCGCGAGAGGCGTCGTCACTGGATGAGTATATCGAGATACAAACTATTCACAGCCATATTCAGGACGTAGAGCCATCCTCTCTCATATCCGAACTTTCACCTGAAAGCTTGTACCGTCTTCTTCCCCCTGGTATTCGAAGCTGCATTCGAGCACACTCAATCATACGGAAATGGCTGATTTCGAAAATTGTCGCTCCCCGTATAGGTCTCCGCGCACGTCAAATGCGAATAGAGTTTTTACTGCAAGTCATTGAAGTCGCTCGGCTGCGTAATGCGGAGAGTTCTTCACCCAATTCTGTCTATGAGCAGCCCTGTGTTCGGTCTTTCGTAGAAGCAGCGGTGACATCCGCCATCCTGAGTCCTGAATGCAGAATGCACCACCGAGCATGGCAGAATGTTTCTGCTAGTCAATGTTGCAATTACGACACAATTTCTCAGCTGCTTGCACGACCCAAAACTCAATCTGTCGCATCTAGAGATCCCTTAACTGTGGACATGGGCTGGCTGATAGAGCGGATTCTGGACGTTATTGCCATGCCCGATCTTGTTGAATCTCATAATGAAGAAGGGCAAAATCTCGTTAACTTTGATAAACGCCGGTCAGTCTGGTTTTCAGTCTTTCAATTCTTCTGCTGAGCTGTCGGTAATGATTCAGTAATCTCTGCAACTTCATATCCAACGCACCGTCACTGCTCTCGCAAAGGCTTGCTCATCGGAATGATATCAACAGACGAGGCTTCGAATGTCTCAACAACATTGAACGCGAAATTTTCTCCATTCAATCTGATATCCGCGGAATCAAGGATGAGGCATATCGGGAGGGCGCTGCTGCGAACGCTCCCGGGACACCGTCAAAAAAGATTTCGTGGCCCTTTCAAAGACTTGTCGCTATTCAGATGGACAAACATCGGCGGGACAAGAACTTGCGAGCACATCTACAGAAAGAGAAGACGCAGGAACAATTTCGTAATGAAAAACGAGAAGAGCAATTGGACAAAGCGATGAAGGGAGGACGAAGACTGACTTCGGTTGCACAGAAGCAGCATCGCAATAAGAAAAGCATGTCGTCGCTTTTCAGTTTTATGCGACTCATTTCCAGTGCATTCGGTGTCGATAATTCTCATTCCCCTGTCCTAAGGAGAACCGCCTCTGAGCTTGAATTTACTCCTTCCGGAAAGCCAACATTAGTTGTGAACCTCATGGATTCCAGCGTTAACCATTTCATCAACAACGAACGTTCTTTCACCTTTAGGCTCGATACTGAGGACGGCGGTCATTATCTTCTTCGGGGATAAGCGGTGGAATCTTGACCCGCTTTCTTTGTGTGCTGTTCGATTGGAAGTCTCCACTCAGGACGATTACCAAAAGGCCTTTAGAGCAAAGACTTTTCGTGCCAGTGCTCAACTTGATCCCTTCCAAGCACTCACATGGGCGATGCTAGAGCTGCAAGCTGATTGCTTGGCGAAGGTACGCTGAATGCGGACATACCCCCTACTCGTCTAACTGTGCTCTCGTATTGTAGCTTTATCAACACTTCGAATCCAACCCCGTGTCGTCAACCCAACCGCAATCAACACAATCGAGCAAACGCCCTCGTCTACTCGAGAACCCTGTGACATCCCTGCTAAAATCTGTGCAGCAACCTCCCATGCGCATCTACAATTTACAAATACTCTTGTTCTTCATTGACCGACATTGGAATACTCCACGTGAATCTATGCAATCAGATATCATTCGCACTCTTCTGGATCATGTAACCAATGATGACGGGACTGTGCAGAGCTGGGCTTTCGTATGCCTTGCTGCTCTAGCATCTGCGGATTGCGATAATGCTGCCAGTCTTCTCTCTTCTCAAACACTCTCCACCTCTGCCGTTCCTCCAACTACCATCCAGACGAGATACATGACGAGTGTCTCTACCCGAGGTGCTTCCACTTGGGATTCTGTATGGACACATGCGATTCGCCGTACTAATTCACAGAATATCGCCGGTGGCGTCGGCGTCCCGTTTGTCCGTTGGTTTGGGACCGAATGGTACCTTCTCTCGAGGACCTTTTCAATTTCTGTAATAGGAAGTATGTCGTGCCGCTTGCCACACCGCGAGTATCTTGCTCGTTTACGCTAACACTGGCTCTGCCCGACAATCGCTCGTCAGATCTTCCCTTACCTCTCATCGCGTTCTTTCCGAAATCGAAACTCTTGCGAAGGATCTAGATGTTCAAGGTCCCGTTGCCCCTTTCGATTCCGTTTGCACGTTTCTTTCGCTTTGCCTGAAAGTCGCAAATCAGGACGTTCGCCTGTACCGTATGCAGCTCGAAGAAAAGGTTTTAACTTGGCTGATGCCAAGCTACCCTCTGTCAAGTTTGATGGTAGTTGCCCAGAGTCTGCATCCCCCAACGAATCTTCGGACTTGAGAAATGCCACTTTCATGGCGCCCATCCCCGCCGAAACGGACCTCGTGCAGCCGCAGTCCAGAGAACGTAAAATCTCGGTGTTCTTCCTAAAATGCCTCGAATCAGCTCTATCACCATGGCAGGAAGGTTCAGACAATACCATAGTCCTTAGGGCTCCTGCGGCCAAGAGGGCTTTAGATATTGCTGTGGTCGGCCTGTCTTTTGAGTTCGTCCTTGTTCTGAACGGTATACAGAGCAATAGACGTGTCATACAGGCAGCTTGCAAGTTAATCACCTTGATTGCCAAATTACTTGATCAGTCTCAGTGGAGTATAGAGGAAAAAGGCGCCGTCCTTCTCTCATTGGAACCTTTAGTCTGCCTTGACGCCGAAACTTACGATGTTGCTTCTTGGACTGTATTACTGCCACCGACCCGAGGTACCGGGATCCGTTCTCAGACTCTGAAATCTCTCCTGTCAGATGATGACAGGCGGCAGAAAACGTTGCGATTGGAAAGAACGAAGCATCTCAAAACATTATGGGGGAACCCTGACGTGAGGGGCGTTATTCAACCGTTATGTTATCTAATCATTTCATCCAGGTACAAGCCACCTTTAGTGGCATCTCAGAAGTCTTCAAAGACATTCTTAGAGTCGTGATGGGCCAGCCTTCGAAATTGCCCGCTGACGCCATGGTTGTTGATGACAGCTTTAGTACTGCTGGTCGCAGTCCATCGCAATCATTGGGAGCCACATTGGGTACCGCCGCTCAGATTTCGGCAACCCGCCAAGTTGCAGGCATCTCTATCCTGTTTTTATCTGTCGGTCCTCTTTTGCAGCAAAGCAAGTGCTGTCGAAGCGGGACATAACCAAGTGGATCGATACTCTTGCCAGGGTCTCAAAAATAGTGGCAAAACGGCGGCTCACTTACATCGGGAATTCTCCCAAGCCTCAGATCGCGGACCATATTCACAACCAACCCGTCACCGCTACCAGGGATCCTAAAGCAGGTAAGAGTGGTTTCTTTCTGGTGCTATCGTTGCTCATTGGCGATCACCTCAGTGTTTGGTGTAGAACTGAACTTCTTGCTGGAGCGAGAGTACGGTGGTAGTCCAGTACCTCCAAGGACCATACCGTTTGTCGTTGAACCATCCTTGGCTCAGGTGGAAGCCCGAGGTATGATGGAAATTGGGATCTGCTAGTATTTTCATGTCTTACATCAATATCATCTGGAGCAGTTAACCAATCGAACGGTACAAGTTCCAAAATTGCTTGCCTTCAAGAAGCTTTCAAACAATCGTAACTCGGGGAGGAAGTGAATATGGAGGAAATCAGGGACCACCGAGAGAGATTTGATATTCGTATATCCTAGGTCTAACTAAAGTCCACAATTCTAATGGGAGTCCAACGTTCCCTTTGTACTTGGGAGGAGCATAGGTTTGGCGTAATGTTTACTAATGCGGATTCTGGAGTAAGGGCGCTCGGCAAATTCCTTGAAAAGTTGCGGGCAGGGTACAATTTCCTCGGATCTTTCCGAGAACTTGTACCGGTGGGAGTTTTGTGGAATCGTTGTTTTCTTACCGTCATGAACCGTCGAAAAGTCTTAGGCTTAAAGCGTTACGCCAAAACTATTGGCAATGGCCTGCTTTCTAAACTCAGATCTGCTGGTCCTCGGGTGAACCCAGCCTCTCCTTCTTCGTACCAGCCTTCGATCCTATCCGATCCTCCCCCTTTTTCAATTCCCCCTGGGTGCATTAAGGATGGTAAAAAACTCGATTTCCCCAGTACTCGAGACCCGTATCTTCCTGCAATATATGAAGTAAAATCCCATCCTCGGATCCCCAAAGATTTAAATCAGAACGTCATCAAACGGATTCTCATCGTACCTTGGCCTAAGGGCGACGCCCAATTCCTCAAATTCTACTTTAAACCATGCAGAAACTAGAATCAATATTCCTGGTGGACGGAATTCAAGTATTCCTGCCCTTGGTATGCTCCATGGCCTTTGCCTCCTAGTCTTATCTGATCATTTGTTAGGGTGGGGGAAACTCGAAGTTGGCGACATAGTCTTTACCCGGGATGTTGCGGGGTCTGGAGATGGCATGGATGATATGTTTGAGGTATATGTTGGAGAGATGTACGTGAAGTACATGCCTCTGGTTCATCTTACCTATGCTTATCAACCTTTATAGAGATGAAGAGAGTGAAGAGGGGAAGTTAATCAAGAATCTTCGAGATGAAACGCTTGGTCCTGAAGCCGAACGTTGCACAAATGGCTGTACTGCATTTGAGAAATGCAGTAAACGTGCCAATCCTGTGGGCGGTTCAGGCCACTGCTACAGCTGCGGCATAAGTCACCAAAAGCCCAGGAACTTGGTAACGCCTTCTGTTGGGGGCAAGATACGGGGAAGTCTCAGCACTGAAGAGGAGGAGCATATCCAAATGCGGCGCAATCTTGTGACGGTTTGTCGATTATCTATTCTCACAATGCAATACCAATGTTGGTTACCAATTAGACAACCATTAAACTTGCCGTGAATATGTTCCGACGTATACTACAACAGAATACAAAAATTCTAGAAGATGCCTGCGAGCTCAATAATGTACCGCGGATTGGCACGGATGACAATGCTCTCTATCAGGGCTTACAGCTTAATGTTTCGCAACCTGTACATGGTGATGGACTAAGTACGTTGTTGCGTATGATACTCAAACTAACTACCTCATGCAATTGATTGTGCAGTTATCAACTGCATCAAGGCTCTTGCCTTTTTTGGTGGCAAACACTTTGACCGACACGACTCTGCAGGTGGTTGGACTACGATGTTTGCTTATCCCGATATACCAACGGGAGAAGGATGGAGGGAGGGAGATTTCATCTGGTCGAGTTTGGGCTATACGTCGAACTTGATAAAATCAAATCTATAACATTTTCAGGGCTTCGTCTTCATGGTGGTACGCCTCCATTAGCGCCTGTTGGAGTTCCGATTCCTCCTTCCGCCTACCGATGGGTAGTTGTACTTTATCCTCAAGGTGCTATTCTTGATGGCCGAGTAACAATGAATATTGCTGCGGGTCCCAACGGAGTGCCAATCCAGTTGACGCCAGAAATGACAAATGCAACTGTCCATGTACCATCAACTGAAGAGTATGTTTTTTCCCTGGCTATAAGTTATCAGACTCTTACTTGTACTGTTCTAGCACTGACGGGTTGATGGCTGAAGAGGATGAGGAAGAGTATGCTCTAACTTAAATGAATCATCTATTACACTTATAAGTCTTAGGCCAGATTTGCTTCATGCTTCGCCCAAAGAGCTAAACTTCCTAGATGATGGAAAAGTTATCATGACTCCTCAAGCTGAAATAGATTTTCTCGCCCGAGCTTTCTTCCTGCACACATTATATCATCAGAGGCAGATCATGGGTGGAAATGTATTGAAATATGATCATTATCGTCAAGGCTGGTCTATGCAGCGGGATGGTATAACATTCTCTGCTGGTCCTTGGTCTTTGGCACCAGATGGTCTTGAGCTAAACTAACCATGCTGGTATGATGACGACTATCACTTGAGCTTAGAATCTTAACATCCTTCACAGATTCCTCACCCCGTCAAGCTGCCAGAGAACGGTGGTATCAACACTGTAACAAGAGGCTTGAAGCGATATCCTCTACTTTCCGTAACTTCAAAGCTCCTCCCATCCGTAAGCAAATTGACTTTTGGTGCAATTCTCTGCTTCTCTATCTATAACAACAGAATTACCGGTGCCTCAAACTTTTAAAAAACGGTCTCGGACAGCACGCGCAGCTGCTGCACAAGCTGCTGCTCACAAGCGAAAGGTAGTATATCAGCTGAAGGCCCGATCAAAGAACCGAAAAATCGAAATCGAAATCAACAGTTTGTATGTTTTTATGGTTCAACTACGTTGCCATTGACTCATTTAACTCCTATTTTCCAGCTGAAATTATACATGCTGCTCAAAAAGCTCCGCAAGCTATTGAATTCAATCAGAAGTGGCCATACAAACCTTGAATAAAACAAAACGAGATCTAAATGTGAACGATAAGGGACACGGAGAAGTAAACGGCTCAAGGAAAAACTGCGATAATGGTATGAGTCAGAAAATAAATTCGACTGAAGGAGTCTAATCGATAGGCGTTGCAGCAATAGCTCAGGAATGCCAAGTAGCCGAAGAAGAGCAGGAGGAGGACCAGGTATACGAACTTCGAAATATTATATCACACCGCATTTGCACTAAGGCTGTAAGTACTTACATGTTCTTCTGAATTATTCCTAATGCTCGATCTTCAAGTGCTGTAACTACGAATACTATGTTGAGTGGGCTGACAAGAAACCTGGAACAAAAGAATGGATACACGAAAGCCAGATTGAGTAAGTATAAATTATTCATAAGCTAAGTTTTTCTGATTTAAATCTTCAGTATGGGAGATATGTACACCGCTTATCGGCTTAATGCATTCACGCAAACGGTAGATGGTAAGCTCAACCAAACATTGATATGCGGGGTTATTGCCTCATCTTTTTCTTGATAGTAAATATGGGTTCAATTGGTGGGACTTACGCATACTATATGTATCTGGGATCTGTAATCTAACATCTCCATAGATGACAATGAGCAGCCTCGTAACAATCGCAACGGCGAACCGCCAAATGAAGAGAATCGTTCAAGCGGTAACCAAATTTTGTTCTCTTGAGCACAAATGGTTCTCATTATCATTTCCCAGATCCCTCGCCTTTTCATACTAAAAGCACTGGCAAGCCATCTTGTTCCATTCCTCTTCAATGACTACTAAAGTGGTATATAGCCATTCCATTCCTGATGCAACTCTCAAAAGAATCCTTAACTTACACAATTCAGCTTTTCAATGAGGGCCTATCGAGTATGAATGCAACGCAGGGCCCAAGTATTCAAGACTTATTTTTGAAGATCAATCGCTTTCATGTTGCACTCGAACGTTCTCCTCTCGACTCCAGAACAATGAAAGCGGCAGTAGATGTTTGGCCCTCAATTAATTTACTCCTCGAAAACTCCAAGATATATGATGCAGGTGCCCACATATTACACTATACCATTATGCTTTCACACTATCGACTTTACACTTGGGTTTCGGAGTCCATTGAACATGTACTTGATCATCCCTCGTCACACTGGTGGTACCGTCTTATCAAGACCGTCGGAGAGGTAGTGGAAAGTGGGAATCGTGGCATGTTTTTTTTAACTCATCGGATTTCCTACCTACGATTGAACCCCCAAGAACTTATTTGTGGAACTTCCATGGAAGGCAACATGATCAGCGCAGCGCTAATAGCCTTCTTAGTTCGCGCATTATCTTTCACTGGCTTGGCTTGCCAATAGAATCTGATGACAAACACAATGTGCAGTCGTTGTTCCTGAAGAGCCTCATGGACTCTAGTGCTACTGCGAGCATTTTATTGCTTGACGAGGTCTGGGCTGCATATAGCACTCCTCGTAACCTCTGTAGCGCTCACTCAAAACGAGGGTATCCTTCAAAAACTGCCATGAAGAAACTTGGCCAAATGTTTCTTGACCATCCAATTTTAGGCCGTCATCGTTCTTTGGAGATTCAACAGCTTATTGATTTGCTCCAAGCTGCTCATCGCCGAATCATGGGTCTTCCGACCTCCCTTAATTCCCCATCTTCGGCAATATTTGCAGAATCACCTTCCACTCCTCCTCTTCTCCTACATACAACTTCAAACGATAACATCTCATATCGGATTTCTCCAATCGCATCCTTAACGTCTGTTCGAGAAAATAATCGCGTCATTTTCTTTCGCGATTGGCTCCTCGAAATCGCCGAGGCTTATATGCAGTTTCCACCGCTATCTATGGACCAACTCAAGCTAGAGCAGCGTAGGATCCTTGAAAATTCAGATTCATCTTGTCCATTCCGGGAGCTTGCATCCTCTCGGAAGCAGGTCTCAGGTCCAAATGGATTATTCGCACATCACTCCCGCGAAGGCACGTTCAGCGCATTACTCTTCCGCGGCGTACTCTTCAATACAGAAGCTTTACAGAAACTGGACATACTGGGTTTTTTGAGTCCCTTGAAGCCTGGTCCCAGTTTAAAGCTCTTTATGCAGATCGAGGGGAAAATTTTATATGCAACCCTTGTGCATACGGTACAACCAGAGGACGGACTTCCTCTAACGATGTAAACTTCTGGATTGGAAGTGAGATACTGGAGGAAAAGCTGCAAGATCCGAATGTCTCATTTACTAGCATCTGGCAATTTATTGTCCATGCTAAGAATGACAAGAAGAACAAACTCTTCCCTTCGTTTGGAGATCTTTCAGCATATCTGCTTACGGTCGACCTTACTTATGCTCATCGCATCCCTTGGCCAAGCTTGGATGAAGTTGCGCATGCCATATACGTTCTCGCTAAAGGTGCCCTGCATGGACTGCAAAAAATGGATCTAGTCCCAACAGATACTTATAGCGAAAATCAGGTCAAAGAGGGTTTTAAAGCTTTGTATAGGTTTCTAGATGAAGATGCGAAGTTCCAAAAAGTCAAACAGACTGTTATATTTGATCCATTTATGGTGGAACATGCACTATGCAAGATCAGTAAAGATCGAGTATATGAAAGAAGTAAGTTGTAGGATATTTGTAGTATTTTGCTTATGTACTGCATTCTATCGGAATCTGCTGCTAAAACTTGATCTTTTTGTCATTGGTGAAAAGAAATTGAAACGGATTATGCAAGCAAAGGTAGCCCATTCAATATTGCCTCGATAAAGATAAAATGTAGAGCGGTAGGTAGCGAACAATTGAAGAGACAAGATTTTGCTTTAATGCACCTCGACCGTCTCCTCAACCATTTCCTGCGCTGCCGGAATTTCATCCTGCATCAATGGCTTGTCGCATCTAATGGTGAACGAGAGTATACCATTTGACAAGACGGCGATAATGTCGCACAACTAGGAAAGTGTTTGAGCAGCCAGAATAAACTTATTGCCATAGACTTACCTGCGTTTTAGCTGGAATTCGTAGAACGCGATAAAATTCACCATGAGCCCTTTCCATTGTTGCTTGCAACGGTGCTGACATCGTATCATAAGGAGCAGCAATATACCCATGAAATTCTCTGGAACTGCGTTGCAAGTCCACCGGTGGGCTAAGTCTTGGCGGAGCCAGAGAATTCTCATGAATGCACAAGCCAAACTTTCTTGGAACGCGCCAATTAGGAGCCAACGACATTCCCCAAACCACAAGGTTCCGTTCCTTAAATATGGATGAATAGGCGGTGATGACCTTGAGGTGCTGACGTTGCACGCCAGGCAGTTCTACGTCGTAATGTAAGATGTGGCTTTGGCAGTCATATTGGGAGTCAACCCGAGGCATATAGAGGGTAGATGAAAGCTGGCGAACAAAAAGCAAGGTAGAATCAAAGTTGGTCGGGTGTTTCATTTCTTCGGTGAGGGGAGAACGATATTTGGAATTTGGTTTGGGTAGAAGATTAAATACCACAAAAGACACGTGTATATGGAAATAATCCAACGATAAAAAGGTGGTAGGCTCAGATAGCTTATATAAAGTTTGAATTGACAAAAAATGGCAAAAACGCCGACAGAGATTGTGGAGAGGGTCACAAAATCAAAATCAACCGTTTGTTCCACTTTAAACACAAAGATGTAGATGAAATGGTATAAAGTAATGCATAAGCTTCAAACCATATTGTAAGTACCAGCATTATCCAACATCTGCACAAGAAGCCAATGATGAATTGCAACCCGAGGGTTCCCAAGTTCTACGTTTGGATCGTAAGTACTTTTGAGCAGCTTGATTAAATATGAGGCTGGTAGTCTCATCGACCTGGAACAGGTCCGGAATGAGCAGGATCCCATTAAAAGATATAAATCGGAGTCATCAATATCGCTAGGAGATATAGTACATCGTCATCTTCAACTAGAACGATCTTAAATGGCATAAATATCAGTCGACTTGATTTCAAGATTAGATACTCACTTGCATTGGCTCCCCTTCGAGCAATACCCTGGTAGCACCTGTCACAGCCCAGCACATTAAGCGCATGCGGAATGTTGGAGACCGTAGTCCCGATAAGCAGGTTTTGACCTCGGGACTGAATCTATCCATCATACTGGCCAAAAGCTCCGGACACGGTGCTCCAGTACCGGCAAGAAAATCTTCTATAATGTCTTGAAAAGTCTTCCCAGTAAATTGAGGACCAGCAGCGCTGAGCGCTTGGGCCAGTTCATCCAATGATGGCTGCTTGAGATCACAAGAGATGCTGATGTTTAGAGAAGCAAAATCGCGAATTGTAGACATTTCCGCAGTTCGAATAAATTCTTCAGGTCCCCCAAAGAAGCTGCCACAATCTGCAAAATAATATTAAACTCTTGATACTAGGCGTACTTCTTAGACTTACATCAACAAGATCGATCCCTGTAGCACAAGGAAGTAAGAACCCCTTAAGAAAAGCAGCAAAATAGGCGTTATCGATGTCTATGGGACCAATGACAACATTATGAAGCATTTCCCATGCAAGCTTGTGGTGACCAGCTTCTGAACGTCCATGCAGACTGCAAGCTATGGTAGACATTAGTTGAGTACAAATAGAAGATTCTGAGCGTCGCACCTGTATATTGTGATATGAGGCAAAGTGTGAACTGAATTCCGCAATGCTATCCATCGGCCCAATATTCAACCAGCGCTCTAGCATCTCACTGATTGAAGGCAAATAGGAGGAGACCAACTCATGATGAAGGCAGGATATGTTACAATCATTGAGGAGATAAATGAGGAGAAGAGGATTCAAGTGTCCCGGGTAGTGTCCATAAATGAGAGCTAATCCAGTTGCAGCCCCAAACAGAACCAGTTCATCATGCTTATTGGATGATATTTGCAGGTCGGCAGATTGGAGCGTCGTGTATTCCCCATAAAGTGGAGTACAAAACTCATGCTCACGTTCCTCAAAAAATCGACGGAAGACCTCGGTAATGGCTGATTGTTCAAGACCAGGCCCTGAAGAGATATAATCATCGTGTTCATCGACGCTAGCAATGCAGTAATTCAAATCAGCAGTGTTTTGGCTAAAGGATACAATCTTACCAAACAAAGTGGCGGTTTGGAGATAAAATTCGACTCCAATCTCCACTTTGTACGGAGATTTTCATTTGAGCAATAAATTCTGTTGCCAGTTCTTGTTCATTTGTACCCTTTACCTGAAGGCCAGGACAGACTAATTCTCCACGGTGTACCTCTGCAACAATTTTGAAAATAGCTTGGGTGCGTTCATCGTCAAAGAATACAGGAATGAAATCAAGAGGGACGGGCTGT